TTAAGCTACAATATAGTATCATCAAAACGAGTTTCATTTAAAATGAAATTATCCGATAGCTGTAGATTTGTCATGTTTATATGACAGAAAGTGTTTGAGAATCTGATTTTGATTTACAAGTAGACAGTAGCGACATGTTATATAAAAGTAGATTTGTTGAATTAAATATCCCTTCATATAAATGTGGCGCGTGAACACGAGAAACAAAAATCGCCATACTGAAGCATCACCATGAACATAAACTGAACATATTTGCGTGAACATAAATATGTTCAGTTAATGTTCATGGTGATGCTTCAGTAAACTTGTATAGTCAGAAATGCAGTTTCGAAATCTCGTTTGTATTTTTTACATTACACTTGTTTTAGAATTTGGACTTTGAAAATATACACTCAGAGTGACTTTACGTCTTAATCTTTTTACTTATCAGTGATACATACCCGATAAAAAGTGTTGCTTCAGTAAACTTGTAATTTCAGGAATGCAGTTTCATAGTTTGCATTTTGTAAATTACTTTTCTTCTAGAACTTGGATTTAATTTCAAATCATAGCAACTTTTCTCTTTCTCTCTTCCAATGCATTAAGATGAATTCATAATAGGAAGCACATGCAGATTTTTATCAAAGACAATTTTAAGAAATGTAAAATGCAACACATGCTTTAATCGTGGTAATAAAAGTGACTATAATTCAAAAGTCGCATATACTATTTGAAAAATGAGTTTAATTTAAGATAAAAACATCTCAACATCGATTTGTAATGCATTTTCTGTCTATCTTCAAGGCGATGCTTCGGTAAACTTGTAATGTAGGAATGCAGCTTCGAAATCTCGTTTGTATTTTTTAAATTACACTAACTTTAGAATTCGGACTTTAAAACTACTGTTAAAATGACTGCATACTTAATCTTTTCATTTATCACTGACACACACCCGATAAAAAGTGAAAGATAAAATAAAAGCAACACAACCACATGAATAGCAGGTGAATAATTGCGATTAAACTTCATACCTTAGTTCAGTATCAATTTTATTTATCCATGTGAGTTTCGTTGCATAAGCGCATTCAGATAACGGTTAAGATAACGACAAAGTAACACTTTCCTTCAACAAACTGTTTCATGAACATTAATGACATCCACGTAGAACATCTCAGTTATATAACTAAGTATACATCATTGACTAACAACAATTATCATTTAAATAAAAATAAATAACTAAGAAACTCATGCCGAGTGGATGATAATATTGGGACTAGCCAAATGCTGAAAAACGAGTGCATTGATACAAAAAATCGAGACGTTTTTACTTTTTACATGGTTTTTGCATAAAACTTAATTCTTTAATGCTCATAGATATCAGCATCATATCCTCTCATAGATATCAGCAATTGAGCCATGTTCGTTGTATGATACAAAAGCATATTTTATCAGTGCTATTGTGAGCACCAAACAATATGAGCGGGCGACATTGTTTATGAGTCTCAAGAGTATGGTGGTGAGTGAAACTTTAATATACCATAATCCTCGTCTCAAATGTCATAATCTTTGTCAAGGAAATTGTCGACAAAGAAATTGTCGTCATTTTTTACTTCATCATCTGGAGGAAATCCTGTTTTGTCACTTTGATACTTGCACCAGTTGTAAAATCTAAATCTTCCATAATCTTTATTGCACAATCGATGCCTGAAGCTAAATTTAAAAACAATTACTAAATGGTGGCTGGTCTTCAATACATGATGTCTTCATGAAAGAAATCTTATATTCAGCATTTTTTTAATATCCTTACAGACATAATCCATTTTTCTCATGTGACGTGTTGGTCTTTATCATTGCCCCGAAATTCAGCATGATATTTTTGCGTTTCAAATCAGCCAAAACTGGGCCATGTTGTTCTAACTTTAGGAGATTTTTCACATATTTTCACTCTTTATTAAAAACGAATTTTCAAATTATTCCTCAAAGCAAAAGTTGCCAGACTTATCATCATGAAAATTAAATCCTTTTTAACGGTTCGATACTTCATTAAAGCTTTTGGTTCAGCTCCTTGTCACTCTTGTTTGATAATGGAGCTAATACATATAAAATATTGTATTGGTTTGGTTTGTCATACCTTGTGGTAAAGAAAATTTTGGTGGATCTTCATCCTCCTCATTTTTAAAGTATTTCATCGCTTAATAATCTATTTTCTCATCAAAATTCAATGTTTTTCATTAATTTGGCAGCTTTGATTCATTGAAAACTTTTTAATTTTTTTGTGTTGAAATTGTGAAAGCAATGTCGATGATCCAGCAGAGTATTTCCATCTGTTCAGTAAAAAAACTGGAATAAAAAAAAATTCTACACAGACAATAATACAAATTTGGCTTTTCAAAATAATCATGTCAGACCACCGGCAAGATACCACATGCAAGCTCCACAAAACCATTCATGATTTTGCCTCTAAATTCACCATCTTTTATATTATTTCACTATTGCTATCACTGATAACATTATTCATCAGAAAAGATTTAGAAATGGTCATATTACCCACCTCAACGAAGCGCACTTCGGCAAACGGTTGTTTCGCAGCTAAAACTTCTTCGGTAGAATGCTTATACTCAAAGCAACTCTCCAGATTGCAAATTTAGTGAGTATCTAGTTAAAAAAGTTACTAGACCCCAGACAATCACAAGTTCTTTTTGTATTACTTAAACACGGCATGCGTGCAACAAACACGAAAGATGATTTTATATTATCTAAGATTTCCTATTTTAACTTTAGCTGATGTGACGCTATGGAACATTAAGACTATGAACATTAATTTAGGAAATGATTTGGTAACAGTTACATAAACACATTTCACAGATTTGTAAGCTTCTGCAAAGATGAAAAATAGAGCTATTTTTTCTCTTTCACAACGCTAAAACACCTAAAATATAAGATGTTTCAAAAAAGGGCTCAGTAAGACTTTCTCATGCAGTGTTTGCTTTGACTAAGAAAAATTCAATCAAAACACGTTGTTTCCTTTGATTTAGGGCCCATTCACACTAACACTTTAAATCGACTTGAAATCGATTCGAGTCCGTATGAGGGCTAATGTGAACACTTGCAAGTGATGCGAAAATGAATTCGATCCAAACTAACTTGGGGCACTTGAAAAGGTGGTCTCGAATCGGATTAGTTTAATACGCATGATAATGTTAACATGCAACACGAATAGGATCAGATCAGTATTGATCAATCACATGTTTTTAGTTTAGTAACCAGACTTTTCGTGCGGTCATACATGTCACGTGTTCTTTTTACTGTGTTTGCTTGCAGCAATATTTTACAATTTTACTTATAAGCAAAAAGAAACGCGACGCGCCTTGCATTCTTTTGAAAGTATTGCAGCATTTTTTTGTATCACTCTCGATCTTTTGGCTGTTTTTTGCGTTCTTTTGGTATTCTCGTAAAAATATGCCCATTGCAGTAATCTCCGCCATTTATATTCGTTAAATATTTTTATTATCAAAGATTCAATGATAGTTTAGGAAAGGCGCTAAAATGTAATATCAATAATGTGAAGCAAATGTAAACATTAAATTTACTTAAATTATAGATTCTAAAGTATGTACCCACAATACCCTATAATTACACTAAAATACCTGCTGACCCATATCTATCCTTTTGACTTTCTTATGATACTATGTTATCAAGCGAAAAATAATGCGGATAAAACTTAAACTGTGAACACTCGTGTTTTTTCATTTTAATAAGAATCGAATTCGAATCAATTAATTCTATTAGCAAACGAATTAAGTGTGAATGGGTCCTTAATCAGTCAATAAGAGATATTATCTTTTTGTGGTTTTCATATCAACCATGCAGGTGTCTCAAAAAAAAATATATCATATTTTATTGTTATCAACCGACATGGTGGATCACTTTCCCGTGAATTATACATGAAAAATATGAATATGATTCAAATGTTGTACAGGTATTGTGGTTGTATTGTTTCATATTACGACATTTTGCAACGAAAATACAGGTTATGCAATAACACATATCCGTGTAGATAATAAAATGTTTACATTTTATATAAATTTTTACATGTTTAAGAAAAGTAAACGATAATTGATGTACAGAAGTATCGTCAGAAAAATTAACTAATAATTGACGGTCTCATACGTTATTAAGACTCGTGCACAACATACATCTTACGAAATTACAATCTAGAGAATTACCCTTAGTTACAAGACTTTAAAATAAAAATTATGTGCAACAAATAACGTTAAGAATCACTACTTATGCTGCTTTTCTAATTAAATTGAAGCAATTAATTGAAGTCTATAAGATTAAATTATGACTCATGTTATTAAAGGAATAATTTAGCGACAAAAGAATTTGTCGAACAAGCCACAGCACTTTTTGTGACAGAAACATATATCACGACAAAATTCGAAATGAACGTTTAGCAACAAAAAATTTTATCGACTTCGATTATAACAATCGTCTCTTTTCACCAATAAGTCAGTATCATATTGCTTTTCCACCACGACCTCCATAAAGAAAAGATCTTTGCACGTAATGTTGAAAGCCCATTCGATATTTATCATAAATAAGATGTAAAGTGTATCTTGACTCTCACCATTGCCATTTGATGTTCTTTTATGTTGACAATGTGATTAGTTTTCGTCATAGTGAATATGTTATTTTGTTTGTCTTTCTAACAATTATAGCTAAGACCAGCACAACAAAATAAATTGTACTTAAAATTGTTAATTATCGTTACATTATTTATTCGATGTTTTGGAAGGTAACTTACTTGTAGTTTATATAGTCACTAAATGAATATTTAACTGGATGTTTTTTAATAAGTGCAGATTACATAGTTAAATAATAAGTTGTATAATTATAAATTATAAGATTACATAGTTAAATTATAAGGTTGTTAAATTATAAGTATAGTTCTAAACGAATTGATCGCCATTTTTCATTAAAGCATTGGTAGGTAACAATACAAAAATTTAATGACAACATTTTTAGTCTACTTCTTTAAACATTTATTTAACAAAAACACATCAAATGATTCCGGTACTGATCTAATTATATTTCAACAAAAACGAGTTAAAACAGAGTTACAAAAAAGAAAATTGTTTAAAAATCGACTTCAGGTGATGTTTTTGATGAAGATTTTTATAAGTTGTATTTCTCCTTCAGTTGTTTTACGGCCTCATTGAAGGTCACATTTTTCCAGCTCGAAGGTATTTCTGCTTCCTTTGCTCCATAATGTTCCGCCAATTGTTCCGAAAACTTTACCATGAACCATTGCCAATATTTAGAAGCTTCAAATGAGGTATCTGGAGGAATTTTCCACGACTTGTAGTAATCGTTTACTGACTGATAATCTTTGTAGGGACGTGGTTCCCAATTTGTGTCAACGTTTTGAAATGTTTCATTTCCAGCTACTTTAAATGTGCAAATATCGGAAACCAAAATCTTAGTGTTGATATAGCGATAACCTGTCAAAGCCAAAGGACGGTGTATTTCTGTGGAGTATTGTTGGTGTATTTCTGTCTCGTTTTCATCATAGTTTAAAAGGTTTGATTGCTCCATAGTCTTATCACACAAAGCTTTACAAAATGGACAAACAGCCCGACACCCAAACAATAACTTTGAACGCCTTTCGTGGGGTGCTGGCTGCCAATTACTAATAGTTTCACTATTCAATTCAGCATCGGTAAGTTCTTGTACAAAGTTTTCGACTAACTCACGAACTTCTTTGTCAAATAAATCAGTTTCTTTTAAATCTTCATCCATTGTAGCGACACCAAACATTTCTTTCGTGATGGCAAGAGAAGAACACTGTTCCACAAACTTTTTAATCCAGTTCGTTACTTTCCAACTCTCGCTTCCTTGTTCGATTTCATCTCTAGCTTGCTGATTTGCATTTTCAATGGCAGAAAAAATATTTGACTTCAACTTCTCTCCTTCTTTTTTCAACAAAATCGGATGAGATTCGATCCTGTGTTCAAGCAAAAGTCTTCCACGTATTCCTTTAATTTATTTTCCAAAATTGAATAGGATTCTCCAAATAAGGAACAAACACTTCAAAACTAGGGTTTCCTCCAAGTTGAATCAAAACACTGGCGTGAAAATGACCCTTGCTACTAAACATGTTCTTTGTCGAAAGCTTAGTATCAACTGCTGTTATAATGCCTTTGTTAAGTTCTGACATTATTGGGTCACGAAGCACATCAACCAATGACGTGGCAGCCAAAACTTCTTTCTCCATCTCTTTGCAAAGGTTGATAAAATACTTTTCCAGCCTTGGTCTTAATGTTTTTTCAAGATTCTTTTGAATATCACGCTCTTCAACATAACGGTCTTCCATTTTATCAAAAATAGGAAAGGCACGGGCAAATGTGTATAACAGTATGTCACATACTAATGGTTTTTTAAACTTCATTTTCTGTTTCTCTGTTTCTTTATCAATAGTAGAAATGATTTCATCATACATTGTTATAAGATCATTATTGGTAAATCTAACAGCAATGTTGGAAACTCTCTCTGCAAACTGCTCTCCTTTAGAGATAACTTTATTTTTGATAACATTTGCCCTTGACACAGCGTCGTGTATGAACCAATGATACATGTTTTGGACCACTTTCGAACCCCACCCTCCAATAAATGCAAGCATATTTCTATCAATGACAGGATCAACATTAAAAAAAGCAGAAATTCTATATTCTTTTGGTTTTAGTTTCGTTATCATGTCAGCACTAAGATCACAATTTTCTGGTAGAAGAACATAAACCATATATTCATTGACATCACGCTTTACTTCGTCACAAAGGGGAACTTCGCCAATCCATTCTTTCCATCCTTTTTGAAATGCTGCTTTACATTCTTCTTCGTCATTTGTTTTTTGAGATGACACTAAATTTTTTGCTCTGTCCAAAAGTTGTTTTTCATAATTTTTTTTCCTTTCTTCTACATCTTGTTGTTGCTGCAGATGGTGGAAGGTTGCCTCACAATTTTCTATAACAGACGATTCCTGATTTCGTTTGAACCTTTTAATTTTATCCATCACGTCTTCTTTCCATTGGTCAAGGGTAGATTTATCTTCACTGCTTTCAAAAAACATCTGCATTTCTTTCTCCATTTTCGTCTTGAGTTCTTCTGCCTCTGCAAATATACGTCTTTTATTGCTCATCCAACATTTATTTCGTTCTTTTCGTGTTGTGCATCTTTTTAAGTCTCTTTCAATACTTCTTTCAATTTCAGCCATTCCATTTACCATTAGTTTTACTGATTCTTTGAAAAGTTTTTTATCTAATGATGCATAAGCTCTGACTTCGATCACATTTCGGAAACTGAAAATGAAGTTTTCTTTTAGCATGGCTTGCCATAGATCTTTAACTCGTTTACGGAATGAAGAGAGAGTTAGCTTGACCACTTCTTTTGAGCACATTAGCTGAATAATATTTTCCTTTACTTTTTGCAAGTCTCTACCATAATTTGGGTTTATCGGAGCCATGGGAGGACTTCCTTTCAATAGACTTGGTATGTAAAATACGTCTTTATTTTCATCAAATGCCATTATGTCATCTAATTTTTCGAACTGATCTTCACAATTTTCTTGTATTGCTGCAAGCTTTGCCATATTGTCTAGATTTTGTTTTAGATTTCGCCTATCCATCATTAACTTATCTGCAGCGTCATTAGCAGCAACATTTTGATGGACGATCTTGCATGATTTCTTGTCTTTAAGAAGTTTCATTTTCAAGAAAGCATGAACAGCCATCGCCAAAAATTCTTTCATTTCATTATAGTTTTCACCAAAGATATTGACAATCATGACATCAGCCACACCAACAGCAAAAGTTGCCAATTCATTATCGTGTTCTCTCACTATTGGGTCAGCCATTCCTTTCAGACCTTCAGTATCAATGATCAACACATAATCACAATTTGAGTCATATTTAAGTTGTTCACTAAGTGGAACAAGACTAGCAAAAGCACCACGAGTACATCTTCCTGCACTTACAGGAAATTCTAAACCAAATATTGTATTTAACATTGTCGATTTACCGGAACTTTGAATACCTAACACAGAAATGACGTAAATGCTTGCGTTATTTGTTTGCATTTCTAATGTCTCCGTAGTGTCTCCAATTTGTTCTTGAATGCATCAATAAAATATGTTACATTTTTGCCTTCCCAAACATCCACAACTATACTCAAAGCTGATTTTGTTATTGCTTCCATCACCGTTAGAGACTGAAGGTTGTGCTCAAAGAAAATAATGTATCCTTTACAAAGGATAATAATGTGCAAATATTTTTTCTTCTACAGAATATTCTAGACAGTCTTCATTACAGTCATTAGTAGATAGCAGGCCATTCTAGAATGTGTTTAAGTATTCATTGTTAGAAAAAAATACAAACACAACAAAATTCTTTTGACATGTTTAAGTAAGTTCGTACAGCATTTTTCATCGCAAATTTACAATCGCTTTTATTCAATAATGACTTTACCCCACCATTGATGTAAACATTAACCAATTTGGCTGCTAATTTACTCAACACTAATCAAATGTACACATTTTATCTTGCATAAAACAAAAATAACATTCAATAACATCTGCAAAACAACAAAATACTTTAAAATATTCATATAAAAGAACGGAAAATAATAAGATTTTGTGAAATTTTAATTAGATCAGTTGATGACTTTGCGCCACTCGGCCACAGTATTGAAACAAACAGTAGGTTCATTTTACTGTGTAATCCGCTGTGTAATTAATTAGATTACTGGCTGCAGCTAGCCACCTAGCTCACGGCTCCTATTGGTCAGAAAAAGTAATTTACAGGCTACCACTATACTAATCACATGCGTAATAAGACATGTGCTTGATATCTCACAGTCAAAATTCGGCCAGTGTTGTTTGCAGAAATTATCATCAATAACAAAAATGGAATTTAAGGCACAAGAGTTTTGTTGTCTTTCATTTCAGCTTCAAGCTGTTGATGTTCATATAAAGAATGAAAATCATCGTTGTTTTCAAATTTTAGAAACACTTCTCATTCACTCGTCCAAAGTAGACACAAAATTGTAACCAGGTTTAAATAATCCTTTTGGGGGCAAGGTCTTCCCCGTGTTTTTACCGGTTTGACGTGAGACGTTGGCGATTTTACGTCAGTAGAATGTGAAACATACAGCCAAGCCTAGTTATAAATTGTTCTATGACATCATTTTTATTCACTTTTTTTGTAAATTACTTTTCTTTCAGAACTTAGATTTAAGCTTATTTTGAAATCATAGAAGCTTTCCTCCTACTCTTTCCGATGCATTAAGATGAATTTATGATAATAGAAAGCACATGCAGATTTTCATTGAAGACAATGTTAAGAAATGTAAAATGAAAGCTTTAATCGTGGCAACAAAATTGACCATGATTCAAAAAACGCTTATAGTATTAGAAAATATGAGTTTAATTTGGGATAAAAACATTGAACATCGATTTGTCATGCATGTTCATTTTATCTTCATGGCGATGCTTCAGTAAACTTGTAATGTCAGGAATGCAGTTTCGAAATCTCGTTTGTATTTTCTAAATTACACTTAGTTTTAGAACTCGGACTTTAAAACTACTGTTAAAATGACTGCATGCTTAATCTTTTCATTTATCACTGACACATACCCGATAAAAAGTGAAAGATAAAATAAAAGCAGCACAACCACATGAATAGCAGGTAAATAATTGCGATTAAACTTCATACCTTAAATCAGTATCAATTCTTTTGATCCATGCGAGTTTTGTTGCATAAGCGCATTCGGATAACGAACAAAAATAAAGCAAAGTAAGACTTTCCTTCAACAAATTGTTTCATCAACATTAATGACTTCCACGTAGAACATCTCAGTTATAAAACTAAGTATACATCACTGACTAACAACAATTATCATTTAAATAAAAATACATAACTAAGAACCTCATGCAGAGTGCATGATAACATTGGGACTACCTAAATGCTAAAAAACGGGTGCATTGATGCAAAAAATCGAGACGTTTATACTTTTTACTTATTTTTTTCCTGAAGCTTAATTCTTTCATACTCATAGACATCAGCAACATATTCTCTCGTAGATATAGGCAATTGAGCCATGTTCGTTGTTTGATACAAAAGAATATTTTATCAGTGCTATTTTGAGCATCAAACAACATTAGTGGGCGACATTGTTTATGAGTCTCAAGAGTATGGTGGTGAGTCAAACTTTAATATATCATAATACTCGTCTTAAATACCATAATCTTTGTCAAGAAAATTGTCGAAGAAGAAATCGTCGTCATTTTTTACCTCATCATCTGGAGGAAATCATGTTTTCTCACTTTGATAGTTGCACTAGTTGTAAAATTTAAATCTTCTATAATCTTTATTGCACAATCGATGCCAGAAGCTAAATATAAAAACAATTACAAAATGGTGGTTGGTGTTCAATACATGATGTCTTCATGAAAGAAATGTTATGTTCAGCATTTTTTTTAATATCCTTACAGACATCATCCATTTTTCTCATGTGACGTGTTGGTCTTTATCATTGCCCCAAAATTTAGCATGATATTTTTGCGTTTCAAATCAGCCAAAACTGTGCCATGTTATTCTAACTTTAGAAGATTTTTCACCTCTTTCACTCTTTATTAAACGATATTTCAAATTTTTCCTCAAAGCCAAAATTGCCAGACTTATCATCATGAAAATTAAATGCTTTTTTAACGGTTCGATACTTCATTGAAGCTTTTGGTTCAGCTTCTTGTCACTCTTGTTGGATAATCGAGCTATTACATATAAAAAAAATGTATTGGTTTAGCTTAATTTCCTTTTACCATACCTTGTGGTAAAAGGAAATTTCGATGGATCTTCATCCTTCTCATCTTTAAAGTATTTCATATCGCTCACTATTCTTTTTTCTCACCAAAAATCAATAAGTAAACTGCTATAGTGGCGAGAATCTCTCGTCCATACGCAGTTTAAAAGAGATTTGACTCGACTCCAATCCCTGTGGGCTTGGTGTCGAGTCAATCGCCATCCAGTAAACTGCTATAGTGGCGAGAATCTCAAACCGCCATCCAGTAAACTGCTATAGTGGCGAGAATCTCTCGTCCATACGCAGTTTAAAAGAGATTTGACTCGACTCCAATCCCTGTGGGCTTGGTAGCTCAACAGGTAGAACGGCGGACTAGTATGCCGAAGGTGCGAGTTCAAATCTCGTCCAAGTCACATGTTTTTCATGTGCATGTAAAAACCGTGTTAGGATTAATATATTAAGTATATACTCTGATGATGGCTTTGGAATAAAATCAATAATATACTTTGATTTGGCAACTTTGGATTAATTGAAAATCTTTATCATCATTTTGCCTGGAATTTGTGAAAGCAATGTCTATGATCCAGTACAGTATTTCTGCGAAAACAAATTTGATCCGAACTAACTTTGGCCTCTTAAAAAGGTGGTCTCGAATCGGATTAGTTCAGTCTGCATGATAATGTGAACCTGCAACGCGAATAGAATCAAATCAATCTTGAACAATCACATGTTTTTAGTTTAGTAACTAGACTTTTCATGCTGTCACACATGTCACGCGTTCTTTTTGCTGTGTTTGCTTGCAGCAATATTTTACAATTTTACTTATAAGCAAAAAGTAACGCGACGTGACACCTTGCATTCTTTTGAAAGTATTGCAGCATTTTTTTCGTATTACCCTCGATCTTTTCGCTGTTGTTTTTGCGTTCTTTTGGTATTCTCGTAAAAGTATGCCCATTGCAGTAATCTCTGCCATTCATATTCGTTAAATATTGTTATTATCTAAGGTTCAAAGATAGTTTAGGAAAGGCGCCAAAACTTAATGTCAATCATGTGAAGCAAATGTAAACATTAATTTTACTTAAACTTTAGATTCTAAAGTATGTACACACAATACCCTATAATTAGACAAAAATACCTGCTAATACATATCTATCATTTTGAGTTTCTTATGATACTATGTTATCAAGCGAAAAATAATACTGATAAAACTTTAAATGTGAACACTCGTGTTTTTTAATTTTCAAAAAATCGAATTCGAATCAACTAATTCGATTAGCAAACGAATTAAGTGTGAATGGGCCCTTAATCATTAAGTAAGTGATATTACTTTTTTGTGGTTTTTATATCAACCATGCAGGTGTCTCAACAAATAATATCATAATGTTTTATTGTTATAAACCGACATGGTGGATCATTTTCCCGTGAGTTATACATGAAAAGCATAAGTATGATTGAAATGTTGTACAGGTATTGTGGTTGTATTGTTTCATATTACGACATTTTGCAACGAAAATACAGGTTATGCAGCAACACATATCCGTGTAGATAATAACATGTTTACATTTTATATAAATTTTTACATGTTTAAGAAAAGTAAACGATAATTGATATATAGAAGTATCGTCAGAAAAATTAAATATAGTTACAATTAGTACTTGACGGTCTCATACGTTATTAAGACCCGTACACAACATACAACATACGAAATTACAATCTAGAGAATTATGCTTAGTTACAAGACTTTAAAATAAAAATTATGTGCGAAAACTACCATTAAGAATGACTACTTATGTTGCTTTTCTAATTAAAATGAAGCAATTAATTGAAGTCTATAAGATTAAATTATTACTCATGTTATTAAAGGAATATTTTAGCGACAAAAGAATTTGTCAAACAAGCCACAGCACTTTTTGTGCCAGAAACATATATCACGACAAAATTCCAAATGAACGTTTAGCAACAAAAGATTTTATCGACTTCAATCATAACAATCTTCTCTTTTCACCAATAAGTCAGTATCATATTGCTTTTCCACCACGACCTCCATAAAGAAAAGATCTTTGCACGTAGCGTTGAAAGCCCACTCGATATTTATCATGAATAAGATGTAAAGTCTATTTCGACTCTCACCATTGCCGTTTGTTGGTTTTTTTTTATGTTGTCAATGTGATTAGTTTTCGTCATAGTGAACAATATGTTATTTTTTTCGTCTTTGTAACAATTATAGCTAAGACCCAGCACAGCAAAATAAATTGTATTTAAAATTTTTAACTATCGTTACATTATTTATTTAATGTTTTGGAAGGTAAATAACTTGTAGATTATATAGTCACGAAATGAATATTTAACTGGATGTCTTTTAATAAGTACAGATTACATAGTTAAGGTTGTTAAATTATAAGTATAGTTCTAAACGAATTGATCGCCATATTTCATTAACGCATTGGTAGGTAACAATACAAAAAGGTAATCACAACACTTTTAGTCTACTTCTTCAAACATTTATTTAACAAAAAAACATGAAATGATTCCGGTAATGATCAAATTATATTTCAACAAAAACGAGCTCAAACAGAGTTACAAAAAGAAAATTGTTTAAAAATCGAATTCAGGCGATGTTTTTGATGAAGATTTTTATAAGTTGCATTCTTCCTTCAGTTGTTTTACGGTCTCACTGAAGGTCACATTTTTCCAACTCGAAGGTATTTTTGCTTCCTTTGCTTCATGATGTTCTGCCAATTGTTTCGAGAACTTTACCATGAGCCACTGTTAATATTTAGAAGCTTCAAATGAGGGATCTGGAGGAATTTTCCACGATTTATAGTAATCGTTTACTGACTGATAATCTTTGTAGGGATGTGGTTCCCAATTTGTGTCAATGTTTTGAAATGTTTCACTTCCAGCTACTCAAAATGTACAAATATCGTAAACCAAAATCTCAGTTTCAGAATTGCAATGACCTGCCAAACCCAGAGGACGGTGTGATTCTGTCGAGTATTGTTAGTGTATTTCTGTCTCGTTTTCATCATCAACTAAAAGGTTTGATTGCTCCATATTCTGATCACACAAAGCTTTACAAAATGGACAGACAGCCCGACACCTAAACATAACTTTGAATGCCTTTCGTGGGGTGCTGGCTGCCAATTACTAACAGTTTCACTATCCAGTTCAGCATCAGTAAGGGATTGTCTGACATTAGCTTCTCTCTTTGTTTCTTCAACAAAGATCGGATGCGTTTCGATCCTGTGTTCAAACAAAAGTCTTCCACGTATTCCTTTAATTTTTTTCCAAAAATTGAATAGGATTCTTTAAGCAAGGAACATACAATTCAAAACTACCGTTTTCTCAAACTTGAATCAAAACACTGGCATGAAAGTGAGCCTTGCTTAGAAACATGCTTTTGTCGAAAGCTTAGTATAAACTGCTGTTACAATGCCTTTGTTAAGTTTTGATTTTATAGGCTCACGAAGCACATCAACCAATGACGTGGCAGCCAAAATTTCTTTCTCCATCTCTTTGCAAAGGTTGATAAAATACTTTTCCAGCCTTGGTCTTAATGTTTTTTCAAGACTCTATTGAATATCACGCTCTTCAAGATAACGCTCTTCCATTTTATCAAAAATTGGAAAGGCACGAGCAAATGTGTATAACAGTATGTCACATACTAATGGTTTTTTAAATTTCATTTTTTGTTTCTCTGTTTCTTTATCAATAGTAGAAATGATTTCATTATACATCGCTTTAAGATCATTATTAGTAAATCTAACAGCAATGTTGGAAACTCTCTCTGCAAACTGCTGTCCTTTAGAGATAACTATATTTTTGATATCATATGCCTTTGACATATTGTCTATGATAAAAGTATACATAGATTGGGCAATGTCGAAATAAGCCCTACCATAAATGAAGGCATATTTCTATAAAGGACAGGATCAGCATTAAAAAAAGCAGAAATTCTATACTTTTTTGGTTGTAGTTTCGTTAACATCTCAGCACTGAGATCAGAATTTTCTGGTAGAAGAACATAAACCATATATTCATTGACATCACGCCTTACTTCCTCACAAAGGGGAACTTCGTCAATCCATTCTTTCCATTCTTTTTAAAATTTTGCTTTACATTCTTCTTTGTCATTTGTTCTTTGAGTTGACACTAAATATTTTGCTCTTTCTAGAAGTTGTTTTTCATAATTTTTTTTCATTTCTTCAACATCTTGTTGTTGCTGCAGATGGTGGAAGGTTGCCTCACAATTTTCTATAACAGACGCTTCCTGATTTCGTTTGTATGTTTTAATTTTAACCATCACGTCTTCTTTCCATTGTTCAAGGGTAGATTTATCTTCACTGCTTTCAAAAAACGTCTGCATTTCTTTCTCCATTTTCGTTTTGAGTTCTTCTGCTTTTTCAATTATACGACTTTTACTGCTTATCCAACATCCCTTTCGTTCTTGTCGTGTAGTGCATCTTTTCAAGTCTCTTTCAATACTTCTCTCAATTTCAGCCATTCCATTTACCAATAGTTTTACTGATTCTTTGAAAAGTTTTTTGTCTAAAGATGCATAAGCTCTGATTTCGATCACATTTCGGAAACTGAAAATGAAGTTTTCCTTTAGCATGGCTTGCCATAGACCTTTAACTCGATTACGGAATGAAGAAACAGTTAGCTTGACCACTTCTTTTGAGCACATTAGCTGAATAATATTCTCCTTTACTTTTTGCAAGTCTCTACCATAATTTGGGTTTATCGGAGCCATGGGAGGACTTCCTTTCAATAGACTTGGTATGTAAAATACGTCTTTATTTTCATCAAATGCCATTATGTGATCTAACGTTTGAAATTGATCTTCACAATTTTCTTGTATTGCTGCAAGCCTTGCCATATGGTTTAGGTTTTGTTTTAGATTTCGCCTATCCATCATTAACTTATCTGCAGCGTCATTAGCAGCAACATTTTGATGGACGATCTTGCATGATTTCTTGTCTTTTACAAGTTTCATTTTCAAAAAAGCATGAACAGCCATGGCCAAAAATTCTTTCATTTCATTATAGTTTTCCCCAAAGATAGTGACAATCGTGACATCAGCCACACCAACAGCAAAAGTTGCCAATTCATTATCGTGTTCTCTCACTATTGGGTCAGCCATTCCTTTCAGACCTTCAGTATCAATGATCAACACATAATCAAAATTTGAGTCACATTTTAGTTGTTCGCTAAGTGGAACAAGACTAGCAAAAGCACCACGAGTACATCTTCCTGCACTTACAGGAAATTCCAAACCAAACATTGTATTCAACATTGTCGATTTACCGGAACTTTGAATACCTAACACAGAAATGACGTAAATTCTAGCGTTGTTTGTTTTGCGTTCCAATTTCTTATAAACAGCATCAAACCATTCCAATGGCAGGTATCCGGAATCACCATCTAATAGTTCCAAAGGTTCTCCTGAAAGAAGAATATTTGCTGCAGCACCAGTATAATCAATTGTTACGTCATTCTTCAATTGATAAAGTTGAGTAAGTTCTCTAAAAATATGCTCTAAACCAAACGAAGTATGCGATATTGATTCTTCCAGCTCTCTTAAACGCTCTTCTTCTTCACATTGTGAATTGTAATTTTTGCTTTTCTTTTGACGATATTGTTGATGCAGTTTTGTTATCTCAGAGAGCGACACCTTATCTAACAAATACTTCAGTTGATGTAAACGTCTTACTAGTTCATTCTCATTCATGACAGCAAGAGATTTAAGAAAATGAAGAACATTTTCATCCATTTTGGCCAAAGATTCCATCTGAGCCTTTTTTTCCTTTCCAATGTCTTCATACACTTTATTAAGATCGGTAACAGTTTTAATGTTGCGACAAAGACTTGGATTGTGTTTCCTTCTTTCCAAATCTGCCAAAGCAGGAACGTGAAGCTGTAGTTTGAACAACTTTTTTGCTTTTTCATTGCACCAAGGAAACCAAGTTTCAACTGTTTTTCCAAAAGCTTCGACATAAGCTTCTTTATCATCCAAATAAAGGCTTCTTTCTTCCGGCAAAAGTCTAAGGTTTACTAAAGATTTTACTTCACTTTCATTTATGTTGCTCTGGATGGCATTGCGAATAGTTTGTAAAAATATAAACTCGTTTGTCTTTTGCGCTTTTGTAAACAATGATAACTTTTTGGAATGTTGATTTTTCAAGCAGTTGTAGAATTTCTTAGATTCTTCCCGTCTTTTTTTGTTAAAAATAAGAATTATTTTACCTTTGCAAAGCAAGGCCTCTTTCAAAAAATTTTCCATTCGCTCGTCGGGCATTTCCGAGGGCAATAAAATACAAAAAATGTTTGATATTTCTCGAAGTATATCAACTTGTTTCTTGAAGTTTTGAGCATCTCCACGTAAATTGGCAAAACAGATCTCATTTTTTAAGGTGTTCTTGTCACATCGACCAGGAAGATACCACACAAGTTCTACCAAACCATCTACGACTTTTCTCTCAAAATCACCACCCTCTATGTTTTTATGAAAGAAGAACTCATGATCACCATTATTGTCGCTGATAATCTTATTCATCATAGACGATTTAGAGATGGTCACATTACCCAGGCGGATAAAAGACACTACAGGAAACGGATGTTCTGTTGCGTAGACTTCTTTAGCAGTATCTTCCGATGAAGCACCTTTCCAAGATTTTGTTATTTTTTCTAACGTTGAAAGTAAGATTATTACGCGCTCTGCTGGCATTTCAGGATGAGGTAAAATGAAAGGAACGCTAAGCTGACAAGCAGTAAGTTTAACAGCTAGATCTTGCCGTAAAAAAATATCAGAGCAATAAAAAATCCCTATTAAAGCATCCATAGGGTTAATCCTTTCCACACTTTCAATTTCATTTCCACTTTCGCTATCACTGTCACTCGCATCAGAACCAGTGTCTTCATTTAATTCATTGGAAACTTCACCACTTTTGTTTGAATTTAATGGTTTAAAGGTAAGTTCACGGACATGGTAGTCTGCAATCATCAATGTTTTAAGAATATAACCAGGAATTTGGTCAGTAGACGTTAGTTCATCGCCATTAAACATGTGATTGTCTACAGTGCGTGCATGTTTTAAGGTAAGCTTTGACTCAACATTTAAGTTCAACCTAGCGCAGAGTTGTGATAATGTTTCTCCCAGTTTAGCGTTACTTTCTTCTGACCCTAATGGAGATAAGAATAAACAAAAAAATTGTAATTGCTCTTAATTCTTTGTATAAATGAAATAAAACAACAAAGGACTGAGATGATTCACGTACAAGCCTGCAAATTAAAATTTGGAATTAATCAGCGCTTTTGAAGTAAAAGCAAAAAATGAAAATAATTAAATGGTCAAATTTGAGTGTTTTCAAAAACAAAGTGCATATCTTCACATCTTTTAATATAACTCTCCGTTAATATACGTATTGTCAATAAAATCTTCATGTTTAGAATTATTTCCTTTTTCGTTTGCGACAATTTTATCTCCAACGCAAGTTTAGTATGGCTACACTAGATACAAACTCTGAATACGTACCTTCTATACTTTGTCTGGCATCTTTTGTAGAACTAACATTTTCCTCCTTAACGCTTTCATCTTCAACATGTTCACCGTGTTTGTCATCCTCGTTTTTATTTTCTTTATTAAAATCATCAGAATTATCTTCCACCATGGATTCACTTTCAACTAAAGACAAAAATGTTATTGTGTCTACGGTTGATATATTCATAGGTTGATATATACATATTACACATATACATAGTACAAAAATAAGATCCCGTTTTTTTGATATTCAAGATGAAGCAAGAGTTTAGACACAGAGTAGGCAATATTTCGTCTTTATTCGAAAGACATGTGGATTATAAAGCAAGCTTATTTTTTTCTGCTTATAAATAACTATATAAACGTTTCACAGATATTTTAGAATTATAGCAAAAAAAATCTCAGCAAAGTCAAGTTTCACCGTTATTATTGAAAGCAAAGAAAAACAAAATTTTGAGGTAATAATTTCTTTCAGGAATTCCATGGATGACAAGGTGAGTACTGCAAACGTTGGTAAAAATTGAGTACTCTGGGGTGTTTCCCACAATATACTGATTTACCAATCTATTCCACTCCATAAATTGTTAACGATGATTTAAGTAAAACAAATCTATGTTCAGTGGTTACGCTGCTGTTTTATAATAATTTTGTAATATTGTGCAAGGAAGGTGGGTGTCAACAAAGCTGTCGACACAAGAAAAGCTTCCCACATTAAATGATAAAAAAGACTGAGTCACACAGTGAAAGCCTTTTTTCAAAAGTTGCCGAAAATCATCTGCGGAAAACACTGGTGCGACATTACCACATTTAAAGTCGTGAAATGCAAGAAGGGGAAACAGGCGCAACAACGAGTGGATGACGGATTCAAAGTATATCTACGGTAAAGAGCAATCACAGCTAGACTTTGCCAGACAGTGCATGGTTTACCGTCAAAACTGGTTCGTCATGCTCATTTCTTTACGTTGCGTTGTGTTGTTTGAAATGGGAAAATTCCAGAGAGGTATTCAGGCTATCAAGATTTTGTAAGCTTCATCATCAGTCAATAGACTACAGCATTGTAGTGAGAGATGTCATATTTAACACAGTTAGAAAAATGGAAAGAAGTAATTAGCCGCTAAAGCTTGTGGAAAATTTGATGGAAATTAGTGATCGTGTAGTTCAAATGATACATCTCCGAAGTGATCGAGATCAATTAGAACGAAAACAGCAACATTTTTCTCAGCTAGTCGTACTAGTGACAAGAAACAGAACGAGGAAGAGACAGAGGTTCTTGGATACCAAACAAAACTCGGCTTCTATTCGGCTTCGCCAATTAGCGTCTTCATGGGAATTTAATGATGTTGACAAAGAAATCAAAGCTCAAATCATTATGTTGTCAAAGAAGATTATGGATCGTTGCTTAGCTACAAAAACTGCGAAGGAACTCGTTCTCATTACGCTAAACATTAATTCAGTTCACTCAACAACAAACCGCATCTCTTCGAAAGAAGTACCCTCCACCCAACAAACAAAGATTCCCAAAGCACCAACCACATCATACAAATTTATGTGCTTAACTACAAATACATGTCCCAAAACACACGCTCTTGTTGAAAAATGCTCACACGTTTTTCAAGGCATTGGGAAACTACGGAATGTTGAAACAAAAGTGCATATTACCCAGAAACAAACATAATCAAGAACATAATAATAAAACGACATAATCAAAGATGTAACACACCCCACACCATGGGTGAGTTGTTAGGTAGGCACCCCGAAACCTGAAAATCTCAATAAAGACCGTGTTAGTGTGTATATGCAGTTCCTAACTGCGCTATTTGCCGAGAACGCTATCCTTCACCTACCATACATGATATAATTCATTCAATCAATGCCGCCAAATTTTTTAGTAAACTCAATTTACAATCTGGCAACCACCAGCTATTTCTAGTACCAGAATCAAGACACATCACGACGTTTACCACTCACAAGAGGCTGAAGCGATACAAGATGGTGTCTGTGGAGCTTTAAACATAAGTGATTACATCATCATCTTTTGCAAGACAAAAGCAGAACATGACAAAGATCTAGAAGAAAATTTTCATGCAACGTTTGAGTGAAAGTGGACTAACGCTAATTCTAGAAAAATGCGTTTTTGACAAATGTTACCTACACATAAGAACTGCGTAGTTTTCTTGGAACAGTCAACTACGTCTCCCGTTTTATTTATGACTTTTCCACTGTCACAGATCCACTTCGTGCACTCACTTATCACGGAACAAAAAGGAAATGCACACAAAAACATCAGCATTCCATCGATGAATTGAAATGTCGTTTAACAACCACCCCTACAATGGCATACTTCGATCCAAACAATGCCACAGAAGTAATTTTTGATGCCAGTCCTGTTGGCTGAGGAGCTGTTCTAACTCAAAAAACCCCTCCCTCCACAGGTAACAGCGAAAACAAGGTGATAGCCTATGTCAGTCGATCTCTGTCTTCAGTCGAACAACGTTATTCTTATACATAACGCGAAGCCCTCGCCTGCGTAATATCTTGTAGAAAATTTCACATTTACATACATGACGCACCATTCACATTAATTACTGATCACAAACCACTGCTGATGCACATTTGAAACATCCCAAAAGCCAAACCCCCCAACTCGATTGGAACGTTGGAATCTTCGCTTACAACCATACAACTTAACTATTCGCTATTAGACTGGCAAAACCAATCCAGCCGACTCTATCTTTCGCCACCCAATACAAAACCAACCGTGAACATGGCTATACAGAGGAGTATGTGTCACTTCTAACTACATCTGCATGCCAATTCTACTGTAATGACATCCAAGATGCGACATTAAACAATCCGACGCTTCAGAAGCTCGCTGAACTACTAATGGCACTCAGTTTCTCCTCACGCAGCGTCATTTCTTTAAAATCTTAAATGTTAACGAGAAATTTAAACCAAGCACTTTAGTATAATCAATGCAAGCCATAAACTCCACGAGTTTTGCCACCAATTACAAACTTTAAACTTTTTTTATTGAATTTGCCATTCGTACTCCTAAAAATCAGCTTATCTGCAGTTATTTATCTTTTCAGACATTAATGATCAGAAAGATGCATGTCCATTGATCATTACTCAAACGTCCAAGCGCGCGAAAATGACAGTCAGCAATCGGATACGCTGACTTTCAATGATTTCCAGCATTACATTACGTTTTTTATGAAGATAAGAGTTTAAAATCAAGAAACACACAAGTTGTAAGATCTTTATACGTCCCTAATTGGCTTTCCTACCACATGCATATCTATAGAAAAAGACTTAATAGAAGTCATACCACGTTTTAACATTAGAGGGTTTCTACACGCATTTACCTTCAACATTTTTAGTGTTGCTGTCTTCCTCGTTTCTCTTCTTTTCATCAAAATTATCCAAATTATTTTTCTCTGTGATTTGCATAAATTCTCTCATATCTAGAAACAGAATCTTCATTTTTACTTTTAAGTTGTTGGAGAAACAATGTTGCATAATTTTTTCAGCTTCTCCTACAAATTTCATTCTATTTCAAGAAATAATTAGTTCTAGGGAAAGGAAAAGACTCAAGGTACGTTTACACACAACAATTTATCGACACTGACGCCATATGACGTGTTCTTTCCATATTTTGGAAAGTAACCCGACTCAAAAATCGGATGAAAATCTGCAATAAACTACAGATTTGATCCCGATCTTTACTTTGTTGCTATAGCATCTGAAACAAGAAAATTATGATTACCGAAAAATGAGTATAGAAATGTCTTCTGTCAACACTGGAAAAAAAAGTGTTAAAAGCGTTGTTGTTTCTTATTGAAAAAATCAAAAGCTGCAGCGATTCAGAAAACGAAAAAAGTCAAGAATATCTTCTTAAAAAAGAAATACGGCAAAATTTAAATTTGCACTCACTCTACCTAATATTTTTTTTATTTATTTGTTGAGGCAATAATAATAATAAACATTTTCTCCGTTGCTACAATGACAAGTTTTAATTTTGCTTTGATATTGTTCTTTGACCTGTTTTTTTTCTTTTTCTGCTTTCGAAATTGCGTAAATATATCGGGTGCATTATTTACACAAATGATTTTCACACAGCGATTTTTCTTACACGACAAATGTTCCACACATGGCAAGAATCACGTAATATGGCGTAAGTGTCGGCCCGACAAATTGTTGTGTGTAAACGTACCTTAAACAATCACAAAGAGTCTAATTCAAATTAATTGTTAACTTCATGAACTTCAAAACTGATATATAATAAGAAATTATATCTTTGTATGGTAAAAAGTTTTCATGTAAGATGGCTTTGGCATTCACATGGTCAAAAAAGTGTGTCCAATGAAAACATCCATGCTGCTTCACATCATAATCCATACTTTATAACATAACAAGAAAAGATTTGCGTTGAGTTGAAGCTACTAAATCTTTTAAAATCGTATTTAAATGTTGTGCCTTGTTCAACATTTTGTTTGTTACTCATGAATACGTACCCTTCATATACTCTCCATCATCTTGAAAGGATTTTCTGTTTTCTTCCATTACGCTTTCCTTTTGATTTTTTTTGGCGTGAGTGCCTTCCTTGTCTTCTTCATTGAAATCATCCAAATTCTTGCTGTCAATTGTTTGCTTGGATTCTAATTTACCAACATACACAATAAGTCTCTTCTCGTAAGTTTACGAATTCAGAGGCGGATCCAGAAGTGCACCCCTTCCTGAGCTCATATAATTTAATAGATTTTTGAAGAAAATGTCACTGCATTCCAACATTTTCAAATGATGCACCCTTCCCTGGATGAAATTCTGGATTTACCTCTGGAACTGAACAAATCAGCCGAAAAACATTTTTTAAACTTTTTTTCTCAACAAGTTTTAATCTAACACTAGATAGCTTTTCCATGGTAACGTATCCTACAGGTAAATCACCGCACAAAATAATGTGAAGATCATTCTATGAAACTAAATATAGCTAACTCAAAAAAATCAACTTTTAATTTACAAAGTAATGAAAATGACATAGAAGTCTGAATCCTAGATAAGACCTATTAACTGTGATATAGTTTTGGTATGAGGGCACATACTGTAATTTTTAAAAACAATTTGGGCATAATGTACGACAGCCAAAAAGGAGTCACTTTTTTCTTAAGAAAATAAGAACCAATAAGGCCACTTATATAAGAATCTGTTCAAGCTAACTTGAAATATGTATGTTTTTGTATCAGGGGTTGTATACTCAATTTAGTAAGAAAAGAGTTTGTATGAAGTATGTATTCTAAGTTGACTGGAAGTGAACTTCAGACATGAAAAAACTCTTTAGCTACATAAACAAATGGCATTAATAAGCATGTTTCCTATTGTCAGTAGCATTATGAACATTCATGACTCTGGGCAATGTGTGTTGGCTCTACGTATCAAAAAATATCATGGCTTCAAAGTAAATCATAATTTCATGAAAATATGCTTATACAGTAGTACCAAACATCAACGTATATCAGCGACACTTTTTTGCAATATATTAGGTTTTCAAAAGAAACTTAATATAGAAATAAGCTATATTCAAAACCTCAGCATTTTAAATGTGAATGAAAACAATTTCACATAGAACACTAAAGATACAAAAAACACGTATTTATTTCAGGAAATTCTCATTTCATAATATATTCAGCATGCTAACTCTGAGACTCCTTATTGATAACTGATCACCAAAGAAGAATAAAACATTTCAAATATATAAATTTCGACGAGTACAACAACTCGATGGCGAAAGCCGTTGATCAGCTCTGTACTCAAGTCTTAAAGGCAAAAGAGAAAAGAAAGCTGGAAGAAGATATGAACAAAAAATCGGTTAAAACAAAAGAAAGCGGAATCCCATTGACTGGTACATTCTGAAAAACGCTCTCGCTAAAAACGTTGAGAAGAAAATAAACAACCTACTCCATAACCACTGCAAGAAACTTAAAACCCTCACCAGAAACAAAACACTTCCTTTCAATCAAAAACAAACCGTTACGAACTTATCATCACACAAACCCAAGCCTGAAGAACTCGATATACTCAAGAATGGTCTCTATTTTTCCATCAAACTACCGAAGCTCAATGAAGCAGACATCCTTTCAACATTTGATCGCATCCATTTTAACATCGCAAACAACCTGAACAATCAAAAAGACTATACTTACATCCGGAACAAACTAATCTACTTTGCACAAAGCAACACCTCTTCATATCGTCCCTCACCATCTGACCTGAAAAACATTGCATCTTAAAGAACATCAAGAACAACAAGAACCTCATTATACTAAAACCAGATAAAGGCAACGGAGTTGTAATCATGGACAGAACGGTATACAACAACTCTTGCATGGAAATATTAAATGACAAGTCTAAGTACAAAATATTAAAAAATGACTCCACTCATTTAAGAGAACGTAGATTACAGCGTTTCATTAGAAAACTTAAGAGACAAGGATCCATAACAGACTACGTATACTCGAGCATTTTCCCCAGAGAGTCACAACCTGACCGTTTTTACGGTCTTCCTAAACTATACAAACATAAAGATAACAAAACTGCTCTTTCTCTCCGACCTATAGTTTCTTCCATCAATTCTTATAACTACAACCTTGCTAAGTACTTATGCAACCTGCTCAACCTTATCATACCAAACGACTACACGACTAAAGACTCCTTTACTTTTGTTGACGAACTTCATAACCAGGATATTAACAACAATTACATAGTTTCGTTAGACGTCCAAAGCCTATCCACTAACATTCCACTAAATGAAACCATTGACATTGCATTAGACCTTATTTACTTACATCAACCTAACCTCCTCATCAACCGATATGACCTCAAACAACTTTTTCTTATTGCCACAAGCCAAACACACTTTCTACTAAACGGAAACTTTTACGATCAAATCGACGAAGTTGTAATGGGTTCTCCATTAGCACCATTACGAGCCAATATTTTTATGGGTCACCATGAAAGGAATTGGATAAAACACTACAACGGACCAGACGTACTTTTTTACAGACGCTACGTAGACGATATTTTTTGCATTTTTAATAACGAAAACGATGCCTCATCTTTTTTCAGTTACCTGAATCAACAACACAAGAACATTAAATTTACTTTGGACAAAGAACATGACAAGACAATTACCTTTCCTAGACGTACTTATAACTAAAAACTCTAAATCCAAAACCTTAAATACGTCAATTTTCCATAAGAAAACATACATCGGACTTTTATTGAATTTTTTTAGCTTCACTCCACAAACATACAAGACAGGACTCATAAAAACTCTTTTTCATCGTATTAAAAAATCGACAACACACAGACAGGCTATCGACGCGACCAAAAAGAATTTATTGGCATTCTAAAACGTAACTCATACCCCCTGCATTTCATAAACCAAGTAATAAAAACATGACAACGACACTAACTCTAGCACAACTAACAATGAACAAGACCACACACAAGCAAAACCCCAAATCAATTACTTCAAGCTACCTTACATTGGCCACTACTCACAAATCACAAAACAAAAACTACATAACTTGGTCAGACGTTACTGCAATAACTTAGACATAAAACTAGTATTTTCTTCTTTTAAAATCGAAAACTTCTTCCGCTTTAAAGACCCCATCCCTTTCCTCTTGAAATCCAATGTGGTTTACGAATTCTCTTGTGCGGGATGTAATTCTCGCTACATTGGCGAAACCAGCCGCCACCACTCCACACGGATTAAAGAGCATACCACTTCCGATGAAAACTCTCACATAATTAAACACCTCCTCTCATCACCACACTGCAAATCTATATACTCACAATCATGCTTTCGTATATTAGACAGTGCCCACACTCCTTCTTCTTTAAAACTAAAAGAAGCACTGTACATCAAAAAACTCAAGCCTAATCTAAACAAACAAATTCAGCATATCAGTACTATCTTTAACTTGTAAATACTTAACACCTCAAATCACTACAAAATTGTAAATAACTTCCACTTCCATCCCTTACTTCCAATCTGATACAAGACATGTCAATACACCTGTCTTGTATCAAATTTCTTTATATATTAACTCCATTCTAATATTTATTCATTATACTGCACTGAAGATGGCATAAGTTTGCTTAAACATGTCTGCATTAAAAAATTTAAAAAAGTTGTCGTTTGCGTTAAATGCATCATTTCAATCACGCTATTACTAAATTATGGAAGTAAATTTGAATTAACCATTTTAAATTACATCCGGTAGTGTCTCTGAAAGTGAATGATTGGGAATATGTGTTGCAGAAATGGAATAACGCGACTTTTAACTACAGACATATAGCAATTCTATATGTCATAGGCGTACGGGAGCTATAAGTATATAGTCTGTGGCGTTGTAAATATTTTACCCATCTCTAATAAAATTTCCGACGTATTTTCGCCAGACCAAAGTTAAAAAAAATTTTCACAACTTTTCAATCTTCAAACTTTCCCGGTGAGCTGAGCTTCTGCTTAAAACTTATGATATATTTTTTTTATCTTGTCAATTCAACATCTTATCGTCCGCCGTCTCGTTGATATTTACGTTATTTCTCATACGTAGATATAGCTACATACCATTAACAGGTTCTTCTTCACATTTTGTAATATTTACACTTTCCTCAAATATTTTCAAAGCTAAAAACGAAACAAAACTTTTTTAATTTTTGGTCAATCAATCTGTTACATCAATTCGTCAGATTTTGCTAAATTTTATTCTTAATGAGCCCGACTACTTTTTCTTTGGTTTTATCACAGTATTTATAGCATTTAGTTCTTTCAACGGGCACATGTGAAGAACGTTTCTTATGAATATCAAACATTGTATGAATATGAATAGATCTTACACTTGTTCAAGAGTCGTTCATACATGTTACACTAACAATACAACATTTTGAAGAGGGACAGACTGCCTGTTTAAAACCATAGCAATATGTTCGTGAAATGTCTTACAAATGCTTGAACTTACCGAATACCTTTAAGAATTCTTCCTCCTCATTTGCATTTTGATCTGACATTAAATTGTCTGCTTTATCCAAAAGTTGCTTTTCATAACTTTGTTGCATCTCTTCAACATCTTGTCGCTGCTGTAGATAGTTAAAAGTGGCCTCACAACTTGTTATGACAGACATTTCTTGACTTCGTTTTTGCATAAAAATTTTATGCATCATGTCTTTTTTCCATTGTTCAAGAGTTGTTGATCCATCTTCATTATTTAAACAAATTGTCCGCATTTCATCTTCCATTTTTGTCTTGAGTTCTTCAGCCGTGTCCACAATATATTTTTTACTTTTCTTCCAACATGTATCACGTTCCTCTCGTGTTGTACATCTTCGTAATTCTCTTTGGATTTCTTGTTCAACTTCAGCCATTCCATTTACGATTAGTTTAACTGATTTTTCAAAATAGTTTTTCTCCCTTGATATATTGGCTTTGACTTGGAAAATATTTCGAGCACTAAAATTAAAATTTCCCTTGAGTATGGCTTTCCAAAAACTTTTAACTCGTTCACGAAACGAAGAAACAGTAAGTTTGATCAATTTTTCTGACCACATTAACTCAATTATACTCTCTTTTACTTCCTGCACAGCAATACCATAATTTGGATTCACTGGAGCCATAGGAGGACTTCCTTTCAATAAATTTGGTATGTAAAACATGTCTTTGTTTTCGTCAAATGCAATGATGTCGTCAAACTTTTGAAACTGATCTTCACAGTTTTCTTGTGCAGCTGCAAGCTTTGCCATTTTGTCTAGATCATGCTTTAAATTTTGCCAATTCGCTTTAAAATTCTCCTCGGTTTTGGTAGCAGAAACATTTTGATATAGGATTTTGTAATTTTTTTTCTCTTTCAGCAGCTTCATTTTCAAAAAAGCGCGAACAACCATGTTTAAAAATTCTATTATTTCATTATGCTTTTCACCAAAGATATTGACGATCGTGACATCAGCCACACCAATAACAAAAGTTGCCAATTCAATAGAATGTTCTCTCACTGTTGGATCAACCCGTCTTCTCAATCCTTCAGTATCGATGATCAATAAGAAGTCCAAGTTTGAGTCCGATTTAAGTTGATCACTAAGTGGAACAAGACAAACAAAAGCGCCACGAGTGCACTTTCTCCCATTTACAGGAAATTCCAAGCCAAACATTGCATTCAACATTGCCGACTTACCAGAATTTTGAATACCTAACACAGAAATCACGCAGATTCTAGCGTTATTTGTTTCGCGTTCCACTTCCTTATAAACAGCATCAAACCATGTTAAAGGTAGATAACCTGAATCACCATCTAGTAATTCCAAAGGATGACCTGAAAGAAGAATCTTCGCACCAGCACTGGCATAATTATTGATTACAAAATCGGAGAGTTGATGAAGTTGAGCAAGCTCTCTAACGATATGCTCCAAACCAAATAAAGAGTATGATATCAATGCTTCTAAATCTTTCAAACGATTTTCTTCCTGGGATTGTGAATCAAGCATGTCATTGTGTGTTTCTTGTAACTTTAGACGATATTGGTGATGCAACTTTGCCATCGCCGATAGAGAAGCCTTATCAAATAAATACTTCAATCGTTGCAAATTTCTGTTCAGCATTCGTTCATCCATCACAGCAATGGAATTCAGGAAATGACGAATTTCTGTATCCATCTTTTGAAATGATTCCATCTGAGCCTTCTTTTCTTTTCTTATATCTTCATATGGTTCAATTACAACGTTTTCTCTGCTCGTGTTTTCATTGTTGAGAGGAAACTTTGGATTATGTTTCTTTCTTTCTAAATCCGCCAGAACAGGTATATGAAGTTGAAGCTTGAACCACTTTTTTGTTTCTTCAATCCCAAAAGAAAGCCAAGTTTTGAAAGTTTTGTCCCACTCAACATTAGCTTGGTCATAATCAACATAAACTCCACTTTCCTGTGATAGTAACCTCACCTTTTCTAAAGATTTCACTTCAGTTTCTTTTATGTTGCTCTGGATTTTCTGGCGAATACTTTTCAGAAATCTGTAATCGGATGTCATTAACGATTTAGTGAATGAATATAATTTTGTTGAATGTTGATCGATCACGCCGTCGTAGTAATTTTTTACTTCTTTTCGCATGTTTTCATTAAAAATGAGGACTATTTTACTTTTGGACGACATAGCCTTTTCCAAAAAATTTTCCACACGTTTGTCAGGCATTTCCGAGGGCAGCAAAATGCACAAAATGTTTGATATTTCACGAAGTATATTAACTTGCTTCTTAAAATTTTGGGCATTTCCACGTAGATTGGCAAAACAGATTTCATTTTTTAACATGTTCTTGTCACATCCACCAGGAAGATACCACACAAGTTCTACCAAACCATCAACGACTCTTCTTACAAAATCGCCACCTTCCATGTTTTTATGAAAAAAGAATTCATGATCTCCATTACCATCACTGATAATTTTATTCAACAGAGACGATTTGGACATGGTCACATTACCCAGCCGGATAAATGACACTATTGGAAAGGGGTGTTCTGTTGCGTACACCTCTTTTGCCGAGTCGTTGATTGAGGCACCTCTCCAAGACTTTGTTATTTTTCCCAACGCTGAAAGCAAGATAGTTTGCTTCTCCACTGGATCATCAGGATCAGGTAAAATAAAAGGAACGCTAAGCTGACATTCGCTAAGTTTAACAGCTATATATTGTCGTAAGAAATTGTCAGAACAATGGAAAATTCCTAACAAAGCATCCATTGGGTTGATTCCTTCCAAAGTAAATTCACGCACATGGTAGTTGGCCATCATTAACATTTGAAGAATATATTTTGGAATTTGGTCATGTGAGGTCAGTTTATCCTCAGTAAACTTTTGCATATCTAAAGTGCGTGCATTTTTTAAGGTAAATTTTGCCTCGTGTTTGAAGCTTTGGGAAGGTGTGCCCGGTTCGTTGGTTGGTGCTTCACTTTCAAAGAAAGAAAGAAATGTTTCAACACCTAAATTAAAATAAAATAAATAAAACCACATTGAAAAAATGAATGTTGTCAGCAATGTTAGGTTCATATCATCAAAGCAATTTCTTTTACGGCAAACCAATGGGATCGATATCTCTGATTTACTTAACTTGCAACAGTTATCAATGGCGTAACCAATGTCATTGCTGTTGGATGGGTAGAGGGGACAATTTTCATATATGAATGTTATATGATTAATGAAATATCCTTAAAATCAATGAATATAAGCCTCTTTCCCAAATTATCGAGTCTATCTACGCCATGGACATTTACTTTGAATATCAACCAGCATTTCCATCAATTATTCCTTACAAATAATCAAAAATTACATGTGCGCAAAGTTGCAACGATCTTCATTTTTTCGCTTTATACCTTTACATATGAGTTTAAAGCAGTATTGTCAATTCATATTTCATGAACACAACAAATTTTTAATAAAATATTTGGACATGTTCAACATCTTATAATGCCATCTTTAATAGATATGATAATGTGTTATAAGCTTTAAAGTTGTTACATTGAGATTGATTTCTTTGAGGAAATTCGGACATAAAAGTAATGAGTGGGGCACAACTGACTACAAGTGTACCGCTCCCCCCTCCCAAATTAACGTTTGAGTTACGGCAACTCAAATAAATTTAAATCAGAAAACTTGAACATTAAAAAAGGAGATGTAATAAAAGTTGGCATAATATGGGGTTTTAAAATCGTAAATGCGTAAAAGCACTATTGATTTGCGCATTTAATTAAAAGGACAATTTTCTTTAAAATAGGCATGTTTTGACATCTCATGATGCCATCTTCAGTACGAGTGAAATAATAAATAATACAAGGTTTATATAAAAGTAATATGATACATAAATTACAACAATAATAAGGAAATAAGATAAATTAATGGGGAGCGTCCGAGCGTATTACAAACTAAATATTGCATTGAATTTAAAAACTTGAACATTGAGGTCAGGTTTAGTTTTGTTGATTTGGAGTGCTTCTTTGACTTTAAGGGTGAATGAGGTGTCGGCATTGTCGATGATTTTGAAACAAGAGGGTGAATAGTTGGTTTTACATAAGTGAGATTTAAGAAGGTGTCGGTAGATATAAGAGTTTTTGTCTTTTGTGGTATGTTCCCTGATTCTGGTGGATAAATGGCGCGAAGTTTCGCCAATGTATCGGGAATTACATTCCGCGCAGTTGAATTCATATATCACCATTGATTTAATTGAATCAGGGATTGGGTCTTTGAATGAGGTTGAAAGGTTTTTCATTTTGAAAGATGTGAAAATTAGTCGAATGACAATATCTGTACAGAAGCGTTTCATAATGTTTGTACATCTGTGCTGTGTGTGTCGTGAGTAATATCCGATGTATGGTAATTTGAAGTATAGAGTTGTTATTTTGGAATTTTCATTTGTGTTCGTCGGGCCAGATATTTCGGTGTCTAGTTTGAGGTTGTTGCTTAGTTTGTTGTCGAGATATCGTTATACGGTTCTGTTAATAAAGTGTAGTGGGAAAGAGTTTCGTAAAAGAGTGGATGTGATGTTTTTTATGTCTCATTGAAAGCCATTGTTCGTATTGTTAAGTGTGTATGCTCTGTCGATTAGTGTGCGTATCTAAGTCCGGTTTTTTATGAAAGTGGTGTGAAACTAAAACAGTTCATCAGAAGTCCTGTGTATGTTGGTTTGTGATATGTAGATGTTGTACAGCTGTCATGGGATTTTGTTAGTAAAATGTCAAGAATTGGTAGTTGATCTTGTTGTTCAGTTTCAAAAGAAAATTTAATGTTTGCGTGATGTGTGTTAATGTAATAATAAAACTTCATGGCCACAGTTTCGTTCGTAAAAAGACAAAAATATTGTCAACGTATCACTTGTAAACAGTTGTGTGAGGTCTGTCCTGTTTATACTGAACCTGGAGTTGTGAGTTAATATTTCGTCAATTGGTAGGTTGATGGTTTCATTAAGTGGTATGTTAGTAAATAGGCTTTCAACGTCGTAGGAGATGAAGAATTTGTGACAAGAAGTTGATGAGTTGAAAGATGTGAAGTCGCCGAGGAGAGTGAAAGAATCTTTAGTGGAGTGGTCATCTGGTATGAGTGGTGTTAGTGGAAACATGGCCGCCGTTTAAAATACACCGATTCTAGAACTCAAAACAGGGGACACAAACACCAGAGGGTCCAACATCGAGTGGCGCTTCTGTTATGTATCTATTTTGTGCTTGTATTATTTATTATTTCACTTATACTAAAGATGGCATCATGAGATGTCGAAACTCGTCTATTTCAAAAAAAATTTGTCGTTTTTATTAAATGCGCAGGTTTTAAAATCATTTAGCTAAACTATTCCTTATCGTAGTTTTTGAATTAAACCTATTTATTAGTCAAAACATTAAATCATAAATTCCCGGTGTTGTTTTCATTGTGTACTAATTTATCCATATTTATGCCACTATCAACGTATATATTATCACCCAATTATTATAAAGATAATAATATACTCAAGATTATCATTGGCACTTAACTATTTCTGAATTTATTATCATACTTATCATCTATGAATAAATACGTACGTCTTAAATATTCTCTGTCGTCGTTAGAGATATTTGCATTTTCTTCTTTGATGCATTTACCATCTGCGTTTTCAAGATGCTTCTCTTCTTTGTTTTTCTTTTCTTTATTGAAGTCATTTGACATATTTTTATCCATAGTTTGATTAAACAATTAACTGCACAAAGAAAAGTTAGAACACATTTATTGATTTATAAATTGGCGGCCAAAATACATCATAGTATAACTGCCATTATTACAGAACTCTAGGATGCATTAAAGGAAAATCAAGGAATTATAGTATTTACATCTACTGTTTCAGGTCTTGTAGATCTTCTTAAGTCTTTTGATTTACGCAATCGTTTAGCCTCTTGGAATCGGTGACAGCACGTACTTTTTTAGCAGATAATTTAAGAAGTGTAAATCAAATTTGCTTTTAGACTTAGAGAAAAGAGTTTCATTTGGAATGAAATATCTTGAACATTGATTTGTCATACATGTTCGGTCTATTTTCATGGCAATGCTTCAGTAAACTTATAATGTCTGGAATGCAGTTTCATAACTTCGTTTGCATTTTGTAAATTACTTGTCTTTTAGAACTTGGATTTAAACTTGTTTTAAAATCATAGAAGCTTTCCTCCTACTCTTTTCAATGCATTAAGATGTATTTATGATAATAGAAAGCACATGCAAATTTTCATTGAAGACAATGTTAAAAAATGTAAAATGAAACACAAGCTTTAATCGTGGTAACAAAATCGTCTATAATTCAAAAGTCGCTTATAGCATTCGGAATATGAGTTTAATTTGGGATAAAAACATCTGAACATCGATTTGTCATGCATGTTCATTTTATCTTCATGGCGAGGCTTCAGTAAACTTGTAATGTCAGGAATTCAGTTTTGAAATCTCGTTTGTATTTTCTAAATTACCCTATAGTTATAAAATTTGGACTTTAAAACTTCAATCAAAGTGACTGCATGCTTAATCTTTTCATTTATCACTGACACACACCCGATAAAAAGTGAAAGATAAAATAAAGGCAACACAACCACATGAATAGCAGGTAAATAACTGCGATTAAACTTCATACCTTAATTCAGTATCAATTTTCTTTTGATCCTTGTGAGTTTCGTTGCATAAGCGCATTCGGATAACGAACAAAGATAACACAAAGTAAGACTTTCCTTCAACAAACTGTTTCATGAACATTAATGACTTCCACGTAGAACATCTCAGTTATATAACTAAGTATACATCACTGACTAACAACAATTATCATTTAAATAAAAATACATAACTAAGAACCTCATGCAGAGTGCATGATAACATTGGGACTAGCCAAATAATGAAAAACGAGTGCATTGATACAAAAAATCGAGACGTTTTTACTTTTTACTTAATTTTTGCCTGTAGCTTAATTCTTTCATGCTCATAGATATCACCAACATATTCTCTCATAGATATCAGCAATTGAGCCATGTTCGTTGTCTGATACAAAAGAATATTTGATCAGTGCTATTGTGAGCACCAAACAACAAGAGCGGGCGACATTGTTTATGAGTCTCAAGAGTATGGTGGTGAGAGAAACTTTAATATATTATAATCCTCGTCTCAAATGCCATAGTTTTTGTCAAGGAAATTGTCGACGAAGAAATCGTCATCATTCACTTTAATAGTTGCACCAATTGTAGAATCTAAATCTTCCATAATCTTTATTGCACAATCGATGCCTGAAGCTAGATTTAAAAACAATTACAAAATGGTGGCTGGTCTTCATGAAAGAAATCTTATGCTCAGCATTTTTTTAAATATCCTTACAGACATCATCCATTTTTCTCATGCTACATATTGGCCTTTCATCACTGCCCCACAATTCAGCATATAAAACTGGGCCATGTTGTTGTAACTTTAGAAGATTTTTCACCTCTTTCACTCTTTATTTAACGAATTTTTAAATTATTCATCCAAGCGAAAATTTCCAGACTTATCATCATAAAAATTAAATGCTTCTGTAACGGTTCGATACTTCACTAAAGCTTTTGGTTCAGCTCCTTGTGACTCTTGTTGGATAATGAAGCTAATACATATAAAAATGTATCGGTTGGGTTTGTCGTACCTTGTGGTAAAAGAAAATTTCGATGGATCTTCATCCTCCTTATTTTAAAGTTTTTCATCGCTTAATAATCTATTTTCACATGAAAAATCAATGTTTTACCTTAATTTGGCCACTTTTGATTAAAAAAAAAACTTTATCATCTTTTTGTATGGAATTTATGAAAGCAATGTCTATGATCCAGCAGAGTACTTCCATCTGTTCAGTAAAAAAACTGGAATAACAAAATTCTACACAGACATTGGGAAAACAAATTTTGCTTTTCAAAATAATCATGTCAGACCACAGGCAAGATACCACATACAAGCGCTACAAAGCCATGCATTCATGATTTTGCCTCTAAATTCACCATCTTTCATGTTATTTCACTATTGCTATCACTGATAACATTATTCATTAAAAAAGATTTAGAAATGGTCATATTACCATCCCCGACGAAGCACACTTCGGCAAACGGATGTTTTGCTGCTAAAACTTCTTCAGAACAATGCTTATAGTCAAAGCAACTCTCCAGATTGCAAATTCAGTGAGCTATTTAGTTGAAAAAACTACTAGACCCCTAACAATCAAAAGTTCTTTTTGTATTACTTAAGCACGGCATGTGTACAACAAACAAGAAAGATGATTTTATATTATTCAAGATTTCCTTATTTAACTTTAGCAGATTCGAAAGCTTCTGCAAAGATGAAAAATATAGCTATTTTTCTCTTTCACAACGCTAAAACAGCTAAAATATAAGATGTTTCAAGAATGGGCTCAGTACGACCTGCTCATGCAGTGTTTGCTTTGAGTAAGAAAAATTCAATCAAAACACACTGTTTCCTTTGATCCTTTGATTTCGAGCCCATTCACACTAACACTTAATATCGATTTGAAATCGATTCGTGTCTGTATGAGGGCTAATGTGAACACTTGCAAGTGATGCGAAAACGAATTCGATCCGAACTAACTTGGGCCACTTGAAAAGGTGATCTCGAATGATAATGTGAACATGCAACACGAATAGAATCAGGTCAATATTGATCAACCACATGTTTTTGACTTAGTAACTAGACTTTTTATGCGGTCACACATGTGACGCGTTGTTTTTGCCGTGCTTGCTTGCAGCAATATTTTACAATTTTACTTATAAGCATAAAGTAACTCGACGTGCCTTGCATTGTTTTGAAAGTGTTCCAACATTTTTTTTCGTATTACCTTCGATCTTTTGGCTGTTTTTTCGCGTTCTTTTGGTATTCTCGTAAAAGTATGCCCATTGCAGTAATCTCCGCCATTTCTATTGGTTAAATATTGTTATTATCAAAGATTCAAAGATGGTTTAGGAAATGCGCCAAAATTTAATGTCAATAATGTGAAGCAAAAGTAAACATTAATTTTACTTAAACTATAGATTCTAAAGTATGTACCCACAATACCCTATAATTAGACTAAAATACCTGCTGATCCATATCTAACCTTTTGAGTTTCTTATGATACTATGTTATCAAGCAAAAAATAATGCGGATAAAACTTCAACTGTGAACACTCATGTTTTTTCATTTTAAAACGAATCGAATTCGAATCAACTACTTCGATTAGAAAACGAATTAAGTTTGTATGGGCCCTAAATCAGTAAATAAGTGATATTATCTTTTTGTGGTTTTCATATCAACCATACAGGTGTCTCAACAAAAAATATCATAGTATTTTATTGTTATCAACCAACATGGTGGATCATTTTCCCGTGAGATATACATGAAAAGCACGAATATGATTCAAATGTTGTACAGCTATTGTGGTTGTATTGTTTCATATTACGACATTTCGCAACAAAAATACAGGTTACGCAATAACACATATCTGTGTAGATAATAACATGTTTACATTTTATATAAATTTTTACATGTTTAAGAAAAGTAAACGATAGTTGATATATAGAAGTATAGTCAGAAAAATTAAATATAGTTACAATTAATAATTGAAGGTCTCATACGCTATTAAGACCCGCACACAACATACATCATACGAAATTATAATCTAGAGAATTATGCCTAGTTACAAGACTTTAAAATAAAAATTATGTGCAACAAATAACGTTAAGAATGACTACTTTGCTGCTTTTCTAATTAAATTGAAGCAATTAATTGAAGTCTATAAGATTAAATTATGGCTCACGTTATTAAAGGAATATTTTAGAGACAAAAGAATTTGTTGAACAAGCCACAGCACTTTTTGTGACAGAAACATATATCACGACAAAATTCCAAATGAACGTTTAGCAACAAAAGATTTTATCGATTTCAATCATAACAATGTTCTCCTTTCACCAATAAGTCAGTATCATATTGCTTTTCCACCACGACATCCATAAAGATCTTTGCACGTAATGTTGAAATCCCATTCGATATTTATCATAAATGAGATGTAAAGTCTATTTTGACTTTCACCATTGTCGTTTGATGGGTTTTTTTTATGTTGTCAATGTGATTAGTTTTCGTCATAGTGAATATGTTATTTTGTTCGTCTTTCTAACAATTATAGCTAACACCCAGCACAGCAAAATAAATTGTATTTGAAATTGTTAATTATCGTTACATTATTTATTTGATGTTTTTGAAGGTAAATTACTTGTAGTTTATGTAGTCACGAAATGAATATTTCCCTGGATGTCTTTTAATAAGTACAGATTACATGGTTAAGGTTGTTAAATTATAAGTATAGTTCTAAACAAATTGACCGCCATATTTCATTAACGCATTGGTAAGTAACAATACAAAAATTTAATCACAACATTTTTAATCTACTTCTTTAAACATTTATTTAACAAAAAAACATCAAATGATTCTGGTACTGATCAAATTATATTTCAAAAAAAACGAGCTAAAACCGAGTTACAAAAAAAACATTGATTAAAAATTGACTTCAGGTGATGGTTTTGATGAAGATTTTTATAAGTTGTATTCCTCCTTCAGTTGTTTTACGGCCTCACTTAAGGTCACATTTTTCCAACACGAAGGTATTTTTGCTTCCTTTGCTTCATAATGTTCCGCCAATTGTTTCGAGAACTTTACCATGAACCATTGCCAATATTTAGAAGCTTCAAATGAGCGATCTGGAGGAATTTTCCACGATTTGTAGTAATCGTTTACTGACTGATAACTTTTGTAGAGATGCGGTTTCCAATTTGTGTCAATGTTATTAAATGTGTCATTTCCAGCTACAAGAAAAGTACAAATATCGGAAGCCAAAATCGCAGTTCAGACATCGCGATAACCTGCCAAAGCCAGAGGACGGTGTATTTTGGTCGAGTATTGTTGATGTATTTCTGTCACGTTTTTACCATCGTCTGAATGTTTTGATTGCTCCACAGTCTGATCACACAAAGCTTTACAAAATGGACAAACAGCCTGACACCCAAACAGTAACTTTGAACGCCTTTCGTGGGGTGCTGGCTGCCAATTACTAATAGTTTCACTATCCAATTTAGCATCAGTAAGGGATTGCACAAAGTTTTCGACTAACTCACGAACTTCTTTGTCAAATAAATCAGTTTCTTTTAAATCTTCATCCATTGCAGCGACACCAAACATTTCTGTCGTAATGGCAAGAGAAGAACACTGTTCCACAAACTTTTTAATCCAATTCGTTACTTTCCAACTCTCGCTTCCTTGTTCGATTTCATGTCTAGCTTGCTCATTTGCGTCTTCAATGGCAGAAAAAATATTTGACTTCAGCTTCTCTCCTTCATGTTTTAACAGAGATCGCACCAATTTCGATCCTGTGTTCAAGCAAAAGTCTTCCACGTACTCCTTTAATTTGTTTTCCAAAAATTGAATAGGATTCTCCAAATAAGGAACAAACAATTCAAAACTAGGGTTTTCTCCAAGTTGAATCAAAACACTGGCATGAAAGTGAGCCTTGCTTAAAAACATGCTCTTCGTCGAAAGCTTAGTATCAACTGCTGCTACAATGCCTTTGTTAAGTTCTGACATTACAGGCTCACGAAGCACATCAACCAATGACGTGGCAGCCAAAACTTCTTTCTCCATCTCTTTGCAAAGGTTGATAAAATACTTTTCCAGCCTTGGTCTTAATGTTTTTTCAAGATTCTGTCGAATATCACGCTCTTCAACATAACGCTCTTCCATTTTATCAAAAATAGGAAAGGCACGGGCAAATGTGTATAACAGTATGTCACATACTAATGGTTTTTTAAACTTCATGTTTTGTTTCTCTTCTTCTTTATCAATAGTAGAAATGATTTCATAGTACATTGCTTTAAGATCATTTATAGTAAATCTAACAGCTTTGTTGGAAACTCTCTCTGCAAACTGCTTTCCTTGAGAGATAACTTTATTTTTGATATCATATGCCGTTGACACACCATCGTCTATGATAAAAGTATACATGGATTTAGCCAATGTCGAATTAAACCCTCCCGTAAACGAAAACATATTTCTATAAGGGACAGGATCAGCATTAAAAAAGCAGAAATTCCATACTTTTTGGTTCTAGTTTCGCTAACATCTCAGCATTAAGATCAGAATTTTCTGGTAGAAGGACATCAACCATATATGCATTAACATCACGGGGAACATCCTCACAATTGGGAACTTCGCTAATCCATTGTTTCCATCCTTTTTGAAATGCTGCTTTACATTCTTCTTCGTCATTTGTTTTTTGAGTTGACACTAATTTTTTTGCTCTGTCCAGAAGTTGTTTCTCATAATTTTTTTTCATTTCTTCAACATCTTGTTTTTGCTGCAGATGGTGGAAGGTTGCCTCACAATTTTCTATAACAGACGCTTCCTGATTTCGTTTGTATCTTTTAATTTTATCCATCACGTCTTCTTTCCATTGTTCAAGGGTAGATTTATCTTCACTGCTTTCAAAAAACGTCTGCATTTCTTTCTCCATTTTTGTTTTGAGTTCTTCTGCCTTTGCAAATATACGTTTTTTACTGCTCATCCAACATTCCTTTCGTTCTTCTCGTGTAGTGCATCTTTTCATGTCTCTTTCAATATTTCTCTCAATTTCATCCATTCCATTTACCATTAGTTTTACTAATTCTTTGAAAAGTTTTTTGTCTAATGATGCATAAGCTCTGATTTCGATCACATTTCGGAAACTGAAAATGAAGTTTTCCTTTAGCATGGCTTGCCATAGACCTTTAACTCGATTACGGAATGAAGAAACAGTTAGCTTGACCACTTCTTTTGAGCACATTAGCTGAATAATATTCTCCTTTACTTTTTGCAAGTCTCTACCATAATTTGGGTTTATCGGAGCCATGGGAGGACTTCCTTTCAATAGACTTGGTATGTAAAATACGTCTTTATTTTCATCAAATGCAATGATGTCATCTAACTTTTCAAATTGATCTTCACAATTTTCTTGTATTGCTGCAAGCCTTACCATATGGTCTAGATTTTGTTTTAGATTTTGCCTATCCATCATTAACTTATCTGCAGCGTCATCAGCAGCAACATTTTGATGGACGATCTTGCATGATTTCTTGTCTTTCACAAGTTTCATTTTGAAAAAAGCATGAACAGCCATCGCCAAAAATTCTTTCATTTCATTATAGTTTTCACCAAAGATATTGACAATCGTGACATCCGCCATACCAATAGCAAATGTTGCAAGTTCATTATCGTGTTCTCTCACTTTTGGGTCAGCCATTCCTTTCAGACCTTCAGTATCGATGATCAACACATATTCAAAATTTGAGTCACATTGAAGTTGTTGGCTAAGTGGAACAAGACTAGCAAAAGCACCACGAGTACATCTTCCTGCACTTACAGGAAATTGTAAGCCAAACATTGTATTTAACATTGTCGATTTACCGGAACTTTGAATACCTAACACAGAAATGACGTAAATGCTAGCGTTATTTGTTTGCTTTTCTAATTCTTCATAAACATCATTAAACCATTTCATTGGTATGTAACTTGAATCACCATCCAGCAATTCCAAAGGCTCTCCGGAAAGAAGAATTTTTGCTGCAGCACCTGCATAATCATTCACTGGAATATCAGGAAGCTGATAAAGTTGGGCAACCTCTCTAATGATATGCTCCAAACCAAATGAAGACTTTAATATCAATTCTTCCAGTTCATTTAAATTCTTTTCTTCCTCGGTTTGTGAATCTGGCTTATCATTGTGCATATTTTTGGTAGGTTCTTTAACAGAAAGTAATGCCCGACGATATTTTTGATGTAAATCCGCCATCACAGATAAAGAAGCTTTGTCTAATAAATACTTCAAATGATGCAAATTTCTATTCAGTTCCCGTTCTTTCATTGCAGTTATGGAATTAAGAAAATTAATAACATCTTTGTTCATACTATTGAAAGATTCAATCTGAACCTTTTTTTCATTTTCCCGTTCTTTGTACAATTCATTGACAACGTCTTTAATAGTGGGACGAAATTTTGGATTATGTATCTTTTTTTCTAAATCTGCTAAAATAGGTACATGACCTTGTAGCTTAAACAGGTTTTTTGCATTTTGAATCCCATCAGAAATCCAAGTTTCCACAATTTTTTCTAATTTGGCATAAGCTGGGTCGTCATCAAAGTAAACACCACTTTCCTTTGAGTGGCATTTGAAATTTGCTAAAGATTTCAGTTTACTTTCTTGCTTGTTAATGTCTTCAGCCTTTTTTATATTGCTTTGTATAACCTTGCAAATATAATTGAAAAATTCATATTCATTCGATTTAGATGCTTTTGTACAGGAAGACAATCTTGTTCGATGATACTTCTCTAAGTCTTTGTAGTACTTCTTCACTTCTTTTTGCCTTTTTTCGTTAAAAATCAGCAGTGTTTTACCTTCAGACATTATAGCTTCATCCAAAAAAATTTTCGTGCGTTCGTCAGGCATTTTTGAAGGCAATAAGATACACAAAATGTTTGATATCTCTCGAAGTACATTAACTTGCTTCTTGAAACTCTGAGCATCTCCACGTAAATTGGTAAAACAAATTTCATTTTGCAACGAGTTCTTCTTGTTTCCTCCAGGAAGATACCACACAAGTTCCACTAAACCTTGCACGACTTTCCTTTCCACATCGCCACCTTTGATGTTTTTATGAAAAAAGAAATCATGATCACCATTACCATCACTTATAATCTTGTTCATTAGGGACGATTTGGACATGGTCACATTTCCCAGCCGGATAAAAGACACTACAGGAAACGGATGTTCAGTTGCGTAGACAACTTTAGCAGAATCTTCGGAAGTGGCATCTTTCCAAGATTTTGTTATATTTTCCAACGCCGAAAGCAAGACAGTTGGGTTTTTTGCTGGATCATCAGGATAAGGTAAAATGAAAGGAACGCTAAGCTGACATACACTAAGTTTTACAGCTAGATCCCGTCGCAAAAAATCGTCTGAACTATGGAAAAGTCCTATCAAAGCATCCATAGGGTTAATTCCTTCCACAGCTTCACTTTCGTTATCACTATCACTATCATCGGAATCATCTTCATCTTCAAAACTTTTATTTTCGACTTTATCTGATTCAATCTCATCTTCATCCTCGTCATCGCTATCACTTACACCAGTACCATTATTTGATTTTATAATAACTTTACTTTTTTTTAATGGTTCCAGTTTAAATTCACGTGCTTGGTGATTAGCCATCATTAACATTTTAAGAATATAGCTGGGAATTTGGTCATGAGAAGTCAGTTCTTCGTCAGTAAACGTTGCAACAGTACGTGCATGTTTCAATGTAAGTTTTTTTTTAAAACCCAAACGTTCGCAAAGTTCAGATAATGCTTTTTGTTTTGTTTTATGAGAATTCTTTTCTGTTTTATTGGGAGTTACACCCAATATGAAATCCTGACGAAATTCTTTTGGGCCTAGTTGAAAAAAAACCATATAGAATGACCTCCAAAAACTTATCTGTTATATTTATAATTTGTGTACTACACAGCACACGCCTTACAAATAATGACTAGGATTAATTTTACCGTAATTTAGGTATACCTGTGCTTTTGTGTGTTCAAAATGAACCATAAATTTACAATAGCTCAAAGCAAGGCGATACTGTATATTGCGACAAGAAAGCAAAACTTTATACCACAGTTTGACACTGTTTCAAGGAAACCCAAACCACCAAAATAATAATTTGATCTATCTAAGATGAACACAGGCAGTTGGGAAAACAATTTCAAGGAGAGATAGGCTAAACTAAATATCGTAAGCTATTGGTCGTGAAAAAGGGAATTTGGCTTCAACAAGCTTACATCATTGCATGTCCATATTTTAACCCCATGTGCTCCATTCGCTGTTTAGCTTTGTCATTTTTTGCGCAACCTTTTTCAAAAGTGCAAATTTTTTCGGCCACTTTTGATGCCATAGATATTTGCAGCAGAAGCTACAAATAAATCTAGTGCACCTGGATATGCTACCCTCAAATATTAGCTATTGTAGTTTGCGGTAATCGTCGTTAAAAATACAAGCCATTCAAGGCACAAGCGTTTCTCTTTCATTTCAGCTTTAAGCTGCTTATGTTCATATAGAGTCATGATTGGTTTCAAATTTTACAAACACGTTTAATTTACTCAGCGAAAGTACGAAATTGTCACCAGGGTTACAAGATGCTATTTGGGAGGAATCTTTTCATGTTTTTACCCGTTTGGTTATAACACTGATGATTTAGCGTAAATTGAACATGAAAATATTATGGCTATATTCAAACCTTAATCAACAATTGTTCTAGACTATACTATCATTCTTATTCATCATACCTCCCCTTCACAATCCACTTGCATTGGCTTTGAAGGTAGTTTAAAAAGGCCAGTTCTCGTGCCGGTTATAAAACAAGACACTCTGGCACGAAATGCAATCCGGTAGCTATGTTGTGAGACCAGCATAAATCATCTTAAATCGTATGGCTTATTACAAATATATACGTACCCTTCACACAATGGACTCTATTATTGAAGGTGTTTTCTTTTTCGTTCTGACCGATGTTATCTTTGACGTTTTCAACGTTCTTGCTTTTCTCGTTTTTCTTTTTAATGGCAATATCAGCCAAACTGTTTTCCTCCATAGTTTGCTTCGACTCTCTCTCAACTACAGACAAAAAAGCTTTATAGTAAATGGCTTGAACCCGGGAGCATCGTTACATGATTGTAAATGTAGATCGTCCAGATTGGTATAGTCCTGAGAAGAACTGTTTTTGTTGTTGTTGACTGACGTTTCGACAACCTTAGCGGTAGTCATGATCAGAGTCAAATGAGGAGTAAACGTCAGGTTAGCCGTATTCGTTATCTGGTTCCTACGTCATTGTATTGTGCGTACAGGAAATGTGTATTGTCATTGTGAATTAGTGTGAAGTGAAATGTTTGTAGTTGTGAAGTGTGATTTAGGTGTAATGTTTTTAGTTGTAATGTGTGGGTGTCAATTGTGTATTGTCATTGTGAATTAGTTTGAAGTGTAATGTTTTTAGTTGATCGTTTGTTTGTATTGTGAATAAGTCGTTTTTAAGGTGCCGGTAATTGCTGTGATCTGTTCAGGGGGGTTTGTCCCAAGTTGGTGTACCAACTTTCCAATGTAATAGTCAGTACTGTAAGTAATGCATTTTGCCAGTCCCGGTCAATGTTGCGCTTTGTGATTCGGTGATGTTCGGTAATGTGATTAGTTTTGTCTTGTTTCTTAGTAGCTCGTTTGAGTTCAGTAAGTCTTATGTTTAAGTTTCTGTCAGTTTCCCCGATATAGGAGGCGTGGCTGTCGGAGCAGTTTATTTTGTAAACTGCACCTTGTCGTTCGTTGGGTTGTTCTTTGTCCTTTATGTTCGTTGGTACTTGTCGTAACGTTGTGATTGGTTTATGTGCGACACGTATGTTTATGGTCTAAGATACGCGAGATAGTCTCAGACGTACCTTCTCAAACGTGTTTTTTACAAAAACAACTATAACTCTGACTTTATCAAACGCAACACTTACAAACCCAACAAACCCAACGAAACGAAGAACTCAGTGACAACAGCAACGATACCTTACATCAAAGGTACGTCTGAGACTATCTCGCGTATCATACTATACCAACTTGGACGATCTACATTTACAATTATGTAAAAAAGCTTTATCTTAATTCCTATTGTTTTTTGCAAAACTGTGTTACATAATATTATCAGCTTTGCCAGTAACGTAGCCATTAAAAAATGGTTGATCCTACTCTAGAAAAACGATTAGTAAGAATAGTATAGCTGTAAATCAAGTTTACCTGCTACGTTTCTGTTAAAAAACAAGAACACCGAAACAACCAATTTGCCGTCTTTGACTTTGCCTCAAAGACGGCTACGTCATTAAAATTGTCAAATTTACTTCCGCTTCATGTTACAGATTTCAAAACAATGCTAGATTAAGCTCTCTAATGTTAAAGTTCCTCGATATTTTCAAGCAATATAAAATCTTTAAGAATAGGTAAACAATTCAAAAATATCTGGAATAAATGCAATACTAAAGCCGAGCAGAGGGTAACAAACTCATATAAAGAAAAAAGAAAATGTCAGACTGAAATCTCCAGGAACCTATACACGGGAACGTCAAATACTTCACATACTCGTGCACAAAAAATACCACTCCAATTCTTATTTATGCCATTTTGAGATATAAAATGAGAAATCTTGAGAGACAAAATGGCGGAAAAGAGTTAAAGGCACTTTAGAAAATGTCATAGATTTACTTTTATATTTCAATAAGAATCTTAGAATAAATAATTATTATGATTATTTATACCTTGCTTTCGAATCGTCGAGGGTTGTTTGTCCTTAGCTCTTACATCAGGAAGGCTTTCTGCGAGGTCGACTTCATCGTTCTGCTTTTCTTTGTGGAAATTATCCAAGTTCTTATTGTCTATGGTTGGTTGGGATTTTCCTGCATCTAAAGAATGAAGTAATTTTTGATTTTTAAAATTTACTGAAATTTAATATTTTTTATCAAAATTCGAACATCAAAATATTTGCGATCGACAATTTCACTGAGCAATACCTATGTCATTGACATGCACTGCAATTTTCATAATGTTCAGAAATAACGTCGTGCATATATTTATGTTAGACATTCCTTTCATGAGTTAACAAGCTGCAAACAAGCAACATGTAGTTTGGAACTAGAAGGTTTCCAATGAACGGGTGATGTTAAGCTTATAGAACTTTTAAAATCAAAATTTTAGAGTTGGGTTCGAAGTTCTTTATTAATACTTTTTGATTCTTAGTAAAACTACATTACACAAGTAATTTTTTATTACAATTTAACTATTTGCGTAGAACAATTTTCATTAATTAATTTCTTTCATCTATATTATGCATTAAAATTTATTACAATATTTACGTAGACGCACAATGGAAATTAGCAATTATAAAACAAACTTTTTTATTCCAAACATGTTTCGTGCCATTGAAATTGGAAGAAGCTTCCACAACTTTTAAAATCAAAATTAAATGATTATTCATGGATACGTACCGTTTACATCTTTCTTTCCTTTCTCTCTTTTGAAAACTAAAAGCAAAATTCCACATTTCTAAATTCTTATTGAAAATTATCTATTCAGTTTTTTATCAGCTTTTCCTAAATGTCTTTGTACCCGATGAGTTTTTGCGTTATCACGTATGTTTGATTTATTAACTACATGAAATATTACTCAACAAGCAAATTTTGACAGCAGTAGCTACGGGCTAAACACATTATTAACATTATTACCAGCAAGAACAAGAAGAGAAAGACATTCTTCGATCGACATGTCTACTTATAAAAAGCAACATTCTTTCATATAGCTTGTTTTAATTGTTTTTATAAATAGTTAATTGTTGTTTGGAGAACAGCACTTACACTGAAGGCTATATAATATATAAAAATAAAAATAATGATAACAAACCTATTGTTTCTACGAAAATTTTAAAGGCATATTTTTATATCCTTCAATAACGACAAAACTCAAATCGAACACCGGCTTTGTTTGCAATCCATTCTATAAATAGGCTATATAAACAAATGCTATAAAGACTGTCTATGCAACTAATTTGTGTTTATAAAAATCACAGACATTTCCTATCATAAGCGAAAAAAAAGCCGGAGTCAGCACTCCATAAAAACTGCGCGAATTTATTTATCAATGTATATTTTGTTACATATTACATGTTCTTGCTTTATTGAGATGCTTTACTGACTTTGTTATCTTAGGAATGCAACTAAGAATGTTTGGTCTTTAGATGTAAATTATTAACCTAATTATTCAATTCTCGTTAAAATGTGTTTGCTACTCATGTTTACTTTATCTTACGTTGTCTATAGACAACTGCATGTGTATTGATACACCAAAATGTATCGAAACTGAAAGGAAACAATCTTATGAAAGTTAAAATATCTACATTTTATGATTAGCAATTCAAATTATCAATTGCAATACACCAATTAATAACTAGAGATCCACCCTATCTAGGAGGTGTTAAAATTCTTCAAGCTGATGAAATCACAAATTTTTGAGGTTAATAACTTGTAAAGAAAAAACTTCTTCAATTTGGTTATAAAAATCAAAATCCATTTACAATTCATCTTTTATATCGATTTTCAAATAGTGTACCAGCACAGCATTTGGTTTTGAAGCGAGTCCACCTACTTTTCTAACAATGATATATTAATTCAAAATCAATAAGTTACATTTCAGGGTTACTTGTCGCATCATCAAGACGGGTTTCATTATAGAAAAATCTGTATGAGTAACTATTGGTTGGCCATTTTGTTACATTTGATGGAAATTTTCAATATTTAATGGAATGCAATTTTGATATACGTTGAAATCATTGCTTAATCTTCCAGTATTGAAGACATTACATGCACTTTACTGATAAAGACCGTGTGAATCAAAATGATGCTTTCGTTACCTCTCTACCCATCACATACCAAAAAAGACGAAACATTACAAAAAGAAACGCAGTCATTTTCTGTCAACCATTCGCTTTTCGAAAACAATACATATCAGCATTATATTTAAAACATTGTAGTTCATACCTCGGTTCATTGTAGGGTTTTGTCTAACAAGGACAAATTAAAACAGCAAATCAGGATTTCTTTCACCAAGCAGTCTCATAAAACTATTCAGTTCTGAAAGAAAATCCCAGTTATATATAACTAAGTACACTCCAGGTGTGGCGGATGTAGGGTACGTCAAAATACATTATAAAAGCTCATTGTAAATTTAAAATACTTTTTTAACAACGCTGTTGGTTGGAAATCTCTATAGAATATTTATAACTAAAATACTACCAATAGGATTTGCTGTAAACTATTTTAAAATGGAAATATATTTTCATTGATAACAATTGTTTTTGCATTGTAGAAAAATACGTAGGTATAAACTTCACGCTGGGAACATGTTTCACTGAACAGTTTCTTATTTATATGCGTCATCAAAGCAACTATATGTGGGTGGTTTACTTGAAAATTAATTTAATGAAAAGAGTTAAATAGGTACGACGGAATTTTAAATATTTTTCCCTTCTTTAATTATAACTGTTCGACTAATCCTTACAATAAAATTTTTCAAAATTCAATCAGTAAGAAAGTTGTCCTGTTTAGATAAACATAAAATTATTTTCAAGCAAGTTAATTATCGATGATATTGCTTTTTAAATTGGCTTATTGGCAAAAAGAAGCAACCTGATCATTATGCGTCAAACCTTATATAACATAAAAACACAAAACATGCCTTGTTGTAGCATCGATTCTTAACGATCCATGAGTTATGCTTTACAAATACATATCAAAACTGAAAGTATGGTTCTTCTTCAGCGAATTGATTCATTAAACATTAATGAGTTCTAGGAAGAACATTTCAGCTATGTAACTATAACTATATTTATGTCACTGAGCAAAAATTTTTACTCATATAAAGATGTCCGCAAAACAGCCTCATGCTGATGTAGAGCGCATGATTACTTTGAAATTTGTCAATAGACATTAAGTGTGCTTTGATGCCATGTCAAAGCAACCACTTTGGTGTTTGCTTCAAAGTTCCGACAGTAAACAGAGCATGAAATTGATGAATGTTTTGGTATTAGTTGCTTATATGATGGAGTGATATTGTAAAGCATGGTTTTTAAATTGCGAACGCTGTAATATTTTTGAATGCGAATTTAAGATGTACAACTAATTCATTAGTTGATAAAATTAATTCCTCAAAAGAGTTATCACTTTTATAAATCTTTGAAAGAACATTTACTGTCCTACAAAAGAAGTCACCCATAGCTTTTTCCTTGTTCATATTATCCTTCACGTTGATGTTCGTAAACGCCTTTTTAAGATGTTTACTTTTTGTCATGTTGTATATGTTGAAGTTTTGTTTCTTACAGCCAACTACCTCAAAAAGTTAAAGTTGCTAAAGTTAGGATCATATAAAACTTCCAACTTCTGGCATCAATGATACCTTACATAATTAGCTTAAGCTACAATATAGTATCATCAAAACGCGTTTCATTTAAAATATAAATATCCGATAGATGTAGATTTGTCATGTTTGTATGCCAGAAAATATTTGAGAATGCGATATTGATTTACAAGTAGACAGTAGAAACATTTTTATATAAAAGTAGATTTGTTGAATTAAATATCTCTTCATATAAATGTTGCGCGTGAACACGAGAAACAAAAATCGCCATAATGAAGCATCACCATGAACATAAACTGAGCATATTTGTGTGAACATAAATATGTTCGTTAATATTCATGGTGATGCTTCAGTAAACTTGTATAGTCAGAAATGAAGTTTCGAAATCTCGTTTGTGTTTTTTTAAATTACACTAGTTTTAGAATTTGGACTTTGAAACTATACACTCAGAGTAACTTTACGCTAATCTTTTCATTTATCACTGACACATACCCGATAAAAAGTGAAAGATCAAATAAAAGCAACACAACCACATGAATAGCAGGTGAATAATTGCGATTAAACTTCATACCTTAATTCAGTATCAATTTCTTTTGTTCCATGTGAGTTTCGTTGCATAAGCGCATTCGGATAACGAACAAAGATAAAGACAAAGTAAGACTTTCCTTCGACAAACAGTTTCATGAAAATTAATGACTTCCTCGTAGTTATACATCAGTGACTAACAACAATTATCATTTAAATAAAAATACATAACTAAGAACCTCATGCAGAGAGCATGATAACATTGGGACTAGCCAAATGCCAGATTTATTATCATTATAATTAAATGCTTTTTTATGGTTTGATACCAAAGCTCTTGGTTCAGTTCCTTGTCCCTCCCGTTGAATAATGAAGCTAATACATGTAAAAAATGTAGCTATTCGTTGGGTGGTTTGTCGTACCTTGTGGTAAAAGAAAATTTTGGTGGATCTTCATCCTCCTCATCTTTAAAGTATTTCATCGCTTAACAATCTATTTTCTCATCAAAAATCAATATTTTTCATTAATTTGGCATCTTTGATTCATTGAAAACTTTTTCATCTTTTTGTGTGGACTTTGTGAAAGCAATGTCTATGATCCAGCGGAGTATTTCTATCTTTTTAGTAAAAAAAACTGGAATAACAACATTCTACACGGACATTAGCAAAACAGATTTGCTTTTCAAAATAACACCGTCAGACCGAACGGCAAGATACCACATTCAAGCTGTCTAAAAGTTGTCAACTCAAATGCGGCTAACTTTTCATAATTTCATATCGTGATGAAAGAAAATATTCATGATCACTATTGCTTTCATTGATAACATTATTAATCAGAGAACATTTGGATATGGTCACATTACTCACTCGGAGAAAGGACACTACGGGAAAGTGATGTTCTGTAGCGAAAACGTATTTAGTAGAGTGTTTATTCAGAGCAACTCTCCAGGAATTTTTGATATTTTCCAACCTTGATAGCAACATAGTGATTGTTTCCGTTGCAGGTAAAATGAAAGGAACGCTATATAAGCTGACATTACCAAAGTCCTACAGTTACATCTTGTTGTAGAAAACTGTCCGAGCAATGAAAAAATCTCGCTATGATATATGATTAATTGCTATCATCTGAATACATTTTGCTTTCGATCTCCTTGAACAATTTAAATAGCTTTTAAATCAATTTGAAACATAAAATGAAGGAAATCAAAAAATATCACTTTGCATGTATAAATAAAAAAATATAAAGTTGTAATGTAACCTCTTCTGAATTGCAGTTAAACATTTGTTCGTCCAAATGCAGGAAGTGCACGCTTGTCACTTATTCATTAGCTGCATGATTAAACTTTTCCTTTTTTTCATAAGGCGCAATGAAATGCTTCCAAGTTTTAAGACAACGAAGGTGCTAAATAGCTATGAAGTCTTCTTCTACGGTACGTCTGCCAACCAAAAGTACAAGCATTGAAGTCTGCTCGTCTCAAAGAGCCATCGACACTCGAAGAAAAAAGACTGTTGTTTCTGAATGGATGAAATTATACTTGTTTAACGTTACGAGCGTGTGGTCTATATATGATGACGTCATCATCTAACTTGACTATGTACTAACTTGTCAAGCTCCAAATAATGAATAAGTTTTGATGTTTCTAGCAAGTCTTAAACAAAACAAGACTAATATGATCAAAATCCTCAATAAGACCAACAATTATCAGAGAACAGTTTAATTACAAAAAAAAACACAACAATTGTTTGTTACTACATAAGGCATCAAAATGGAGAGCAAAGCAAAACCAAATCAAAGAGTCTCACCACATTTCAAATTCCAATGTTTCCAAATATGTCATCAGCTGCTAAAATTGTTTTATCCCAACTTGGATGAAATGCCATTGCCATTATTCATTTTGGAACATTTTGCAACAAACACACATGATTACAAATACTAATTAAACTTTAACCAATTAACTATTGACATGAAAAAAGTAAAAAACTACACCATGGTTGATGGTTCATTCTTGCAAAAAAAGATTTTGCACGATTACGGCACATATATAACTGTGCATGAAATAATTTACCGAGAACAGTTGCACGATGTTCTTGTATATTGGACAAAACAAACTATCCTTTCATTTTCCACAATTTTTAAACTTTGTCTATGAATTTTCAACTGAGTAGTCGTTGTACGTCTTTTGTTCATTAACTATGCCAAGTAAAATTAGTGGTATTCCCCTCTCTCCTATATTTATTCATAATGCTACGAAAAAAACTTTCCATCTTTACATAACGCATGAAGACGGAAAAACTACACATCCAGTTTTCCACATCTTTCCTTTGAAATTCGTGATTTCTATGTATGCATAGCTTCATGCATTATACAAGCACCAGAATTCTATCTTCATAAGAACAGAATAATTAGCCATATTTTTCATCAAACTACAGTTTTTTAGATTACATTGCCATCCTAATGATGCATATTTAATGCACATCATTAAGGGTACTTTCCACATTGTTTTAATAACGTTTTACATTTATCATTCAATTCGTCATTCTATTGATCTGAAATTCACACAATAAACGTTTGAAAATGAAATCAGACAGAACGCATATCGGTGTTAATAATGACAAATTCGTCAATACGATCCTTAATCTCGCTCGACGATGGAAGTTGATCAAAAAAATTCGATTGTCATGCGGGAGTATATTCTCGCTTGTTTTAGTTGCACATTAGTTTCAATTACAAGTTATATACATGACAATCAAATATTGTATTAGGTAAATCAAATGACAAAATATACGATAATAGCGAAAAAATAAGTGAAATTAATGTTTTTAAAACTTACGAAAGCTAAGTCACATACATCACAATAAATTTATGAAATAATCCTCCCAACAAGTATCGATCTGAATGTGTTTTTTGCATGTCCTAAATCTTGTGTCATCGAAGAGAAGCATTTACATCGACTTTTGCTTATCTATTTCTGTATCAATTACAAACGTTCAATATGCTGTTGTATTCCTTCACTTATGATAATTTTGAAAATTGCTATTTCATATCTCCCGAAAAAGCGGAGATGTGAATTAGCAATTCACTGAATAGGAAATCAAAACACAGTTTACAAGCTTTTCAATGACAAAAAGTAGCTATGAAATTGATTACGCTAACCGCACTTACTTTAAGCATGTCCAACATTAACCTTAACTTTTTAAAGTAAAAAGAAGCTTAGTGCAGCTATCCCCAGTATTTCTTGTCGGTCAATATAACATATCAAACAACGAATAAAAAGAATTTTACAAAGTTAAATAATTAAAAACTGCTTTATGCTTGTGTGTGCCACAGTTTCAAGTCACAGATAGCTGGTATCATTCTTCCTTCGTCCTCACCGATGACTGGTCTTAAACATCTCTTTTGATCAGAATGATTCTCTATGCATAAAGACCTCACTCAATATCCACCAGCACGTTGATGTGTCGTAATCGTGTTCAAAATGTTCTACAAGTTATCGCCACCAATTGAGTCGACAGAAAACAGAAAACAGTAAACAGAAGTCGTCGCAACATCTGTAGATATTGTGTCAACATTTATATACAGTTTATATCATCGTAATGTTCGGGTTACTTATGGCATTTATCTAAATTTAAGTAGACTATTATTTAATGGAAATTTAAGGTTTTTAATACAATAAACTGATGAATAATTCATTGGGTTTTTTATTGACTAAGTTATAAAAGACAAATCAATCTTTAAGCGATGCCTTGAACACAAATTTCAGAGGTTGTAGATCTGCTCGAGTTGTTCTTTGGCGTCCTTGAAGGTCACTTTTCTCCAAGCTGAAGGAATAATTGCTTCCTTTGCTTTATAATGTCCTGCTAGTTCTTTGGAGAATTTCGCCATAAACCATTGCCAATATTTAGAAGCTTCGAATGAAGGATCTGGAGGAATTGTCCAAGATTTGTAGTAATCGTTTACTGACTGATAATCTTTGTAGGGATGTGGTTCCCAATCTGTTGCATGATTTTCAAATGTTCCCTCCCCGTCTACATAGAATGTGCAAATCCCGGAATCTAAAATTTGGCTTTCGACATCACGATAACCTGTCAAGCCCAGGGGACGATGTATTCGTGTTGAGTGGTTACCTGGATGGCCTTTTGTAGTGTGATCACACAAACCTTTACAAAATGGACAAACGCATTGACAGCCAAACATTGCAGGGAAAAGATTTTCATGTGGAGCTGGATCCCATTTCCCAACTGTTTCTTTATCCACATCAGATTCTGCCAACGTTTTCACAAATTCCGAAACTCTTTGACGAATTTTTGTGTCGAATACGTCAATATCTTTCAAATCTTCATTCATTGTGGCCACTCCAAACATCTCCTTTGTGATTGCAAGAGAAGAACATTTTAGCACAAAGTGATTAATCCAGTTTATCACTTTGAACTTTCCACCTCCTAGAACAACTTCATGTCTTGCTAACTTACTAGCAAATTCAATAGCAGATGAAATATTTGACTCAATCTTTTGTGTTTCCTTCTTTACCAACAGTTGAACCAAAGAAAGCTCTTTCTTTAAGCAATAATCTTCCACTGATTCCTGCAACTTACTCTTCAGAAACTTAACGGGATTCTCAAAATACGGAACAAACAATTCAAACATATTTCCTTCTCCAAGTTGAATTAAAACACTGGCATGGTAAGGACCTTTGCTTTGAAAAATGCTCTTTGTTAAAAGTTCACCAGTCACAGCGGGTCCCATGGTCTTGTTAAGCTCTGATTTGATAGGCTCAAATAGCACATCGACCAGCGAATTAGCAGCCAAAACTTCTTTCCCGATGTCCTTGCAAAGATTAACAAAATACGTTTCTAGCCTTGGTCTCAAGTTTAGTTGAAGGTCACGCCTGATATCTCGTTCTTCACAATAGCGCTGTTCCATTTCATCAAAAATTTTAACAGTGAGTGCAAAGGTGTAAATTAAAATATCACAAATCAATTCTTTTTTAAATTTAAAGCGTTCCTTTTCAGTTGCCTTTTCAACAGTGGAGACAATTTCATGGTACATACGTGTTAGGTGATTACGAGAATATCTAACAGCAGTTTCGGAAGTGTCCTTTGCAAAGGCAACTCCTTTAGAGACAGCTTCGTCTTTGATATTCTTTGCAAGAATGACAACAGCCTCATTTTTACCAAATCCCACCCAACTAGCCATCTTCTCTAAAATAGATTGCTGTATAGAAAGCTTATTCGCATCAATGAAAGGATCAACCCCGTGAAAATTCAAAATGTCCCATTTCTTATCGTTAAGTTTTGAATTCATATCAACATTAAATGCACGATTCGTATCACAAAGCACGTCTACCATTTCACTATTTACGTTTTTTTTCGTTTCTTCATAAGCAGGAACCTCGACGATCCATTGATCCCATTCTTGTTGAAATGCTGCATTGCATTTTTCCACATCATCTGCATTCTGAGCAGATGTAATAAAGGTTCGGGCTTTTTGAAGAAGCTGCTTTTCGTATTTTTGTTTCTTTTCTTCGACTTCCTGTCGCTGCTGCAAATGGTTGAAAGTTGCCTCGCAACTTTTTATTACAGTCATTTGATGATTTTCTTTATGCTGCAAAATTCTGCTCATTATGTTTTCCTTCCATTGTTCAAGGGTTGAGCTATCTTCACTGCCCTCAAAAAAGCTCTTCATAGAATTTTTCATTTTTTTCTTGAGATCTTCTGCCCTTTTGCGAATATTTATTTTGCTTTTTCTCCACTGTTCAGAACGTTCCTTTCGCGTTGTGCATCTCTTCAAGTCTACTTGTACTTTTCTTTCAACTTCAGCCATTCCGTTTACCAAATTTTTAACAAATTCCTCAAAATACTTTTTGTCTAAAGATGTAAAAGCTCTAACTTCAATTACATTTCGGAAATTGAAAATGAAATTTTCCTTCAGCATAGCTTTCCAGAGCATGTTTACTCTTTCACGGAATACAGAAATATCGTTTCTACTTACTACCTTCGAGCACATTAATTGAATTATATTATCTTTCACTTCTTGAACAGCTCTGCCATAATTTCGGTTTATTGGAGACATAGGAGGATTTCCTTTCAAAAGACTTGGCATGTAAAAGATGTCTTCGTTTTCGTCAAATGCAATGACATCATCTAATTTTTGAAACTCTTCTTCGCATTTCTCGTCTGCAGCAGCAAGCTTCGCCATTTTGTCCAAATCTTGTTTCAAATTGATCCGATCAGTTGTAAGCTTATCTGCAGCGTTAGTGGCAGCAACATTTTGATGGACGATTTTACAAGTCTTCTTCTCTTTTACAAGTTTCATCTTCAGACAAGCATGAACAACCATTTGCAAAAACTCTTTCATTTCATTGTGGTTTTCACCAAAAATATTGACAATCGTGACATCAGCCACACCAACAGCAAAGGTTACCAATTCATTATCGTGTTCTCCCAATTTTGTATCAACCAATCCTCTCAAACTTTCTGTGTCAATAATTAGAATGTAATCAAAATTTGACTTGGATCGAAGTTGATCACTGACAGGAACAAGACTTGCAAAAGCACCACGAGTGCATCTTCCTGCACTTACAGGAAATTCCAAACCAAACATTGCATTTAACATTGTCGACTTACCAGAACTTTCAATACCTAACACAGAAATTACGTAAATTCGAGCGTTTTTTGTTTTGCGTTCCAACTTTTTAAAAACAGCATTAAACCATTTCATTGGTATGTAACCTGAATCACCATCCAGTAATTCCAAGGGATGACCAGATAGAAGAATCTCTGCTGCAGCACCAGCATAATCATTCGTTACAACATTGGAAAGTTGATAAAGTTGAGAAAGTTCTCTAATGATATGCTCCAAACCAAACGAAGACTGTGATATCGATGCTTCCAATTCCTTTAAACGCTTTTCTTCCTGAGATCGTGACTCTTTCTTTTTCTTTCTTTTTTGAAAGGAAAGTGAAGCCTGGCGATATTGTTGATGCAACTTTGTCATCACAGAAAGCGACGTCTTATCTAACGAATGCTTTACTCGATACAAATTTTTATTTCGTTCAGCTTCATCCAATACAGTAATCCAATTAAGAAAATGAATGACGTCGTCATCCATTCTCTCAAAAGAACACATTTGAGCATCTCTTTCTTTTTCAATTTCTTTATATAATTCATCGGTTTCGTTTTGCCGAGTCGTATTTTCATTGCTACGACGAACTTTTGGATTACGTTTCTTCCTTTCTAAGTCAGCAAAAACTGGTATATGACTTTGTAGCTTAAACAGGTTTTTTGCTTCGTTATACCCCGAAGTTAGCCAAGTTTCCACAGTTTTTCCTAAGTCAACATAAGGCTTGTCATCATCAAAATAAATGCCACTTTCTTTTGACCATTGTCTGAGTTCTACTAAAGACCTCACTTCATCCTTTTTTATATTGCTCATAATAGCCTGGTGAATACTTTGAAGAAAATTATATTCGTTTGGCTTTTGTGCCTTTGTGAAAAATGATAATTTTGTAGAATGTCGATTTCTCAAACTGTTGTAGAATTTCTTTTCTTCTTCTCGCCTTTTTTCGTTAAAAATGAGCATGTTTTTGCCATTGAGCAGCAGAGCATCATTCAAGAAGTTTCTCATGTGTTCGTCAGGCATTTCTGAGGGCAATAAAATACACAAGACGTTTGATATCTGTCTAAGTATATTAACTTGCTTCTTAAAATTTTGGGCATCTCCACGTAGATTGGCAAAACAGATTTCATTTTTTAACGCGTTCTTGTCACATCCACCAGGAAGATACCACACAAGTTCTACCAAACCATCAACGACTTTCCTTTTAACATCACCACCTTTGATGTTTTTATGAAAAAAGAATTCATGATCACCATTACCATCGCTGATGATCTTATTCATCAGAGAAGATTTAGACATGGTCACATTACCCACCCGGATAAATGACACGACAGGAAATGGATGCTCAGTTGCGTACACCTCTTTCGCAGTGTTGTCCGATGAAGCACCTTTCCAAGACTTTGTTATTGTTTCTAACGCTGAAAGTAAGATTGTTACGCTTTCTGTCGGCATGTCAGGATGAGGTAAAATGAAAGGAACGCTGAGTTGACATGCGCTAAGTTTAATTGCTATATTTCGTCGTAAGAAATCATCGGAACAATGAAAAATCCCTAGCAATGCATCCATAGGGTTAACTCCTTCAACACTTTCACTTTTTACTTTATCTGAATTCATCTCATTCTCTTTACCATCGTTATCACTATCACTATCAGAACCATATTCATCGTTTAATGTATTGCAAACTTTGCCAGGCTGGTTTGAATTTAATGGTTTCAATGTGAACTCACGTGCATGGTAGTCAGCAATCATTAGCGTTTTAAGAATATAATTTGGAATTTGACCATGGGAAGTCAGTCTGTCGTCAGTAAACGTTTGATTGTCGACAGTGCGTGCATGTTTCAACGTAAGTTTTGACTCCGGCAAGAAATTTAATTTATTGAATTGTGATAATATTAGACTTCTGATTCTACCAAAGCCATTTTTGAACTCGTCTGCTTTTTCTCTAAAAATCCCATTATTTTCAGAATCTAGAAAAAGAATCATTTCGTAGTCTTGCGTTATTTGTATTTACTTGCAAAGGCAAGGCATCGTACCATCCTCAAAATGAACTAAAACCTGACTCTATATCGTAACTATTGCCACGAACAATTAAAACACTAAAATCAACTTACTTTGATAAGAGATACACAGTTAATGATAATTTTAATCCTATTAACGCACAAATTTACCTGAGTGTATCCAACTGTCGAAGGGTCGCGGGTAAAAAGTCGCAGGTCTAAAAAACACTTTTTTTGCGTGGAAAAGTTTGAAAGAGGTCGATGTTAAATTCTCAGGAATTCTTTATTTCTATTTATGCCCACTGGAATGTGCTCTATTAATCAACGTTCTCTGCTGTGAACATCAAAAAATATGTTACTGGTGCTTTGGATATTTAAGATTTGTGTTTGTTGTACCTATCCAAATATACAAAACGATGCGTTGTTAATAAGTGGAATTATTATTAGTTTTGAGGGCCGTTAAAATTCTCTTACAATTGAAATTGTAAAACCCAGTTCATAAATTATAAAATATGGTTTATTTATATGTATAACTTGCACTTTCACACGACTATAAATTTGCTTTTCTCAAGCAGCTAAGTTCTTCATTACCATTAAAAGAGTTGTATCCAAGTAAATCTTGAAGGGTTAGTGATGCTTGGAATGAAAAGCTAACTATGTTTTCGATTGTGATTAATGCATATAACGTATGTATATTAATATTATATTTGGATACATAGAACAAAGACACATAGCCTATGATTCAGGATTTTACGCAACGCTCATGAGGTATTTCTATTGACAACAGAGAACGTGTGTCGAAACACGTCTGTAATAAAAAAGTTTGTTTTATATATTCAGTTTATTATCCAAATATAATATTAATATACATACGTTAGATCCACTAATCACTATCGAAAACATAGTTAGCTTTTCATTCCAAGCATCACTAACCCTTCAAGATTTACTTGGATTCAACTCTTTTAATGGTAATGAAGAACTTAGCTGCTTGAGAAAAGCAAATTTATAGTCGTGTGAAAGTGCAAGTTATACATATAAAAAAACCATATATTATAATTTATGAACTGGGTTTTACAATTTCAATTGTAAGAGAATTTAACGGCCCTCAAAACTAATAATAATTCCTCGTATTAACAACGCATCATTTTGTATATTTGGATAGGTATGACAAACACAAATCTTAAATATCCAAAGCACCAGTGACATAATTTTAATGTTGACAGCAGAGAACGTTGATTAATAGAGCACATTCAAGTGGACATAAATAGAAATAAAGAATTCCTGAGAATTTAACATCGACTTCTTTCAAACTTGTCCATACAAAAAAAGTATTTTTTAGACCTGCGACTTTACCCATGACACGCGACTTTTTACCCGCGACAGTTAGATACGCTCAATTTACCTTTGTCATATTCTTTGTACTTATTCACATTTTCCTCTTTGATGCTACTAATTGCGACATTATCTGCACGGTTATCTCCTAACTTTCCCTTTTGTTCATTAATGTCATTTGACGGGCTGTTTTTACTCATAGCTTCGCCTATATTGTTGTCGAATACAAGCAAGATTTGTGAGCAATTTATTGTCGCTTTGAGTATATTCATTATGTAAAAGCAACCAGCAATATAAGGAGCTCATATTTAAATCAAATAGTTAGCTAACATTGCTCTTTTTTAGCCATGTGTAGTCATACCAATAAAAACTAAGTATTACGAGCATTATTCTTTACCTGGTACTTGAATGAGTCGATAACTTTAAACGATATAGAAGTAGCTATTAAGATTTACAGATTTACCTAAAGTAAATGGTTTGAGCCCGGGAGTATCGTTATATGTTTGTAAATCATGATCGTCCAGGTTAATAAAGTCCTGAGAAGGACTGTTTTTGTTGTTATTGACTGACGCTTCGACAACCTTAGCGGTAGTCATCTTCAGAGTCAAAAGACGTCAGTCAAGGACAACAAAAACAGTCCTTCTCAAGACTATACCAACCTGGACGATCTACATTTACAAACATGTAAGATTTACCTCTTAATATTTTTTTAATACATCTTTTTCGTTAAAATAAACGTCCAACGCGGCGCATTTTTTCAAAAAAACTCCCTAGCGATTCAAACTGATGTTTGAAATTGACGATAATAACGATATTACGAGTGTACAATGAAGGACAAAGAATTAATGTTTCACTACCATCATCATCAGGGCGCCAAAAAGTTAGGACAAAAAGGCAATTGACAAAATATTTTCTACACATTCAAGACTTTGAACTTCCTATTGAACAGTTAAAAATCAAAGTGAGCGTAAAGCCCAAGCCCCCCGAGCATTTTGACTCAACATGCGCTCGAGACGAGACGAATCAAGTTCAGACCAATTGCACACCTTAATAGGAGTGGTGAGCGGTATTGAGCGGTGTTAAGAAAAGTTTCAACTTGCTCAAACTTTTCACTCAATGGCGCTCAATGGTGATGCATACCTCAGCACTGTCTAGTCAACTTTAGTGCGTTTATTAAACAGCACACTCAACAAAGTTGAGCTAACGCATGCGCACTGTGCATGATCAATAATGGTGACGCGTTTGCTCTTTTTGCTGAACTCAATAAATTGAATATATAAAGCAGTATATACACAGCTGCTCAGCATCGTGGAATATTTTATTCCATGACCCTATGTATTATCATCTTTAAGGCTAAACATGTTGAAAGCGTTTTCACACATTGCTTAACATCACACTACAAGCGCAAGACAATTGTTTAGCGTATGTTGAGAAAACTTGTTGAAACCGTTCCACGGGGCTATAGGTAATGTAAGTGCCATCTGCTGTTTACCATGAGTGAAGAAAAATACTGACCTCAATCGCAAAAGTCATAAAAATCATAAGAGCATATTATTTTGTTGTTATTCAATGATAAACTTCAAAAATGGTCGAATCATTAAACACAATAACATAGCTGTATTTACTTGACACGAACCAAACATGAAATTCCAAAATGTTAAAGGAAAAGTACTACGAATGAAATGGCAGGCTTGACATTCCAGTTTACTTCATACCATAAACATATATCGCATTGTTTCACAAGTTCTCACCTTACGATAGGACAAAGCTTTCTCACGCTTTAAGTGCTCAATTTGTTTTAAAACAAATTATACATCGGTTCGCCAACATGCTGGCACTGCCATGTTTAAGTAGTGAGGTCTTGTATCGCACTGTGCACCAACGATATTATTTGCGCATTATACGTAAGTTTAGCAACATCAACTCATTCTATTGAGGTTAAAATCATTTTAAATAAAAATTATTTTTCCGAAGTAGCTTAACGCAATCAGTACATTTTGAAAATCCTTGCTATAATTTATAAATTCTTAAAAAAAGATACATCACAAAAATTTAGCAGTGCGTTTGAGTCTACAATGTTGGTCTATATCAAGGACTATGCACACACAGACTAGAGCATTAGTAGTCTAAATACGATTACGAAAATAATATACGCAGCATTAATAGATACACTACTACAATCATTCACTTAGGTCAATGAAGCTGCCCACGTATCTATAATCGACATATAGGCATAAAGACATAAATTGTGGTAGCAATAAAACGCTAATTAACATACCTGATTGTTGCTTCAATTCTAGATAAAAAATATGTGTTTCTTTTGCTAGTAGATGTAAAAAAACGATAGAAAATAGCTAAAGCAGTGTAAGACTGCTTCCTCGTAAGTACAATTGCCAATTCTTGGAATATGAACAATTTTGAGGCTGAGACCACATGACCGGAAATATTGAATAACGATCAGTTTACAATCCGTTAACGATCAGTTAACAGTCTGCAAACGATAAAGTTAAAATCGGCTTACAATACAAAGTAATTTACTTTGTCTATAACAAACACTCGAACATTACTATGAACTTTGCAATTCAGATAACACTTTCCCAAAAGAATCTGTTTTCATTTATTTTGTAGCTACATTGTAGCTGTTTATCAAGAGTGGCACCTTTGTGCCCCACTATCTCGGCATATCACTGCATGCCGTATCGTTAAGGAGAAATTCAACATCTTTGAAAGCAATCATAACTTCCAAATAAAGATGAAAACAATGTAAATGGATGGTTTAGAAACCCATCCATCCAACTAACTATACATAAAAAAAGGAAAAAATCTCCCTGAGTAATAAGGGATGAAATAAAACAAGTATTATTTTTAATCTGACCATATATAAATTTTGCCACTAGAATTTCCAGCGCCAAGAATGCTCCTTGTCGGATGAAAAACATTTATCGATGTGATTGTGGTGAAGTTTGGATCAAACTTTTCCAACAGTGGGGACGTTTCCATTTGTTCCACATGATAAAATTGAATCTATAAATAGGAAAACATTCATATATGTTTATAAAGTGAATGGTTTGAACTTGGGAGTATCGTTACATGTTTGTGGATGTATATAGTCCAGGTTAGTAGAGTGACTACCGCTAGGATTGTCGAAACGTCAGTCAACATCAACACCAACAGTCCTTCTCAGGACTATACTAACCTGGACGATCTACATACACAAACATATAACATATGTTTATCTTAATGAAAATTATATCACAATAAAAAATATTGGGAATTGGTAGTTTGATGACTGACTGCATTACGATTGTTTACTATTGCAAAACATCAATGCATAGCGGTTTAAAGAAGTATGTGAACGAGGCTTAACGAGCGCAGAAAAAGATCTGTTATTTAAAGAAATAGACGACGTGTTTGCTATAGAAAGCAGTTTTGGTGTTTAAAGAAGTAGGTGAACGATGCGCAATGAGAACTTGAAGAAAAAGAACGGACTGTTCGAGGATAAATTATTATTTTCAACATTTTAGTTTTATTAACATTGACAAGGTATTCAATTCATTCAATTATGATATTTTTAATTTACACTTACGCGTCGACTATATAAAAGACTACCAATAACAAATCCACGACCTCTGCGTGTATCCCACGAAGCTTTAAAAGGCGTCAACCAACGGTTCGTGTGATTGTAATGTCTAGAATTTGAACAATAACCATTCTTAAACATTATTGTTAGCATTTCTATCAAAGTCGTATACAATACATTTTCTGTCAATGCTTTAAGAGCAGAACGGCTTTATTTGTCATTTTAAAAGTTTGCCTGTTATATGTTAAAATTAGACTCTCCAGTTGAACATTCATTATTTTACTTAATCAATAAAAAAGTAACTTCGTGATCTTACTGAAAATTTCGTTTCATTTCAAGTTTCCATGAGGATGTAACTTCCAACACTCTAAATGATGTAAAAATAATATTATTTATTACAAAATTCTACTGAGATCGAACTGTTAAAGCCGGTTTTAATACATTCTTGATGTGCATTTTTCTGTAGATTTTTAGAATAGTAAGCACAAAAATAAAAAATCTTAAAACAGCTTCACAATAAACAATTGACGAATTTAATATAAACATACTTAACAGTATCATCCCAACAGGTTGTCAAAATGTACTTTCCATCACCTGGAGAAAAATAAGATGACGATATGGAACGACTGTGCTTTTCAAATGTGTCCAAACTTGATTTGATCCCTTTTAGATTTCGTAAGTCCCATAATGCAACAGTCCTGTTAACAAACAAAATGAAAATGTACCTAAGTAGCTACTATTTCGTTAGCATTGATAGACAAAGTATAAAAAGGAAACGTTGCGAAGGCGCAATGAATTGTTTCCACAATTTTAGACAACGAAGATGCTAAATATGAAGTCTTCAAACTACAGCAATGTAAGGCTAGGTACGTAAAGTAATATATAAACATGTCAAGAACTTTATAATTTTGCTTGAGGAAGATTAGCTACTTACGCATCGCTCGACGAAGTGCAGAAGAGATATTCGTTGGAACTGCTTGAATCGATGCACTTGACATTTTTGCCGTGACAAACATGAGTTTTCACTTCATTCCTGTCAAGAAAAAGCAGTTCTTATGTTTATAATACGGTGCTTTATTAAAGAAATAAAAGATGTTTACTGTGTTAAGTGTGTTTGCACAGGCTTATGCAAACCGAGGAGACCTTAGGGAGAACTCGAGAGCAGATCAGTGCAAGCCCAAGACCGAAGGTCGAGGTTTGCATAAGCTTGTGCAAACACGAAAAACATCATTTGTTTGTTTTATAAAATACAATAATGCGAAAAAGACAAACATTTTAATTTTTCCTGTAAAATGTATTCGTGATCGATTTGTAAATTCCCTTTGACTGATTGATTGTTTTGATTGATTTGATTGGTCGAGCTCAAATGTGTTTTTCACAGGTTAATATAAACACGGCTATAGACCAATCACTGCACGCCTTTTATTGTTTTGATTTTATAGTGCAATTTCTCTTGTCCATGCAAGTTCAACTTTACAAAAAAATCGTCTAACGACACAGAAATGCGTGACTACTGAGAATTTGAACTTATCTAACATCAAAAAAGAAAGCTATAGTTAACTGTACTTTGTTTCTCTAGTATCCAAAACTCCCACATAGCCAGCGTCGTGTGCTAATAAAAAAATATCCCGCGAGTTGAGAGGACACGAAAAACCGTTAATCATGTGATCATCTGTTGCATAAATCTACATAACGAATTCATTACGCGTTGAATAAATTAAATACGTCTTATAAATAGTGGCAAAAAATTGCTGATATTGCAATGCACCAAATATCGTGTGTTCAAACTTACTTCTTCAAAAGTACAACTATTGAAGTCTGCTCGTCTCAAAGATCCATCGACACTCGAAGAAAAAAGACTGTTGTTTCTGAATGGATGAAAATATACTTGTCTAACGTTACCAGCATGTGGTCGATACATGATGACGTCATCATCTTCCTTGCTTGCGTCCTAAATGAAAAAGAAGACTTTACTTTGTAATAACATGTAAAGCTACAACAAATGGATAAGTTTTGATGTTTCCTGCCAATGTTGAACATACACAAGACGATAATATGAAGAAAATTCTCAATGGGACAAACCCTTATCAGAGACAAGTATTTGTCTAGAAAAAAACATGTATTTTTGTTACTACTGAAGGCATAAAAATGGAGACCAAAGTAACACAAACAAAACGCAAAGAGTCTTACCACATTCCAAATGCCAATGTTTCCAGCATTGTCACCAGCCGCTACAATCGTTTTATCACAGCATGGATGAAACGCCATCGTCGTTATTCTTTTTGGGACAACTTTTCGTATTCGATCAGACGTCAAAGAAAATTTTGATATTCTCTGCTTGTAACTACACCAATCAAGTAATATCAAGCATCAAAAGTTGACATCATGAAATGTAGTCGCCAATCTATAATCATCATAGATTTACGCGTGCCACTGTTAAAAATTGTGTGTCAGTACCTTTGTGGGAAAGATGCTTCCACTGGAACAACGTTCGTCGTCATCTGCAAGATCGTTAACGGGAATCAAACAGTTGCAGGAAAATTGTATAACTCCGTATTATTTATAAAATTGCTTTGTTTAGTCATTAAATAATCAATGCGATGCCTTTAATAGCAACATTAGCACTATCATAATGTTCAAAATGTGCCCAGTGGGCGTCGAATCGACACATATTGGCGCACAATGATGTTATTTCAACAATACCAACCTTAGTTTCGTTGGAAAGCAATTCTAAGGAATTCATGAATTTCTTATTTGCATCGTCTCCAACATCGTTTATTGGGTTTGCATCGACAGGACCCTTTATCCTTTCTTCCTTTTAAATTTAGAAACATAAAACACTTTACTTCAAAATGATATTTAATAACAATTAGGACGTTAAAAAGACGAAAAAAAGAAACTAGTGATCTAACGATAGTGCATAGTTTCAGAAAATTAAACACTACTTTTTGTCTAGTACTTTGAATCAACCATAAAATATTTTAAAAACTTCTTTTATTTCTTCATTTAATTTTAATTCATGTTTCATTGCGTGGACATCCATTGACTTTATGGCCAATAAAAACATTTTCAATAAAACCTATGACAAGCTACAGTCTAAATAACCAGTTCTTGTCTTGTTGTGCACGTTTTACATGAAATCAGTTTCCTTTTTGTCCACAAAGTAATGTTTATGGTGGTGTATTGCCTACTTTGTTTTTACACATGATGGGAAGACAGCAGGGCCATTACTGCCATTGCTGTAATGAGTCTGAAAATTCATTTGCTTAAAACAGCCAATAATATATGGCAGAGAATGTGGCAGTAGCCACTGATGGAAATAAAATCCAAGGGCAGCAAAACATTGATAATCGGGGGGTTATTATTCATATATGCATGTTTTACTTTATTAGTTTCTAGTGAAATCAATTGTGTTTACGGATGATAACAAATGAATATAAGAATATAGCCCTCCCCCCCCACCCAATTACCAATGTTCTGTATAAATCATCTACATCTGCCACTGTAAAAATCATCTACATCTGCCACTCTAAAAATCATATACATCTCCTTGCACTGGCTTGCTGAATCACATTTATCAAAAAGTAAATTATTCTCACAAGTCACATAAATTGCATTACACCCTCCCTATCCCGTATGAAGTTTAAACCATGTATGATTTTATTTAATTTTAGCAGCTCATTAAAAAACTGCACTAAAATAGAATGTGCGAGATCAAGGCTATCTAAAATGTATGGAAGCAAAAGAAATGCATACATTGCCTTACAACAGCTGGATAAATTCTTAAGTCTGGCAGAGTAATCATTTCAAATTGATTCGAGGCTCGTTCTTTACTGATCCTGGGGGAACGCCGTACTGGTTCCACAACCTTTTTCTTCATAACAGGCCTGAAAGTAAGATAAATACAAATATAAATAACTATATCACTGTCAATGATGTTGAAATAAATAACAAAATTGATGTATTCAAAACTGTAAAGTAATAAAATCCTTGGGATACACATGTACAATAATGGACATAAGCAATCATTACATATAATCTGACAATACATAACACAGGTTAGATGGTGCTCTCACAATATTTTCCAGTGAGTCAAATTCAGATTTAAATATGATACAGTTACCAGAAAAATCTTGATGAAAATATATATAAAACAATCATATATAATCAATGCAAGCAACAGCCAAAAAAAGAGGTGCACCCAAGAAAACAACATTACCTCTTTAACTTTGTTGGCTGTTTACGAGCCCTCAGATGGCTGATTTCCTAAAACATATCATTTATGCACCATAAAGTTAAGTTAAGTGGCAGTATTAAGAGCATTCATTTTATCTGTAAGTTCTAGATAAGTCCGAAACAGCTACATATGGAGAACAATGTCTAGTTACATAGTACTTTTCAACACTTGGAGATAACTAGGAATGATGTCATGTAAAAATAGTAAATGAAAACAATTTTACTTTCCATCAACTGTTTAAAACTACTACATAGTTATGCGGTAGATAGCCCATGTTACAATGTAATTCAAATATATTTTATTCTGGATACTGCAAAGAACAACATTTAAGGCTATATTGGTTGGAAATATTTTCACACTATATTTAATGTTGCTAAAATGATGTTCCATCCATCAAGACCCTTTCCTTTTAGAACTCCCATTCTCCTTATAAAAACATGAACTATAATCCAGCAAAAGTACTACCGCAGAATTACAACTGACCTCGTTAATTTTCAATGAATCCAATAACTCTTTGTTCTTTCTAATGTTGGCAAGTCTCTGTTTCTCGTACTCTGACATTTCATGAACGTCATTGTCATCAGATTGATCTTCACTCTGCAAAGTCATAAAATGGAACAGAGTGAAAAACCTGATACATCATTGGTGTTGTCTTTTATCAAAAAATTTTTCTTTACACTGCTTGAACTTTCACAACTTTCTTCATATTGAGTGTTATCATTGTCTTCATTATCATCAATTTCATCTGAGTTGATTTCTTTGGGTTCAGCATAGTTCACTTCAAGCTTCAATAACTTCCTTTGTTGTAGCTGAAAGAGACACCCTAATTTGACGCACTGATATTCTGCACGAATATATAGGTTATATAGTTGAGGATGTTAATTTTAAATCCTACACAACAGAGCAAAGAACCCCAAGCTATTTTATTTGCATGTTAGTATAGTAATTACACCTCGAATGTAAATATATGAAATATGAAGTAAAAACAGTAAACTATGAAACTTCAACAGTTAAACTCATGGTCCTGGTGGCCATCATTTCAATTTGTACAACTTTTATGTGCAGCCGACACAACATTTCGAATGGTAGTCAAAGCAAGGCATATTTGAAAAGATATTCATGGCTTTTTTCTGTAAGACATACCCTCGTGGAAGTTCTTCGCTTCATTTTAAGTCTCTTCGATGCTCGACATCAAAGTAAAAATAACGACGACTAGGAGTAGCGCGCCATAATTACAGTCTTCCCGCCACTTGTTGTGTAGGAAAGCAAAACTGCAAACAACTTAGTAAAGGGTCAGCAGTTTCTTTTTCCTTGACATTAGTTGACTTTTTAAAGAAAACTCCTAAAAGATGTAACAATTGGAAACCAAAAATGACGAAATGCGTTTACCTGAATCATAACCTATTCGCAAAAATTAGAGGAAAATAGCAAATAATAAGCCTAAATATATGTATTTACTGAGCTAAGCGAAAATTATTCAAATTCTTTTTTTCTACAAGTGAATGAACATAAAATAATCCTTCTACAATCTCACGGAGAATTCGCCACATTCTCGGTTGGTCCTTGTATTATCCCTCATCAGTAGCATTCCTTAGAGTACTCTTCTCCCAATACTCCATCTGTATCTACCAACTTTGCAAAGTCCACTTTGAATCTTCTTGCAAATCTCTTGTGGTGACTGCTTCCTCTTCACTTTCGAAATCATATTCCTCGTCCTAAAGGAAATACGCTGGTAGTTATTTTTACATATCTTCAGCAACATCTTGAACAGTTCGTGTTTTCCATTGGTCAGCGACTGCTCATCTATAACATTCGAGCGTACGCTATGTGCTTCAACTACGTACAACTACGTTCAACTTCATCAAGCTATCTTCAATCTGGCGTCGTTGTTTCTCCTCTGTCATGCTTGATTTTGTTTCAATGTTGGAAGTTTCATTTTCAAGTATTTCTTCTACCTCAATCCATAAATTATAATATCTGTCGCAAAAAATTAGAGCATTGTTTTTGCACAAAATGTGCAGATACAAAGTTATGCAGAAAAACAAAAACATGTCTAACATGGTCACAGATATTACGAGTGGCTTAACAAAGTCTTGATGAGCTTGATTTTCATTTCTCAAAACAAGCTTAAGAGACAAAAAGCATGCCAAATACATATGATTGAAAATTTGCTAAGGGCATATACACAAGCAGTAAATTCGGCGCTCGCTCCGTTTCAAAGTAATTGAGAATCAATCTGAGAATGCGTAATCAACTCCACCTAATCTCCAAGTTTACGGTCATGGCAACGAACAAATGTATGTACTAGTACCGATTATGGAGTAATTAGCTCGCTCAGTCACAAATTTTCAGATAAATCAACTGCGCATGCGCAATATGCTCGAGCATGCGCAGTTGACTGGACCAACTGTCAAAGTTCATGGTCATGGGAACGACCAACTGCATCTATTGGCACCGATTTTAAAGTAAATAGCATGTTTAATAACAATTTATTAGAGAAATCATCTGCGCATGCGCACGAGCATGCGCAGTCCATTCGACTAATTGTTCAGAGTCATGGCAACGACTAACTATATGTACTTGCACTACATTTGTGGCAATTAGATAACTTAGTCGCAAATTATCAAAGAAATAATCTGAGCATGCGCAGTAGTGACTTAAATAATACCACAACTTTCGTAAGCCTTTTAATTTTGTATATAAATATAAAGCTAAATATATGGATAGTAGATGTCAACTAGCAGTGGAAGCCGGGTGCGATATGTATGCAGTGGCTTAGGGGCCCAGACGTTTCGGGTCGCGACCGCACTCTCCTGCGTACCCCGAGCAAAGCCTATCGCAGGTGATCTCGGGGTCTGATGGGCGGAAGCTTGCTATTGCATCTCCCAAGTAGGATAGCGTGGAGGGGCCGAAATCTCCTACCGAAACGTTAACATGCGGCGTTCTAGTGCCTCGGCTTAAGAAGGTATCGGGAAGCATGGACCGAAAACGGGGTTTTTTGCTTTCGAATTTTATCTTTTTGTTCTCATAAAATAAACCAAGCAATGCTTCAAAATAAATTCTTCTGAAACTCTCCCTTTTGACGACACTTACAATTCAAGATAACTTTAAAAATGTTTTATACAATTTTTATTGGTTTATATCTTTCTGACTTAATTCTCTCATTTACTGTTTCTCATGTATCACGAGCAAACCATCCATGGACTTCATGGCAAACAAGATTATCTGGTTCCCTTAACTAACATGCGACGTTCTAGTGCTAAACTATATCGGGGTATCGGGAGGCATAGATCGAACACAGGATGTTTTGTTTTCAAAATTTGTCTTTTTTCTTTACAAGAATTCTTCTCATAAAGGTTCAAACAATTTCTGCCTTTTTGACTTATAATTTAAACCAACTCTAAGCATGTTTATACGTTTTTTACAAAGGATACAGCAAAGAAATTTGGCAAGAAGAAAAATTCAATGTTTCCAGGTTGAATGTCCGACAAATTGTTCACGACATGCATAATGTGTCCAGATCCGCCACACCACAATTATTAACATTTCTATATCGAATAAAAAGGGACACAACATACACTTGTGACAACTCGAACAGATACCACACTTTATCCTTTTTGCCAAGCGTCTGTTTTTGCAAAAGAGTCAAATCAAAACGATAAAAATTCAACTCATACTCGTTTCTCCCACTGATTCTTTGTCATTATCATTTCTCTGTATTGTCTAAGGAAAGTGATTTCTTCTTCTAAAGTCACATCTAAATGAGCCTCGTCGCTTTCAACATCGAATGCAGGAGTGATTTCTTTCAATGCATTCTGAACTACTTCTGGGTCATCACTGTCCGAGTCTGAATTTTCTCCTCCTCTTTGGTCAGCTATGAGAATTTTAAAACGAAATCGCAATCATTGAAGTGTTTGGAGTTTCACAACGATGCAAAAGAAAAGATAATTGTGTCATTACGTTGTAATGTAAACAGGATTTTCAAAAATACTAAACGTAATATTTAGTTGAATCCGTAAATGTGAAAAATGAAAATTCGCACACAAAATCATTAACGTAATTACAGTAACTGCACCAGCAAAAGTGTTCAAACCACGAATTCATCTCAAATGAGGGGAAAGATAATCTCCACAATTAAGAAATGAAAAAGACTTTTTAAAAAAGTTTATGCGTTCAACTACATCCAACATGCATGGAGAATGTTAAAAAAAATTTCCCTGCTGATGAATAGAAGCGGCACAAAAACTTTAAAAAATAAAAGCGAAGGTAATAATGAGAAATAATAGTTCTATATAAACAATTAAGTGTATTCGCCATACCTAAATCTGCGACAATTAGAGTTCTATATAATCAATTATAGTTCTATGTAAACATTTAAGTGTATATGCCATACCTAAATCTGCGACAATTCCATCTTTAATGATCGTGTTTTTACATTCGGGAGGAAGTTCACCGGAAGTTTCCAATAACCGCCCTATTGTTTTGTTTATATCGCCATAATGTTTCAAGACTGAACGCGAAATGTCGACGTTGAATCCCATGGAAGTCACCTGGAGGAAAATTAATAAACGATGAATGTTTGTATTACAATGTATACAAAAATTGTAAAATTTAAATTTATTGTGAATTTGTTTTATAGATTTCAAAAAAAATAGGACGTTAAGATATTATATTTACAAAAGTGTTAAATATAATATCTTGTCTTAACGTCCTATCTATTGTCTGAAAATGTGAGTAAAGAAAACGCACAATAAATTTAAATACAATTCTTTTTCTATTTATATTCTTTTATATTATATTATCAATTATTCTCGGCAAGTCGCTACAATTTTAAATAAGATATGTACATTGTCACAGATCATACCTGCGCAATCAACTCATCAGATATTTCCAAACTGCAGAAAATAACGATTCGATCATTAAATATTTTGCTCCCGTAAATTAAAAGATCAACGCTAACTATCAACTGACCTTGGTCTTCTCTCGGAAACTGCTCGCTCCAACAATTCAGGTCTTTCGATAAGAATCTAACCACAATACGAAAATTGAAACTCTTATCACACGTATTAAAAGCATGGCAAACGACATGAATAAAGCTGTTAAACTGCATGATACATCAATAGATCGGGTTTTGGGGACGCACCATAAAATGTGAGAATTATTTTTCAATTGAGAATTCTACATGAACTAAACATGCCAACACACCGAGCCATTAGATAAACACTGATCAAGGTAATATAGTTATATACACCTGAATGGCTGTATCCATGTCGTTATTTGTTTGACGTAAAGCCTCGCTAGCGTACTCCTGACGATAACCCATCTCACATAATCTGTTGAACAGATCAATTTTCACCCTAAAACATCAACGTTATTTTAAGTTCACATAAACTCTCAACAATAGATGTATATAGGCTCGAAAACCAAAAAGGGTCCCTAAATATTATAAACACATTTTACCATAAATATGATAACCAATATACTGTAATCGAACAACCAGTTACATGGTGTTGATGGTATTTGAGCAACCATGCAAAAAGACTTTGCGAGTGAGCAAAAGAAAACTGTGTAAAAACTACAAGTTTATTCACGTCAGCCGGAAATGAGAAATATTCTGTCGGAAAACAGCAATTTTTATGGCCGCTGTTTCTGTTTCTGCACGAAATGTACAAGTATGCCTTACCATTCGCCATTTGCAGTTTTTCCTAAATTCACCGCCATTTTATGTTTCTTTCTTTTTTCTTTTCGTTCTTTTAACAATTTCCGTTTCGCCTACATGTATTAAAGACGAGTGATGATGACAACACATCAAAGATAGCCTGACAACTAAACTGTCCAACCGCAATATAATTATTTACGCATATAATTATTGACACAATATGAATTGTTGGAATACAGAATTCCGACTCCAGACAACCAACATTCCTTACACTTCTGGAATTAAATTCATCAGCGTTCCCATAACTACACATGACATTAATAAATTCGTCCATATAAAAATGTCTACCTCGCGTTTTTTCGATATATAATCAACAGCTACGGTGACATCACCATTGCATGATCTCAAAGCTAGCCTTGATTCAGATGCACCAAACCCCATAGAGATCACTGTAAAAAATTGCGATGAACACGTGGTTTATAAAAATGAATATCACTGCCGTCATTTACTGACAACATCAATAAACTAAAACACTTACTTTGTGACAGCGATCCATCGTCTATTTTTAACTGATTGACTTCTTGTTCGACCTAATTAAACCAAAAAGACAAAACGTATTTGTCATTAGATGATGGCCTTGAGCTGCCACTGCAACAACAGAAGATATAATACCATAACCAAAAGACGCGAGGCTTGCCTCATATCTCCCTTGTGGAAAGCGGAGATAGCTTGAAGAAGGTTAAGTCGAAGGTACAGGACTTTTTCTTTAGCAGAACCACCCTAAAATTACAACAGTACACATTGTGTGTCATCTGCTAATGAGGCAAATGTAAACCAATTTCTTCATATAACAATCGTCAATTGTCAACTTGCACGTGACAAATATTCATAAAAAATATCCACTTGCACGTGACAAATAATCGTAAAAAAATATCAACTTGCACGTGACAAATAATCATAATAAATATCAACTTGCACGTGACATATAATCATAAAACTACGTCTCTCAAGAAGATGACAAAATAGCCAGTTTCTAAAATCACCTTGCAAAAATACAACTAGCTTAATGGAGATCTGAAGTTTACACATTAAAGACAAACTGGTCTATGGGATACAGCTGTGAATTACAAAAATCTTATAAGAAAATCATGTGCAAGAAACAAGCTTAATTTTATCATCTCACCGTCAAGGAGACAAGTCGTTCGAGGTTTTCCCCGTAACTTTTCTTCAAACATTTTTCACATTTCTTCAGCAATTCGTCTACGAATAAATAAAACATGTTGAAATGGGTAGAAATGATGAATTTCAGTGGAAAAAAAAAGTGGCAAACCTGCATTTGGTAGATCTCTGATGCTCTGCAGTTGAAGATAACACCAAACAACATCCAAACATAGTATGGCGTAATTATCAACTGCATTCAATACTTCAGAACGACATTGCCTGTATAGAAGCAACGATTGACAATGTACAAAAACATTAATAATAGTAACAGAGATTTTGTACTTACATGCAATGAGTGGATTTTTATGTTTTGAAGACACAACAACAACGAGCTGACTATTTCATGCATATCTATGCTTGCACAAACCTGAATTCTTCTTCGGCAGCCAAAAACAAAGGCAAGGCGTCTGCATATTGTCTTTGTTCGGCCATTCTACGCCCTTGTTCGTGAAGTGTCATCGCAAGAACCAACGACTGTTAGAAAAATTTGTATTACATCACTTTGCAACAACATTAATGTGTAAAATACACACTACATGGGAACGAAAGGTTATTTAAAGTATTTTAAAGTATCTGAAAACGATGGCACGTGACAGACCTTGCGTTCATCCTCGGGTAACTGAAGACGCTTTCCATTTTGGTCACTTATCTCCAGTAAATAATCTTGATACGGACTTTTCCCACCTACACGTCAACACAAACGTGTAACTATCTTTCTTGTGTTAAGATAGTAGTAAAAGCCAGCAGCCAGCACGCATATTTACTCCCGTTATGCAAAGTTTAAGTCACTAACGATATTTATTTAAACTTTAGCACAGCCTTAATGAAAAATCGGACTAGCTTACGCATATTCTACCTCATCTTAAACACAAAACTTAGAAAATATTTCATCTTATTAGAAGAAAGACCACAAAAAGCATAGTTATTTCTGAAAAGGTAAGATACTGCACAAACATAGCTACAGCGTTTATAAGGCCTGTTTTATACGTCGCATTTTACATGCGTCAAATGCATTAGAGGAAAAAGAAAATGAGATAAAATTCCTCATTATCTTTTCTTTTGAATGCATTCAACTCATGTAAAATGCGACGTATAAAACAGGCCTAAACAGTGTAAACTCGTGAATTTTGCTACATTCTACTTGTTTTAATTCTATTTATTACAATAATAATACATTCTTTTTGCTACATTCTGAAAAGCGTTTTGGGAAAATTAATAAAGTATAATATATAATAATAATAATAATAATAATAATAATAATAATAATAATAATAATAATTAATCAACGTGCAAATTGAGCATGCTCATTCTATATATTAATCTCCATTGACTTGATGTAGATGAAAACAAAGACTTAAGGAATTATTATTGAAGAACGCTGTTTTACAACCTTTCAAAAATGCCTTCAAGCAGTTGAATTGAGAATTAACTGAGATTTCTTTAAAGTTTCTTACCTTGTGTTTTGTTAGCGAGCACACTCGCTGCATTCCGCGTTTTCGTCACTGGGTTTGCTTGGTTGTTTTGATTGGCTACTTCCACTGATTCACTATGGTTGAATATCGCCATGACAACGCTGTTATGACGAACACCTTGCGCTTCTAGAGTTTGCTCTTAGGTGCATAATGAACAAAAGTTAATCCCCATGACTCTTTTACATCCCTATTTATTCAATTTATCATTATCAACAGATCATCAATAGATCCCATGCATCCCTAGTCTGTAACACAACTCTGTTTATTTAATGCACAATTTACGACTGAACACCAAAACTGTTCAGTTTGTTATTTTTTTGTACACTCTGCCGGCATAGCAATATGGAGACGAATTTTGTTCAGAAAGTAAACAAATGAGCTGCTGATTTAATATCCTCTTCATAGAGATGCTTCCATAAACTAGTAATGTTTAGTAATTTAGATTCGAAATTAAGACTCTTAGGTAAGTTGAAAGCGTTTTAACACATTGCTTAACATCACACTACAAGCGCAAGACAATTGTTTAGCGTATGTTGAGAAAACTTGTTGAAACCGTTCCACGGGGCTATTGGTAATGTAACTTATGTAAGTGCCATCTGATGTTTACCATGGGTGAAGAGAATAACTGAATCGCTAAAGTCATAAAAATCATAAGAGCATATTACTTTGTTGTTATTCAATGACAAACTTCAAAAATGGTCGAATCATTAAACACGATAACAAAGCTTTATTTACTTGACACGAACCAACCATGAAGTTTCAAAATGGTAAAGGAAAAGTACTACGAATGAAATGGCAGGCTTGACATTCCAGTGTACTTTATACCATAAACATGTGATAAAAATTAATGCCCAACATAAAGTTCTGATTAGAGCCATAGAAATCAGAACTTTATGTTGGGCATTAATTTTTATCACACGAATTCGATTTCCGCTCGGCAAGTCTCTCGCTACAACCATAAACATGTATCGCATTGTTTCACAAGTGCTCACCTTACGACAAGACGAAGCATTTCTCACGCTTTAAGTGCTCAATTTGTTTCAAAACAAATCATACACCGGTTTGCCAACATGCTGGCACTGCCATGTTTAAGTAGTCAGGTCTTGTATCGCACTGTGCACCAACGATATTATTTGCGCATTATACGTAAGTTTAGCACCGTCAACTCATTCTTTTGAGGTTAATATAATTTTAAATAAAAATTATTTTTCCGAAGTAGCTTAACGCAATCAGCACATTTTGAAAATCCTTGCTATAATTTATAAATACTTAAAAAAGATACATCACATAAATTTAGCAGTGCGTTTGAGCCTACAATGTTGGTCTATATCAGCAAGGACTAAGCACACACAGACTAGAGCATTAGTAGTCTGAATACGATTACGAAAGTAATATACGCAGCATTAATAGATACACTTCTATAATCATTCACTTAAGTCAATGAAGCTGCCCACGTATCTATAAAATCGGCTTACAGTACAAAGTAATTTACTTTGTCTATAATAAACACTCAAACATTAGTGTGAACTTTGTAATTCAGAGAACACTTTCCCAAAAGAATCTGTTTTCATTTATTTTGTAGCTACATTGTAGCTGTTTATCAAGAGTGGCACCTTTGTGCCCCGCTATATCGGCATATCACTGCATCCCGTATCGTTAAGGAGAAATTCAACATTTTTGAAAGCTTCCATAACTTCCAAATAAGGATGAAAACAATGTAAATGGATGGTTTGAAAACCCATTCATTTAACTAACTATACATAAAAAAATCTCCCTGAGTAATAAGGGATGAAATAAAACAAGTATTATTTTTAATCTGACCATAAGTAAACTTTGCCACTCGAAATTCCAGAGCCAAGAATGCTCCTTGCCGGATGAAAAACATTTATTGATGAAGTTTGGTTCGTGAAGCTAGGATCAAACTTTTCCAACAGTGGGGACGTTTCCATTTGTTCCACATGATAAAACTGAATCTATAAATAGGAAAACATGCATATATGTTTATATAGTGAATGGTTTGAGCTTGGGAGTATCGTTACATGTTTGTGGATGTAGATAGTCCAGGTTAGTAGAGTGACTACCGCTAAGATTGTCGAAACGTCAGTCAACATCAACACCAACAGTCTTTCTCAGGACTATATTAACCAGGGCGATCTACATCCACAAACATATGACATATGTTTATCTTATTGAAAATTACATCACAATAAAAAATATTGGGAATTCATAGTTTGACGACTGACTGCATTACGAACGTGTTTACTATATCAAAACATCCAAGCATAGCGGTTTAAAGAAGTAGGTGAACGAGGCGCAATGAGAACTTGAAGAAAAGGAACGGACTGTTCGCGGATAAATTATTATTTTCAACATTTTAGTTTTATTAACATTGACAAGGTATTCAATTCATTCAATTATAATATTTTTAATTTACACTTACGCGTCAACTATATAAAAGACTACCAATAACAAACCCACGATCATTGCGTGGATCCCACGAAGCTTTAAAAGGCGTCACCCAACGATTATTTCTTTGATTGTAATGTCTAAAATTTGAACAATAACCATTCTTAAACATTATTGTTAGCATTTCTATCAAAGTCTTATACAATACATTATCTGTCAATGCTTTAAGAGTAGAACGGCTTTATTTGTCATTTTAAAAGTTTTCCTGTTATATGTTAACAATAGACTCTCCAGTTGAACATTCATTATTTTAATTAATCAGCAAAAAAGTAACTTCGTGATCTTACTGAAAATTTCGTTTCATTTCAAGTTTCCATGAGGTTGTGACTTCCAACACTCTAAATGATGTAAAAATAATATTATTTTACTACAAAATTCTACTGAGATCGAAATGTTAAAGCTGGGTTTAATGCATTTTTCGTGTACATTTTTCTGTAGATCTTAAGAATTGTAAGCACAAAATTGACGAATTTAATATAAACATACTTAACAGTATCATCCCAACACGTTGTCAAAATGTACTTTCCATCACCAGGAGAAAAATAAGATGACGATATGGAACGACTGTGCTTTTCAAATGTGTCCAAACTTGATTTGATCCCTTTGAGATTTCGTAAATCCCATAATGCAACAGTCCTGTTAACAAAACGAAAATGTACCTAAATAGCTACTATTTCGTTAGCATTAATAGATAATAACAGTATAAAAAGGGAAATGTTCCGAAGACGCAATGAAATGTTTCCACAATTTTAGACATTGAAGATGGTAAATATGAAGTCTTCAAACTTCGGCAATGTAAGGCTAGGTAAGTAAGGTAATATATAAACATGGCAAGAACTTTATAATTTTGCTGGAGGAAGATTGGCTACTTACGCATCGCTCGACGAAGTGCAGAAGAGATATTCGTTGGAACTGCTTGAATCGATGCACTTGACATTTTTGCCGTGACAAACATGAGTTTTCACTTCATTCCTGTCAAGAAAAAGCAGTTCTTATGTTTATAATCCCGTGCTTTATTTAATAAATAAAAGATGTTTACTGTGTTAAGTGTGTTTGCACAGGCTTATGCGAACCGAGGATACCTTTAGGAGAACTCGAGAGCAGATCAGTGCAAGCTCAAGACCGAAGGTCGAGGGTTGCACATGCTCGAGAAACGAAAAACATCTTTTATTTCTTTTATAAAATAAAATAATGCAAAAAAAGAAAAACGTTTTAATTATTCCAGTAAAATGAATTCATGATCGATTTGTAAATTTCCTTTGACTGATTGATTGTTTTGATTGATTTAATTGGTTGAGCTCAAATGTGTTTTGCACAGGCTAACGTAAACACGGCTCTAGACCAATCACTACACGCCTTTTATTGTTTTGATTTTATAATGTAATTTCTCTTATACATGCAAGTTCAACTTTACAAAAAAAATCGTCTCACGACACAGAAATGCGTGACTATTGAGAATTTGAACTTATTCAACATCAAAAAAGAAAGCTATTGTTAACTGTACTTTGTTTCTCTAGTATCCAAAACTCCCACATAGCCAGCGTCGTGTGCTAATAAAAAAATATCCCGCGAGTTGAGAGGACACGAAAAACCGTTAATCACGTGATCATCTGTTGCATAAATGTACATAACGAATTCAATTACGCGTTGAATAAATTGAGCACGTCATATAACTAGTGGCAAAAAATTGCTGATATTGAAGTGCACCAAATATCGTGTGTTCAAACTTACATCTTCAAAAGTACAAACATTGAAGTCTGCTCGTCTCAAACATCCATCGACACTCGAAGAAAAAAGACTGTTGTTTCTAAATGGATGAAAATATACTTGTCGAACGTTACCGGCGTGTGGTCGATACATGATGACATCATCATCTTCCTTGCTTGCGTCCTAAATGAAAAAGAAGACTTTACTTTGTAATAACATGTAAAGCTCCAACAAATGGATAAGTTTTGATGTTTCTAGCAAGTGTTGAACATACACAAGACTATAATACGAGAAAAATTCTCAATGGGACAAACTATTATCAGAGACAAGTTTAGCTAGAAAACAACATGTATTTTTGTTACTAGATAAGGCATCAAAACGGAGAGCAAAGCAACACAAGCCAAATCAAAGAGTCTTACCACATTCCAAATGCTAATGTTTCCAGTATTGTCACCAGCCGCTACATTTGTTTTATCACAGCATGGATGAAACGCCATCGTCGTTATTTTTTTTTGGAACAACTTTTCGTATTCGATCAGACGTCAAAGAAAATTTTGATATTCTCTGCTTGTAACTACACCAATGAAGTAATATCAAGCATTAAAAGTTGACATCGTGAAAGGTAGTCGAAAATCAATAGTCATCATAGCTTTACGCATGCCATTGTTAAAAATTGTGTGTCAGTACCTTTGTGAGGAAGATGCTTCAACTGGAACAACGCTCGTCGCCATCTGCAAGAATGTTAACGCGAATCAAACAGTTGCAGCAAGATTGTATAACTCTATGTTATTAAAATTGTTTTGTTTAGTCATCAAATAATCAATGCGATGCCCTAAATAGCAACATTAGCACTATCTATCAATAGCAACATTGTGCACCATCACTTGGCGCACAATGATGTTATTTCAACAATACCAACCTTAGTTTCGTTGGAAAGCAATTCTAAGGAATTCATGAATTTCTTATTTGCATCGTCTCCAACATCGTTTATTGGGTTTGCATCGACAGGACCCTTTATCCTTTCTTCCTTTTAAATTTAGAAACATAAAACACTTTACTTCAAAATAATATTTAATAACAATTAAGACGTTGAAAAGACGAAACAAAAGAAACAAGTGATCTAAGGATAGTGCAAACTTTCAGAAAAAAAAAACACTGCTTTTTGCCTAGTAATTTGAATCAACCATCAAATATTTTTAAAATTTCTTTTATTTCTTCATTTAATTTTAATTCATGTATCATTGCGTGAACATTCATAGACTTTACGGCCAATATAAACATTTTCAATAAAACGTATGACAAGCTACAGTCTAAATAACCAGTTCTTGTCTTGTTGTGCACGTTTTACATGAAAGTAGTTTCCTTTTCGTCCACGAAGTAATGTTTATGGTTGTGTATTGCTTACTTTGTTTTTACACATGATGGGGGCACTGCAGGGCCATTACTGCCATTGCAGTAATGAGTTTGAAAATTCATTTGCTTAAAACAGCCAATGATATATGGCAGAGAACTTGCGTAGTCAACTTGAGCAACTAATGGAGGTCAAATCCAAGAGCGGCAGAACATTGATAATTGCGGGAGGGGGCTATAATTCATATATGCATGCTTTACTTTATTAGTTTCTATTGAAATCAATTGTGTTTACGGATGATAACAAATGAATATAAGAATATAGCCCCCCCCCTTTATCAATGTTCTGCCGCCACTGTAAAAATCATCTACATACATCTCCTTGCACTGCTCTGGGAGTAATTACGTAACTAGCTTGCTGAATCACATTTATCAAAAAGTAAATTATTCTCACAAGTCACATAAATTGCATTACACCCTCCCTGTCCCGTATGAAGTTTAAACCATGTATGATTTTATTCAATTTTAGCAGCTCATTAAAAAACTGCACTAAAAAGAATGTGGGGGATCAAGGCTATCTAAGATGTATGGAAGCAAAAGAAATACATGCATTGCCTTACATCAGCTGGATAAATTCTTAAGTCTGGCAGAGTAATCATTTCAAATTGATTCGAGGCTCGTTCTTGACTGATCCTGGGGGAACGCCGTACTGGTTCCACAACTTTTTTCTTCATAACGCGCCTGAAAGTAAGATAAAAACAAATATAAATAACTTTATGGCTGTCAATGATATTGAAATAAATAACAAAATTGATGTTTTCAAAACTGTAAAGTAATAAAATCCTTGGGATACGCATGTACAATAATGGACATAAGCAATCATTACATATAATCTGACAATACATAACACAGGTTAGATGGTGCTCTCACAATATTTTCAAGTGAGTCAAATTCAGATTTAAATATGATACAGTCACCAGAAAAATCTTGATGAAAATATATATAAAACAATCACATAAAACAAAATTAAACATACTGTATATGCTAGAAACATGATTATAATCAATGCGCAAGGGCAACAGCCAAAAAATGAGGTGCACCCAAGAAAACAACATTACCTCTTTAACTTTGTTGGCTGTTTACGAGCCCTCAGATGGCTGATTTCCTAAAACATATCATTTATGCACCATAAAGTTAAGTTAAGTGGCGATATTAAGAGCATTCATTTTATCTGTAAGTTCTAGATAAGTCCAAAACAGCTACATATGGAGAACAATGTCTAGTCACATAGTACTTTTCAACACTTGGAGATAACTAGGAATGATGTCATGTAAAAATAGTAAATGAAAACAATTTTACTTTCCATCAACTGTTTAAAACTACTACATATTTATGCGGTAGATAGCCCTTGCTACAATGTAATTCAAATATATCTTATTCTGGATAATGCAAAGAACAACATTTCAGGCTATATTGGTTGGAAATCTTTTCACACTATATTTAATGTTGCTAAAATGATGTTCCATCCATCAAGACCCTTTCCTTTTAGAACTCCCATTCTCCTTATAAAAACATGAACTATAATCTAGCAAAAGTACTACCACAGAGTTTCAACTGACCTCGTTAATTTTCAATGAATCCAATAACTCTTTGTTCTTTCTAATGTTGGCAAGTCTCTGTTTCTCGTACTCTGACATTTCATGCAGGTCATTGTCGTCAGATTGATCTTCACTCAGCAAAGTCATAAAATGGAACAGAGTGAAAAACCTGATACATCATTGGTGTTGACTTTTATCAAAAAAAATTTTTGCTTACACTGCTTGACCTTTCACAACTTTCTTCATATTGAGTGTTATCATTGTCTTCATTACCATCAATTTCATCTGAGCTGATTTCTTTGGGTTCAGCATAGTTCACTTCAAGCTTCAATAACTTCCTTTGTTGTAGCTGAAAGAGACACCCTAATTTGATGCACTGATATTTTGCACGAATATATAGGTTATATAGTTGAGGATTTTAATTCTAAATCCTACACGACAGAGCAGAGAACCCCAAGCCAAAATTAATCAAAATTTTATAACATAAGGTTGAAAGGGAGGTTCAATTTAGAAGATACAAATTGCTTGTCTTAATAAATGTTATCTTTTGTAGAAACTATTATAAATGTTTAGATAATCCCTTTTTTCCATGAATCCCATGGATGCTTTCGTTCATGACGAGAGAGTTATATTGTATAAGGATCAAGGCTCTCTTTCATCACGAGAGAGTTATGAGAAAGTTACATTGTAAATTTCTTTTTACATTGAAATACTTTCATAATTAAATTTAGAAAGTAACTTCTCCTCTCGAGTAATTTTGCGATTAAACAGCACAATTTTCGGATTCAAAGGAATTCTTTGATCGCATAAAGACAGCCGTACAATTTACTACGTACAATCTCTTTAAGCGACGTATGTAATAAAAAGTTACCTTGACAACTGAAGCAAACCCTTCTTTTTCCAAGTATTCACAACATCTCAAATTCATTCCGTATTCTTGAAGTTCTCGCAGCGTAGCCGAAAGATTTTTCATGACTTTTCAACGTCTATCAACGAAAAAAAGTGTGAGAAACTAACAAATGATGATTTAGCAACAAAATCCGCAGCGCAAGAGCAAATGTCAAGACGTTTTGAAAGGATTGGAGCAGAGAGCTTATTTCTACAAAGCTCGAATACAGCTCTAAAGCAAAACAGTGGATGGCCACAGGAAAACACAGTTTCCACACAAGCGCTGAACTATGACGTGAATGCAAAGGGTTATAGAGAAGTAAACGAAAATTTCCGCTTGGACTGTGAAAATCATCGTAAGGTGGAAGAAAATGTTGCAGTTAAAAATCAAAAGGGCCGTGACGTTAGCAAAGATTATCGCGTTTTAGGCCAAAACAACGTCAAGAAAATACAGGATAGAGACTTCAACGAAAACGGGGATTATCTGTATGGAAAGGATTTACGTTTAAACGATCAGGATTACCGTGTTGCAATTGAAGGTTATCGTGTAAATGAGCAACATTGTCGAGCATTGAACGAGATTCAAGGAATTAATGACCAATCAGGAGTCATACATTCGCACTTTAATGGCCACATTCATCCAATCAATTGCCCAAATGATCGTGATATGAACGTTGATTTTCGCACAAAGAATTACCCAATGAACGCGCAAGACTTTCGATTTTACTCTCAAGAATCACGTGGAAAGAGTCGGGAAGAGAGGACCTCCGATCCAAGACAGGATTTTAACGGCATGGGAACGATGTTAGGAATGTCAAATGGTTTGTTTCATTTCGCTAATCAAGACTCGACACAAGTATACCATTGAATAATGCAGTCATATTATTTTGGTCACTCTTTCACAACAATGCGATTTGAAGTTGAATCTTTAGCGTTCGGAGCTTCTACACCATTTCCACAAGAAAAAAAGGGAAAAACAGCACTGAACACTTTTCCGAACAGTATTACGTATGTCAAACATTAAAACTGTGCTCAAATTATCATTGTGTCTATTCAACTGCAGAGCAACGGTCATATAGTGCATACATGAAGTAGTAACAATTGTAGTAACAATTACTCTCATTATAGTTATAATTGAATTAAAGATAGCTGAAAATTTGTAGTATTTTTACTCAACAAAACATTGTACAAATCAATACACAATGATTTAGTTAACTTATAAACATGCCTCTGGTAAAGAATTTAGCATTTGCACGTTCAAAGAACAACAAAGTCACCCACATCCTCCCTCGCCTGGGACCATTTTCGGAAGCTATTTAAGTCAACAAGTTCTCACCTAAGGTATTCATGGATTTGGTAATGCATAAAAAATATGTCAGTGGTCAACAAAATAACATGCATACCGAAAATTTATTTAAGCCCAAATTAATACTCTTGCTTTATTTTGTCACATGACGAAGTTAATTCAAACTGAGCAGTTTTGAAAGTTTTATAAAGTTAAATTTAAATTAAACATTAATTTTCACAAGGTTTAACTACTTTAAAGAACTTTAACATGGTGATTGCCTTGTATAAATGAATAATCAATGAATGCATAAAATTAAAGTGAAAAAACATGGCCAAAGATTTGCCAAGCAGAAAACAAATTTTCATGATGAATATCACAGCCTAACATAAGATTATCAACAGAGCCACAACATAAAAATTAATAAGTAGAAGGTTTTTTTGATGATGTTTTTTCATCTTTGACATTTTCATATTTACACGAGGCTTCAAATATAAGCAGATAATTATACATTTAAAGGGCATTAATTTACTTTAACAAGTTTTCTCTTCTTTTGTTATCTATTTACTTGTATACTTATTTCTTTTAAGTGTAATGTCTTGTTTCTCCTTCATCTTATCCTGTCATCCAAACTTTCTATCTTTATTTGTAATTTAATACCCTGTAAATATATAATTATTTGCTTAAAATTGAAGCCTTACTTAAATACATACCATTGTATCTGAAAATGTCTTAAGTTAAAGAAAAAACACCTTCATCAATAAAAATCTACTTTTTATTTTTCAATAACCTTATGTTGGGCTGTGTAGCTAACATTCAACACAAATTAAAAAAGCATGCAGCTACAAAAAATTAACCAAACAAAGACTTACCATGATTCTTTAGAGTATTTTCAGTTATACAATCTTAGAATGTTGGACAGTCATACGAATGTTAGAACAAAGGACAGTTGTGTCAATTTTAGAAGATTTGACAGTCATGGTAAAGTTGGAACATGAGAATAGTTATACCACCGTTAAATACAGGGAAGCTATACCAACGATGTAATACTGAGCTCTTACGCCAATGTTAGAACATTGAACAGTTACACCAATGTTAGAACACAAGGCAGTTACAACAGCTTTAGAATACAGGACTGGACAGGACAGTTACAATTGCTTGGGAAGTCATACCAACATCCAACCATAGGATACTGTGCAGTTATACCAATGTTATCATGGTCTGATTTTCATGTCGATATTCTTGAGTTGCATAAATGTTTATGCTAGCTCCAACGTCTCTAAAATCAAGAGGTCGTTGGCGATCCCATGAGAAATTTAGAATAAAGAAACCAAAAAAAACATGTTTATTCACAGAAATTAAATATGATGAAAATATCACGGAGTTTTTTGCTTACGAGACTTTAATTTCGCGCATTTTTCACAATTCGCGAGAGAATCGAGAGATTTAAGTCGCGTAAAATATTATGAAAAATGAGAACGCGAAAACAAGCGTGACGATAGTGAACAATGTGGACCGTGCAAAGAAAATAAGAAACAAGTACTGAGCAAAATGCCGACGAAAAAGAAAGAAAAGTACGTACAAAATTCTAGAAAGTTAAACATATATAGCTTTATATCAGTTTATTGGGTTTGTTGAGTTCGTTTATTAAAAACCGCTTCGTAAAAAAGTGTGTAGTCCATACAAGAAACTAATCTAATTTAACCGTGTGTCTCAGAAAAGGTAAATCCAAATTCAACGCGTTCTTGAGTACAAATTATCGAATAAATGACCGCATAGTTGAACTATTAAGAAAGACCAGAGTTCTGTCTATGGAATGTCATGTTTGTTTGTACCAATTAAACATGGTTCTGACTGAAATGGTCTTCACAGTCATTTCAGTCGTCTTTAGAACCAAAATTGTTAGGATAAAGCTCTATGTTGACGACTAAAACGACTCAAAATATACAAACCAATCTTTAGAAAGAAAATACCCTAAATTATAGAATACCCATCCACACACTATCCACTCCTAAAACATGCCTCGTTCTTTATACTTCGTTCTTCATATTGACCATTAAATGATACTTAATAAATAATAAATGAGAACTAAATAAATGATACTTTACTTTAACTTTACTGTTACGTTTTTTAATGTGCATGTGGTTTCCTCAAATTTGTAAGGGTGTCCACAAAAATGGACAAGTATTCTATATTCTATATTTCAAAAGCTTTATCAAATTACTACTGGAGGAATGTTTAAGATACGACTATATTCCTTCATTAAGACAGCAAATTTCACGGTAGACTTTATCCTCTCCTTCTCAGCCATGGTTTCTTGCCGTTCCAGTTTTATAGATAAACATTCATCTCAAAATACTGAGTGGAAGAATTTAGCTGTTATAAGATGCCACTATGTAAAATTATCGTGACAACGTTGTACAAATCTGATCTTTTGGGCTCTGCAGGCACTGGATGTGATAGTTTTCATCCAAATGGCATGCCTTTCAAATGCTTAGTTATGGTAAATAATCTTTATATGATCGACGTCGTTGCAACTCTGCTTTGATATCTTTCAAAGTTAACGTAAAGTTTCGTTGAAAATCGCTTCCGAGGTTCACTTGGTTTATAAACCCTATTTTCTCGCAAAATATCCATACTTGTAAATGAATGGTTTGTCTTGCTATTGATCTGTTTTTGGCAAATTTTTCAACAAGTGTCTTCAATTTTCATTTCTTGTTCAGTTCCAATCACAAATGTCGACGATCTTCATTTTTTATCAACACGTTGAAGTACATTTGCATTCAAATAAGACGTCTTTCGGTGACTAGCAGAAAATTAACGATACTCAGCGTCTACTGCATTTAAGGCACCAACTTTACTTTGCTTTGTTTAGTCTTGTTCAATAACTTCTTGCAAGCAACAAGTGTTGACAGTGTAACAGTGTAGTTCACAAGTGCCAAAAACTAAAGGTGAATAATACCTTTATGCATGGCGTAAGGCACTCATGATGTGTTTATTCTACATGATTGTTTAATATTCATTGTTAGTGTATGAGCAAGTTACACAGGATGTCTATTGAATTTAATTCTGAAGACAATAAATAGTGTTTATCAAACAAAAGATCCAGGTTCTCCTTCATTAAATATACGTAAAATGCAAATGACGATTGACCATTGTTTTATGGTATTATGCAAATCATCAAATGAAATTTATTCACCCTATCAAATAAACCATGTGTTATCCTATTCTGGACGTCACTTAAGTCATGCATTATAAGAGTTTAAAGCATTAAAATGTTGATGGCTTAAAATTTTGGGACTTTTCATTTGCGTTGAGTCGTGTTAGGAACGATTGTTTATCACTATGAACTTGAAGATGGTTATTCAAAGTTAGAAATGGTGAAATAGTACGAATACTGGCGGCTGCGTAAATAAAACTACAAATGATCCTGTGCCTTTATTGAAGAACTGGCAACATAAATTGATCGAAATTTGTAAATCATGTTTGTTAAGTAAGCAGACAATCAGATGCCCAGGTCGATTATAACATGATTTACCATGGATTTCCAAATACACATTTTCTACATAGAAATTCATGGTAAAAAAAGTAAAATAATAGAGATTTATTTTGCTTGCTCACATTTTTATTTGTAGAATAAAATAAAGACATTGGATTTGTTTATATTGCAATAGATATATACCATATGTGTACATACTACATGTTCCTTACATGAAGTATTGAGGTATTTTCTATGATAACATGACAAAAAATATGTAAAAAGTCCCAATTTTTGCTATGCATCATCGACCAGCAGCAAAAGTATGGTGGCTACCGTCCATGCCTTCTCCACCTGACGCCCCGGTTCCAATCCTGCCTGTTACATTGAACGATTGAACGCCTAACCAAGTCCACAACTGCAATATGCAAGGTTCAAGGAAGTCTGAAAGATAGTACGATGGTGAAAGAGAGAAAGAGGTGATGTAAATAGAAAATGGAACATGTGAGTTCTAGATCGTGGGAAGTGAAGAAAATCATATAAATTAAATATCTTTCTAAATTTTTCTTCATAATTTTTCACGAAAAATTTAGGCAGTGCACTTTGAACCTGCTATCAAGTGCACCGAACCCGAGAATACTTTGCTTGAGCTAAATTTTCACGACGCTAAAAAATTTTGGAACTTCTAATTAATCTTTTTCTTTTATGCATTCTTAATAAACAGTAATAGCTGCTCTCACAAATGAACTTATTAAGTGTTATGTTCAAAATTGGAAATTTAAAAAATAAACTTCGCTGTTATGCATTGTTCAAGTTAACGTTTAAAATGAAGATAAATATAAAATTTTAGGGCTTTTCCTTGTAGCATCTCTAACATTTCCTTGTAGCATCTCTAACATTTCCTTGCAGCATCTCTAACATTTCCTCCTACGCGACTGCATTCGATTCTTTGTCATTTTTTTACAGTTTTGTTGATTTTACTATTATGATTTGTGTAATAAAAGAAAGCAACAAAAGCGACGATCAACTTTAGCTGTTTTTAACAAAATCATTTCAACTAGTTTCTTCTAGGATCTAAATTCCATTTCTTGTTCAGTTGCGTTCACAGATGTTGACGATCTTCATTTTATATTGACCAACACGTTCTAATACATCGGCACTCAAAATAAGACGTCTTCAGAGAATGAACCGAAAAGTGACGATAAACGTCTACTCCAGTTAAGATACCAACTTTCCTTTGCTTTACACAATCACAAATCTTTTGAACACGTAGTACTTGTTCTTCTGCGCACTTTTGTTAAACTTTGTACGATAGGCAAGTGTTTACCATGACGCCTTGTAGTTCATAATTGCCAAAAACGTAAAGAGAATAACATCTTAATGCATGGTGATATGCATATTATTATGTATTTGTTCCACATGACTTTTTAACAACAAATTACCAAATATCTATAAAATATAATCCTAAAATACAATAGGTAGTTTCGCGAAACAAAAGAACAATGTTCCCCTTCATTAAGTATACGTAAAATACAAATGTAAATGACTATTGTTCTTTAGTATTACGCAAATCATTAACAATGAAATTTATTCATCCTATCAAATAAAGCAAGCATTGCCGTTGTTTCCTTAGTCATTCATTCGATGTGTTCGAAGAAATAAGGTCGAAGTTATAAAGTTCAAACCTAATTTATTCGATCGCCATTGAATGCGATGTATTGACTAAGGACATTCACGTCATTGCCATGATTCAGCACATGGCAGTGGATGACATTGTTCATACTTTATTTATTTTCATTCTTCATGTGAGAAACATGATTTGCTTTAAAGCAATGCAAAACAAGGCCTTTGTGTTTATAGTTCTATCGTCACTATATTAATGCCGTCAAAGGCATTTTCCAAACATTTTTCAACTGAACGCCATAAGTAATAAAGGGTAATAATTTCAATGTTTTTTATTGGTTTAAATCTCTTTCCAATAAGAAAAAGGTAAAATATGCCAAAAAATCACATGTATTCGTTGTTGAGCTTCTGGCTCAACGGGCTTTGACTGACCTCCAATGCACGAGGTTCTTGGTTCGTTCCGCGGTTGCTGTCGGTATGAGTTGAAGGGTTGAGTGCAAGGTTGAGGTTAGGAGAGAGTTTAAGGGCGATCTGTTTGCCCTGAGGTTCTTGACTATTAAAAATATGACTCCCTAACCTCTAGGGAGTCATAGAGAATTTTGATCAAAAGACTTAGTTTTTTTAGGCCAAAAAATTGTGTGGGTATTCCCTAGATACTTGATTTTTTTCTGAAATATTTCTAAGTGTCGCATTCCATTCTCGAAAAACTTAGCAAGAGAAATACCTATTGCGCACAGTGTGCACAACAGTACATTTCTCAACTGTTCCTATTTCATTACCCTCACATTCACGGCTCTCGTTCGTTGCAAGTCTAATGTCTGTCACACCATGCTCAACAACAACTGACCCTCGAAGGATACGAACCTCACACCTCAACCTGAGAAACCTGTATCAAACCACTCGACCAAGCTGATCGACGGAGACATACCGAAAGTTTTATGTATTTACAATATTTGTTCGTTTTAATATAGCAAATAAAAGAATATGTATTCTGCAAAGTGATAATCAATGAAACAAACCAAAAATTATAGTAGGATCAATCTATAAAATGTTAAGATTTTTATGAGAACTTAATTAGGGTAAATGTTAGGAAGAAAGCATGAGAAATTAGTTGAAAGAAATTATCTTTTATCTTCGTTTTTATCACACAACAACAATACATTCATTGTTCCAGCCATGAGATTTGTATTTTTATACATGAAATCGCAGCACATACAACTGTAGTACAATTCAAAACGGCCATCAGCTGCTATTATTTCATTGTGCGCTTCCCCAAATAGCTGTTGCAAATATTGTATAAGACAACTAGCTAATAACTTTTTGGAAAGTACTGAACAGCTAGCTGCGGGAACGTAAGGAGCATCTTTACAAGGATGTCATCAGTGTAGTCTGCTGCTTCTCTATGAACCGATGCACCATAATATATTATAGATGTTAACAAGAAATGTGAATATTTCACACGTGTTATCAAATTAAAACTTGAGAAATAGTTAAGATACGACTACATTCCTTCCTATAGACAGCAAATTTCAATGTAGACTTTATCCTCTCTTCTCAGTCATGGTTTCTTGTCGTTCCAGTTTTATAGATAAACATTCATCTCTAAGTACTATGTGGATTGAAGAACTTAGCTGTTATAAGATTACCACTTAGTATAATTATCGTAACAACGTTGTACAATCTCTTTTTCGTATGCGCTCTGCAGGCACTCGATGTGATAGTTTTCATCCAAATAGCATGCGTTTCAAATTCTTAGTTATGGTAAATAATCTTCTTATATGTTCGACGTCGTTGCAACTCTACTTTGATATCTTTCAAAGTTAACGTAAAGTTTCGTTGAAAATCGCTTCTGAGGTTTACTTGGTTTATAAACCCTATTTTCTCGCAAAATATCCGTACTTGTGAATAAATGTTTTGTCTTGCTATTGATCTGTTTTCCGCCAATTATTTGCTATTACCAAGTAGTCTTCAAATTATTAGCAAATCTTTTCTTTTTTTTTCGTGTATTTTGATTTCTCACTCTCTCTGTCATTGTGTGTATTGATTTTCCTTGAAATTAAGCGTTTGTATTTTCAACTGTATTTCATATGCTTTTCGACAATTTTCTTCAAGGTCACAATTTTCATTTCTTGTTCAGTTGCAATCACAGATGTCGACGATCTTCATTCTTTATCATCAAGTTCAAATACATTGACACTCAAATAAGACATCTTTCGGTGACCAGCAGAAAATTAACTATAATCGCCGTCTACTAAATACAAGGCACCAACTTTACTTTGCTTTGTTTAGTCTTGTTCAATAACTTCTTAAAAAAAAACAAGTGTTTACCACGAGGCCTTGTATAGTTTACAAGTGCCAAAAACTTAAGGTGAATAATATCTTATGCATGTCGTTAGCCATTCATGATGTGTTTGTTATACATGATTGTTTATCATTGTTAGTGTATGAGCAAGTTACACAAGATGTCTATTGAATTTAATTCTGAAAAACAATAGGTAGTGTTTCTTAAACAAAAGAACTATGTTCAAATATGTAAAATGCAAATGACGATTGACCATTGTTTTATGGTGTTATGCAAATCATTAAATGAAATTTATTCACCCTATGAAATAAAGCATGTGTTATCTTAATCGCTTAGCCATGTATTCTATGAGTTTAAAGCATTAACATGTTGGTGACTTAAAGTTTTGGCAGTTTTTAATATGGTCGACCATTGTTGGAAACGATTGTTTATTACTATGAACTTGAAGATGGTTATTGAAAGTTAGAAATGGGGAAATAGTACAAACACTGGTGGCTTCGTAAATATAACTACAAATGATCCTGTGCGTTTAGTGAGCAAAGGGCAACATAAATTCATTGATTATGTGTAAATCATGTTTCTGATATAAGCAGACGATCAGAAGCGAAGATCAATTATGACTTAACTTACTATGGATTTTTAAATACACTTTTGTATGTAGAAATTCATGGTAAGAGAAAGAAAAATAAAAGAGATCTGTTTTCCTTGCTCACCGTCTTGTTAGTAGAGTAAAATAAAACTTAGGGATTTCTTATGGCAATAAACTTATACCATATGTGTTCACGTTTTATGTTTCTTACATGAAGTATCCCGGTACTTTTTTACTGTGACGTGACAAAAATTAGTAAAAAGTCCCAATTTTTGTTATGCATCATCAACCAGCAGCAAAAGTATGGTGGCTGTCTTCCATGCCTTCTCCGCTTGACGACCCGGCTCGAGTACAACCTGTTACCTTGAAAAATGCAACGCTTAATCAGATCCTTAAATGTCAGTGTACTAGTTAGAAAGACATCTCAACAGTAGTTGATGATGGTGAATGATAGAGGGATGTGATGAAGAGATATGAGGAGATATAAGGAAAGATGTGACGAGAGAGTTAATGGTATATAATTTACATACTTTTTAGATTTTCCTTCATAAATTTTTACGAAAAATTTACGCAGTGCACTTTGAACCAGCAGTTCAGTGCGCCGAAACCGAGAGTATTTCGCTTGAGCTAAGTTTACCCGACACTTAAAAAATTTCAGAACTTCTATTTAATCGTTTTGTTTTATGCATTTTAATAAAGAGAAATTGCAGCTACGCGAAGATGCCAGACAGGTCTTGAACCCCGTTTACATGTGCGCTGTCATCGAGTGTGTTTAGTGAGCACTACACCTTTCAGACACTAGAGCGTCTTTAAAAATTGTATTGAAGCATTTTCTTCCGTTCCTTTTAAGAAGAATTCATTAATGGTAATATACTACATGTTTATAAGAAATGTTTTCCACCAAAACATTGCGACGAGAGGAATATATAAGGCAAAGGTTTGCCTTTTCGAAGATTTCATGTCGAAACTTCGCAATCGTGTTGTATGCCTATGATGCTTTCAAGTAGATGAAAGAAGATGAATAAAGTAGGCATAATGTCATGCATTGCCTTGTGGTGAACCATGGCGATGATGCGCATGTCCTTAGTTAATTTTTCGTATTTAATGGCGTCCTGATTATTTGATTAAACAATTGAACTAATTGAAATTTTTTCTCCAACCGTGTACTGCAATGCCTTCTATCAAACCAATTTATTTTTGCTAACTTTTGCCTTGCCCTTGCTTACTTTTTTACTCTGGTTTCTATCCATTTGTAAGAACCTCGCTCTTTTACCATAACTTCCATTAGAGTACGCTGTTTTTGCTGACTTTTTCTTTGCACATTCTTATTTTTTTACTCTGTAAAAACTAATATTTTAGTATTGACATTTGCAACGTTCTGACACCGTATGACTGAACAATTGTAAAATCATGAATGTGTATTTTATATTTCATATACTACATATGTTTAAAGACGTTATTGTCAGTTACAACATAAATTAACTCACGCTTGGACTATAGCAAATACACTGTACTCTTTTCATTACATTACTTCTAGAAAATACACAGAAATTTAGACCGTTGATTAACATTGTTATCCTTTTAATTTACAATGAGATATATTTCATTTTTCATGTGCTAAATCACGAAGTTATTACTCAAGTTACTCAAATTACTACATTCACTGAATTAGCGCATTTAACATCTGAAAGTAATTTGTATTTTGAACTTTGTCGTTTTTCACAGTTTCAGTGGCGACCTTTTTAAATAACGACTGCTATGAAATGGGGTCGTTGAAAATGTCTACTTCTATCGAATGACGACTTTTCAAAAAGTCGTCTCCAATGATAAGGGGCTTTTCTAATAGAAATGACGACTTTTTGAATACAGATGTTTACATTCGATTGCTACATTCGATTACATTGACTTCATTGATTACGTTCGACAATGGAACTACAACTTTTAAATATGTCATATCCTGTGAAATGATAACTTTATTAAATGTCATCTCCAATGGAATGAGAACTTTCTGAAATGCGGAGTCTTTTTCTTCAGAGAAACTAGAGTAAATTACTGCGTAAATAAGTGAAAATCCGATTTGAGAAAATCTCAGTTTGAGAAAACCTTGTGCTTTCATAATAAGTGGTTGGCGCCGTGTATGATGATGAAAATAATAATATGATGATAAGAGAAGAGCAATAGAATTTTTAAATTAAATCTTGAGTAAAAAAAAGAGGAAAAGAAACAAAACTTTTCTCGTTCATGCTTAATTTGCTCGTTTGAGCCAGGCATTAGTTATGCGTGCTATGGGTTCAAAGCATTAAAATATTGTAACCTTATGTGTTTAGCGAATGTTTATCATGAATACTTGAAGGACCGAACATTTGCGGCTGAGTTAATGTAGCTACAAATTGTTGCTGTACGTTTGGTGAACAACGAGCAACATAAAGTCATCTATCAATTTTTGCATCATGTTTCTGATGTAATCAGACCAACTGATAAGAAGGTCAAATAATACGTACCTTACCATGGATTTAAAATACACATTAATTTGTGTTTGGCGAAGTTTATGGTGTAAGAAAGTAAAATAATGGTGATCGAATTTGCTCGCTGTTTTGTTTGTAAAATGTATAGTAGAATTAAGGTACCTCTTTACATTGAAAGTCTTATGTACAAGAAATACAACTGCATCAAAAATTTTGGCTGCATGACGTGCCATAGTCTGCAGGTGGGATTTGATCTGGAACAGTAGCTCACTTAAGGTCGAGAGAATATCACTTGAGCCAAGGCTACATGACGGCAACCGGGTCAAGAACTACTATTAAACCTTTTTCTTCATAAATATTAGAAAAAACAAACGTTTTACGCAAAAACATCTAATGGATCTTGTACCCAAAGAAAACGATCCTCCGTACCCGTTAATGGCCTTCATGGTAAAGAGTTACTCACATGAAAAAATAAAAGAAGCGACTCAGAATTTATTCCAGCTTTTTTATAGCAATTATTATACGACGCATTGGATGTCGTAACGAAATAACTCTATGGTTTTTGCTTGAAGTGTCTCTTAAAGCATCTTTTGTTAATGCTGCAGCGATGTCACTTCATCTTTTGACGTATCAATACTCATCCTATTATATTTTGATCGTCGTTTGTAAAAATAACAATGTTAAGCAAGTTTCTCTACGATTTTTCTTCTGTCCTTTAGCAAGATGAAGTTCTGTTGTTAAGTCTAGACTGGGATTCGAACATAAGATTGCCTGATCAAAGACAATGGTCAACAACTGTGCCATTCCAACTCCACTTGTGTCAAGCAATTTTTAAATAAACATAATGATTTTAAAATCGTGCGTAGTATAGTTAATGTCTAACTTTTTGTTTTTTTTCTGTCTCCATTTATGTCTACCTTTATATGTCTACCTCTATGTCCACCTTTATATCTACCGTTATGTCTACCTTTATGTCTATCTTTATGTCTAACTTTATGTATAGCTTTATGTCTAGCTTTATGTCTAGCTTTATGTCTAGCTTTATGTCTAGCTTTATGTCCACCTTTATGTCTATCTTTATGTCTACCTTTACGTCTACCTTTACGTCTACCTTTATGTTTACCTTTATGTCTATCTTTATGTCTACCTTTATGTCTACCTTTATGTCTGGCTTTGTGTTTACCTTTATGTCTATCTTTATGTCTACCTTTATGTCTAGCTTTATGTCTACCTTTATGTCTACCTTTATGTCTAGCTTTATGTTCACCTTTATGTCCACCTTTATGTCTATCTTTATGTCTACCTTTAAGTCTACCTTTATGTTTACCTTTGTGTCTATCTTTATGTCTACCTTTATGTCTACCTTTATGTTTACCTTTATGTCATCCGACAAGATCAAAGAAAGCCGCCTAGTCAAATTACATAGATTTGAAAAAGAGTTGGAAACAAGAATAAAAATACGAAAATATATGGATAATTGTACTTGATAACACAAATGGCTGTTCACACGACTATAAATATCTAAACGAATATAAATGTCAATACAATTATCGGTCCGTCTGAACAAGCAACCGTAAAGAACTGTACGGCTTGTTCATTAAAGTTCGTCTCGTTGCAATTTCATCTTGAATTTGTCCAGTGCTTTTTCCATCGACTGAATAACTAGAATTTGCAACAAAAAAATCAGCATTCAAAATTAGTTAAGCAGATTTTTTTGCAAAACAACATTGAGAGGGGGCAAGAGCTGAATTATTTTGAAACCATGCTTTCTTGAAATTTGTGGAAAAAATTAAAATGACATTTGCGTCTTAAATAAGAAAAATGCTTTGTTAAATCGTCCAACATGGCGGCGGTGACGTAACTTCCACACCAAGAATTTTACAAAGGCAGAAATATAAAAGATGTAAAATCAATAAAAGAACTCACGTGTTACGGCATCCCAATAGTAATATTTATGTTCCTTATACATGCTTTCCGTGTTGTAAATGTCTGTTCTGATTTCACCAGATGGATCTATTTGTTGAAAATTTCGAAAATTTTGTTAAAGTACGCACAAATCCTTACCAAAGTGTCAATTTTGTAATGCATATATAGTCACAGAGAAAATAAAACTTTTAGAATTTTGCAGTGATATTTTTTATAGGAAATAAAGACAACAAAATTGATTGGCGTGCGCTGATTGGTTAATTGTTGTGTTTTCATTGGCTTTTGAAAAGGAATCCGAGGTCAGATTATTACATTAACCAATGAAAAATTTCAAAACAATCATGAATTCATGTTAAAGGAAAAATTTAAATATTTGTTTTAAATTTATTACTTTATAAAAGAAATAAAAAATGCTTTTCGTGTTTGCGCAGACTTATGAAAACCTAAGAGACGTTTGTGAGAACTCTTTAGCACGTGTAACGCCCGACCTTGGATATTTGGTTTGCACTGATCAGCTGTCGAGTTCTCCCAAAGATCTCTCCCAAACATCTTTTCATCTTTTCTTTATTGAAGTGTCAAAATCGAGAGGATTTGAGATAACCTACCGATGAAAAATATCCGTGGTATGTATGATCCATCGATATCAAACTTCTCGTCGATGTATTCTTCTTCGCCCTTTTCAATAAAATAAATAAAATTCTTACCACAACTTACATCTACCATCTTCAATGGAATCATGACAGAAAATATTTAACTGAAAAAAAAAAAGGAACTGAATCACTCTTGAAGTATAAAATTACCTCTACATTGACCATGACGAATTTTTCACTCAATTCTGCAAACTTTTCTGATGAGGACAATTTCTTTTTTAATGCTTTGCAAAAGATAATAAAACATATTGTTTACTACTACCCTAGAGTTAAATATCTAAGAAAGATGACTGTAGGTGAATATATAATTTTTATCGAGTCTTCTGACAATTTCTAAGCATCCATATCAGTGAAGTAGCTTGCTGCAAATTTTATTCTGCATGAAAATTTTTCTGTTTCCTCACTTCGTGAGTAAAAAACAATAAATTTCTAAATAAATGAACAATAATGATACTTTAAAATTTGTACAGCACGACCTAAACTTGCGGGCTCGTTTCGCTACTGATCGATGTCAAAGATTTACGAATTGCTGTAGTGACATAACAAACATAATTCAGTTGGTCAATGTTATCATCACAAACGTATTCACACAATCCTGTGATCAATAAAGTATTCATTTATGGGGGAATACTAAACTTTAAAGATAAATAAGAATGATATTATTTGCCAATATAAGAAACCAACTTTTAAAGCAACTTCACAACGCAAAAACAATAAATAACAGAATCTTAGATACCTTTGCAAGCTTTACACCACGGCTTGTGAATGATCAGCAACATTAGCATATCCCTAGAGTACACAGAAACATCTCTGTTAAATATCGTGTGTTGGGTTGCATGAGCGATACAAACATAGAAAACATAAAGTAATTTTTCATTATATTTTGCATGAACTATTTCTAAGTGAATACAAATTGACATTTAAAAGATTGATTACCTTTTCTTTGAGAGATCAACTCCATCTTTATAGCTCACCCAGTTCACGTTTTTGCCAAAACCTGATTTATTGGTAAAAGCATTACTTGATTTTAGTTTAAAAAAAAGATGCTGAAATCTTAACAGTTCCATACGACAACTAAATTAAATTTGAGAAACCTAAAAATACTTATGTCTAAATCGAGAAGAAGTGATCGGAAATTTATCTCAACGCTTATTTATAACAAAAATCCACCTACCATTGTTAATCGATTTTTCTTTACCAAATCGCAGCAGTGCATCGTTCATAAGACGTATGACTAACAGAACGAAAATTTAATTTGTGAACACACACAGGACAACTGTAGGATGTAAGAGATCACTGATTATGTTGATTTCTCCATCACGATAAATTATGTGATATAAGATATACTCACTTGAAAGCTCGTTGCCATAAGAAAATTTATACTCAATATAATCTGGTTCCATATTATGAAGATCTTGTTGAACTTTTCCAGTAGGATCTGAGAATACATGATTTGTACAAAATACAACATTTGCCAACTATAAACTTTTAAATTGATTTTATGCATTATAGAAATATATAAAATAATAGTTTGTGTGCATTTACATTTCCATTTTTAAGTCAGAAACCACTTCATAGCAAACGACTACAGAACTTGTCACTACAAATACTGTGCAACCACATACCTAAAATAAATAATCTTGGAAAATATCTTCCATCAACATCAAACTGATCGTCCTCTGGTTCTTCTTCATCCTTTTTGATATAAAAACAATCATGCTGACTGCTTTTGTATACGAGAAAATAAAGGATACAAAAATGGCCTTTTCTCTTTACCTGTAGGTTCACCATGACAAAATCCTGGGCATATATAGGAAGCTCCTTTGATTGATTGAAGATATTTTTTAAGTATTCACACGCAGGACAAGACGATTGATGAATTATGAGAAATATTGGCTTTTGCCTAAGTAAAAATAATGCTGCATTGTAATAAAAAATAAGATAAAGTTTTGACAGTTTTGACAGTTTTGAAAGAAAGACATACGAAGTTGAAGCTTCACTAAGAGCATTTTCCATGTTAAGCCATTCATACTCCATTCCAAAACCTAATAAGAACAATTTAGATTTTTATGTTCCGATTTTCCATCTACAAACTAGTACCTTATATGACAAAATTTTTCAATTTTTCACGACATAAATAGTACAGTCATGATAATGTACATCTTAGTACAGTCATGATAGTGTGCATCGTAGTACAGTCATGATATTGTACATCGTAGTACAGTCATGATAGTGTACATCTTAGTACAGTCATGATAGTGTACATCGTAGTATAGTCATGATATTGTACATCATAGAACAGTCATGATAGTGTACATCTTAGTACAGTCATGATAGTGTACATCGTAGTACAGTCATGATAGTGTACATCGTAGTACAGTCATGATAGTGTAAATCGTAGTACAGTCATGATAGTAATACTGTCTGGCCATTTGTTATCATCATGATAATGATCAACATTTGCTACTTGTAATGCCGTAGACAGTACTGCCAGCGACGTGCCCAGACAAAGTGATCTCATCTTTCCATCTTTGAGAAGTTATCTCATCCAACCATCTTTGAGAGGTTGACAGCATTGCCAAAACATCCAAGGTAACACATGGTGATTCGTGGCTGTTGTAAGTTAGATACCTGGTCTCTCAAGAGCATCTTGTGAGTTATGTGCCGGCAGGACTTGTTCCTTAAACTGCTGGAGAACAGTGCGGTTAGACCAGGTGCTGTCTGTTCTGGTAGGTTAGTTGGTCCCAGGGTCCATCTGCCATGACCCGCCGTTGTGCTGCCTTCATCCGCCATCCATCTTGTTCCGTTTTGGTATTTTGCTGTCCCAAACTATCCTTGTCTGGTTCCGGGTGGAGCTCCGATGATGGACTGCATAACATCTAGCAGTAACCGAATACTCCTGCATCTGAGGTCACCACCAGTCGTCTCGACACTGTCTTGCCACTGGATCCATGTGATTTCAGAGAAGAGTGAGGTTGATGTCTGCCAGCTTTTCCTCACTATAATAAATTCTTGCAAAAGTCTTGACAACACCACTCAACCTAGAAGTTAAGATTTTTTTTCTTCCTGAAGCCCTGTGGCGATGGGCGAGCGACAAAGCAGCAGGTGTGGATACACTGGGAGCTGTAGTTGCAGACCTGCACACAGGCGGCCCAGGTCTAATGGTCGCTTTCGTACTGACTGAAGCAGCAGTGAACTCGGCGTCTACCTGGGTGTCTGAGCAGCCCTTTTTAGGGATGCACTGCTCACCTCACATGAGGAAGGGACTAGAAAAGGTGTCCTAAAAAAAGCTTGCTTTAACCTTCATCCTGGCCAGCAAGCCGCGGTTGGCGGGAATCCCACACCAGCGGTCGAAATAAAGGAAAGAAAAAATTTAAGGTGACACCGATCACCTTAGGCACATGGAATGTGCGTACATTACTTGACAACCCTTCAACAGACAGACCAGAGAGGAGAACTGCTTTAGTTGCCAGAGAACTTGCTAGATATAACATCGACATTGCAGCACTGAGTGAGACTCGTTTCGCTAATGAGGGGCAGCTGACTGAAAATGTAGGCGGCTACACTTTCTTCTGGAGTGGCCGTTCTGCCGATGAGCGCCGAGAGTCTGGGGTAAGTTTTGCCATCAGGAACCATCTTGTGCAAAAGCTTGCCAATCTCCCTAAAGGTACAAACGATCGTCTCATGTCAATGCAGATTCATCTACATGATGGTAAACGGGCCACACTCATCAGTGCCTATGCACCTACAATGAAAAATCCTGAAGATGTGAAAGACAGATTCTACGAAGATCTGGATACTATGCTTTCATCCGTGCGCAGTACTGATAAGCTGATCCTACTTGGGGATTTTAACGCAAGGGTAGGCCGTGATTCTGCCTGGGATGGAGTCATTGGAAAGAGTGGGGTAGGCAAGTGCAACAGCAATGGCCTGCGCCTGCTGGAGTTATGCTCATCACATGGTCTGCTATTAACGAACACAATATTCCGGTTGTCCAACAGGAACAAAACATCATGGATGCACCCCCGGTCGAAACACTGGCATCTTATCGACTACATCATTGTCAGGAAGAAAGACAGACAGGATGTCAGAATTACCAAGGCCATGTGTGGTGCAGAGTGCTGGACTGACCACAGACTCATCATCTCTAAAATGAACATACGCATCAAACCAAAGAGACGTCCACAGGGATGTATGACCAAAAAGAGGATAAATGTTGCCAAGCTGAAAAACCTTCAAACAAGTGCAGCTCTATCCACAGACCTAGATTCCAAAATTGCCAACTTCAATCCTGGAGGTAACGTCGAAGAAGACTGGCAATCCTTTAGGGACACAGTTCACTCAACTGCAGTTCAAGTGTTGGGCTACCCTTCCCGACATCAGCATGATTGGTTTGATGAGAATGATGAGGAGATTCAGGCCCTACTTGATGAAAAGCACAGACTTCATCGTGCTTACCAAGATGATCCAACTTCAGTCTACAAGAAGAATGCCTTTGCCAGTGCACGGAGAACAGTTCAGTGTAAGCTGCGGGCGATGAGAGACTCCTGGCTCAGTGCTAAGGCTGATGAAATCCAAGCCTATGCCGACAGAAATGATACAAAGCGGTTCTATGAAGCTCTCAACACCATATATGGACCTCGATCGTCAGGAAATTCCCCTCTCTTGAGCTCAGATGGGACTTCACTAATTACCAAGAAGGAAAAGATCTTGCATAGGTGGGCTGAACATTTTGAAGCTGTCCTCAACCGTCCTTCTTCCATCAATGATAAGGCAATAGACAGGTTGCCCCAGGTCAACATCAACACGACCATGGATGTTCCACCTGTTGAATCAGAAGTCAGGAGGCAATAAACAAGCTCTCTAGTGGTAAAGCCCTGGTGCAGATGCTATTCCATCCGAGATATATAAAGTTGGTGGTCCCACATTTATCCAGAAGCTCACTGACCTCTTCCAATCCTTCTGGGCAAAGGATCCATCCCCAGGAATTGAAAGATGCCTCGATTATTCACCTATACAAGAGGAAGGGTAATCGTCAGTCCTGTGATAATCATCGTGGCATCTCACTCCTATCAATAGCTGGGAAAGTTCTTGCCCGAGTGTTACTAAACCGGCTAATAGACCACCTTGAAGAAGGACTGCTACCAGAATCACAGTGTGGTTTTCGTAAGGGCCGTGGAACTGTTGATATGATTTTCGCAGCACGACAACTCCAGGAAAAGTGTCAAGAGCAGAACCAAGATCTGTACACCACCTTTGTTGATTTGACAAAGCTTTTGACACAGTCTCCCGTCAAGGCCTGTGGAGAATTATGTCCAAGTTTGGCTGTCCAGAGAAATTCATCTTGATGGTTCGTCAATTTCACGATGGCATGTTGGCCAGAGTACTAGCTGATGGTGAATACTCCGAACCCTTCCCAGTCACAAATGGTGTCAAACAGGGCTGCGTACTGGCTCCAACATTGTTCAGCATGGTTTTCACTGCCATGTTAACTGATGCTTATCACGATGGTGTAGATGGTATCAGCATCAAATATAGAATGGATGGGAGCGTATTCAACCTACGTAGACTGCAAGCTATCACCAAGGTTAAGGAGACCATCATTCGTGACTTCCTGTTTGCTGATGACTGCGCCCTCAACGCGTCTTCAGAATCGGAGTTGCAGATCAGCATGAATAAATTTTCCGCAGCCTGTGACAACTTTGGTCTAACCATCAGTACCAAGAAGACAGAGGTCATGCATCAGCCTTCTCCTCGTACACACTACACTGAGCCTACCATACTGGTGAATGGACAGCGTCTGCAGACAGTTGACAAATTCACATATTTAGGAGCACTCTTTCCAGAGCCGTGACTATTGATGCAGAGGTGAACAACCGGATCGCCAAAGCCAGCTCCGCATTTGGCAGGTTGCGCACAAACGTTTGGGAGCGTAGAGGGATCACCGCTGCAACGAAACTGAAGGTCTACTCTGCCATAGTATTACCAACTCTCCTTTTTGCATGTGAATCCTGGACTGTTTACCAGAGGCATGCGAGACAGCTGAATCACTACCACACAACCTGTCTCCGTCGGATATTGAGAATCAAGTGGCAAGACAAGGTGCCAGACACAGATGTCCTCTCTCGATCCAACCAGCCATCCATCTACACCTTGCTGATGAGAGCACAGATCCGATGGGCGGGCCACATTGCTCGCATGCCAGATGAGCGGATACCTAAGCAGCTGCTATATGGTGAGCTCTCCAACGGCAAAAGATCAGTCGGAGGCCAGAAGAAGCGGTTCAAGGACACATTAAAGACCTCACTGAAGTCCTTTAACATCAACACCGCAACATGGGATAAACTTGCAGGGAACCGATCAACCTGGCGCGATCTCATCTTTAAGGGCTGTCAAGCATCAGAAGAAAGGCGGACTGTGGATGCCAAACAGAAACGTGAGCTGCGGAAATCAAGAGCAGCCAGTGCTTCAACATCAGATGCATCTCTGGTTTGCCATTCGTGTTCAAGAACATTCCGTGCCAAGATTGGGCTCATTAGCCACCTCAGAACTCACCGTACCCAATCTTCTAGTACTTGAGTTAACTGGTCATGGTCATCATCGCTTGCGATGGACGAACAACAACAGTCATGATAGTGTACATCGTAGTACAGTCATGATAGTGTAAATCGTAGTACAGTCATGATAGTGTAAATCGTAGTACAGTCATGATAGTAATACAGGCATGACAGTGTACATCGTTGTACAGGCATGATAGTGTACATCATAGTACAGTAATGACAGTGGACATCGTAGTACAGTCATGATAGTGTACATCGTAGTACAGTCACGATAGTGATACAGGCATGACAGTGTACACCGTTGTACAGGCATGATAGTGTACATCATAGTACAGTAATGACAGTGGACATCGTAGTACAGTAATGATATTGTACATCATAGTGAAGTCATGACAGTGTATATCGTAGTACAGTCATGATAGTGTACATCGTAGTACAGTCACGATAGTGATACAGGCATGACAGTGTACATCGTTGTACAGGCATGATAGTGTACATCATAGTAAAGTCATGACAGTGTACATCGTAGTACAGTCATGTTGGTGTACATCGTAGTACAGTCATGATAGTGATACAGGCATGACAGTGTACATCGTTGTACAGGCATGATAGTGTACATCATAGTACAGTAATGACAGTGGACATCGTAGTACAGTAATGATAGTGTACATCATAGTAATGTCATGACAGTGTATATCGTAGTACAGTCACGATAGTGATACAGGCATGACAGTGTACATCATAGTAAAGTAATGACAGTGGACATCGTAGTACAGTAATGATAGTGTACATCATAGTAATGTCATGACAGTGTATATCGTAGTACAGTCACGATAGTGATACAGGCATGACAGTGTACATCGTACAGGCATGATAGTGTACATACATCATAGTAAAGTCGTGATAGTATACATCGTAGTGCAGTCATGATACTGTACATCGTAGTACAGTCAGGATAAAGATACAGGCATGACAGTGTACATCGTAGTACAGTCATGATAGTGACACAGTCATCATAGTTATACCAGTCATCATAGTGATACAGTCATGATGTCACTGTACCTCTTTCCAATGAAGGTGCGGGCAATTTAATAACGACCTTTTTCATAGAAGCAACAACTGGAATTTAACATAGCGTTAGTATGATGAATTATAAAATGTACTTAGGTAATCTATATCTACAAACATGTAACGATGCTCTCGAGCTCAAACAACTGACTTCATTTTTAAGAAAAACATTTTTAACTTTTGCATATTGAGCGAGGTACCACATAGAAAGGACTACTTTTGCGAACTCTTATTTTACCGTCTATTCCATGTTGATAAAAATATTTCGCTTTCTTATCACGTCTGTTCTCATTGATCACCTCTATATCTACATTGCCTCGAGAATCTATGAAACAATCACAAAAGGCAGGGAGATCATTAATGTCGCCGAGTTGTTAGATTTTCTTGTATTTATAAAAATGAAAAGATAAGAAAAATAGTTTTGCATGATACAAAGGAAATCATAAAAACTACTCATATGCAAAAGAATGCCTAGTGGGGAAACATTGGGACAAAGTGTGACACATTTCAGGTACTCCACCAAAAATTATAATATGTGTGTATTGTACAAAAATCCTTCTCATCAAAATGAAATTCCCTTACCTATAAAGAAAATTCTTGGCACGTACGTTCCATCTATGTTGTACTTCTCATCATTTGGAATTTCATCGTCCTTTAAGAAAGAAAGTAAACAATAAAGAAAGGCAGAGATGCTACTTAGTAATAAACAATTAAAATAATAAACATTTAAAATACCTCAAGATTGACCATGACAAAATATTTGCTGATTTCTGCAATGTTCAAAGACATTGCAAATTCTTCCTTTAAATCTAGAAATATATTTTACACCTTGTCACCATCGAAGTAAGACTATAGCATTTGCCTTTGTGAAATTTCCCTGTGACATTTTGTTGTTTTTTAATGACAAACTGAAATCAATTTTTCATCTTTAAGATTACTCACGTACCTCTGCTGAACTGACACCAACTTCGATGGAAAATCATCATGATTGGCTTGTTGCTAATAAGATATGTGTGCACATGTATTACAAATTTGGATGAAAGTTTTTTTTTCCATTGATAACACAGAGATATGTTTCATTAAAAGAAAACTAAGTTCTGAAAACACACGTAGTTTAAGAACTTACAATTCCTCAGCAATGCCATAACTGTCGTTCAACGATGTCCATTCAATCTTTCCTCCAAAACCTGTGTATTTTTCAGAACGATATGAATGAACTAACAAATAGCATCTAACTGATTAATGAAGACAAAAACAGAATCTTTCACCTTTTGTTCGATCATTTTCAACGGTTTCTTGTCTTTTCAAAACGTTTTTCATGGTTGTAACAACTAAAACAGCTTACATGCGTGAATATCAAATCATAACACAAGCTATATGTATTGCTCATGTTAACAGACAAAAGAATGAGGAGATGGAAACTTATTATACATGTGTACCTTGCTCAGCATTTCCATATGAATAAATGAAGTCATCCTTATATTCAGGCCTTTCGTTGTAAAACTCTTCCATTATTTTTCCGTTCCGAGGATCTGTTGTAAAAAGAAAAAAAATTGAGTCGTTTGCAATAATAGAAAGAAACCAAACGTTTGTGTGCTCGCAAAGTACGTTTGAAGACTAGGTTCTAATTCAAAAATTGGCAATACAGTAATGGACTCACAGACATTATAGTATCAATAAAGAAAATTTCAATGAGTAGAAAATTGTACCTACCTAAGAAGTATAGGCGTGGAACATAAGCACCATCAACATCAAAATCATCCCCCAACATTTCTTCATCATCCTTTATTTAAGAAATTGCAATAACCTAACATCCACAACTAAAAAATATCCTGTTCATGTCCGTGTGAATGTAATTATAACATACCTCGACATTCACCATAACAAACTTGGAACTAAGTTCAAGAATTTTCTTCGACTTGGAAAAATAGGATTTTAGGACTAAAACAACAGAAATAGCTTCATGAAAGCAATCCAACGTCAACATAACTCAAATCATTAATTGAATTCACTCACTTTTGCAAGCTTTACACCAAGACTTGTGAATAATCAATAGTATCGGAATATTTCTTAAAGAAGAAAATATCTTCAGTTGAAAATATTGAAGTTTGACTCAGCAATTTTATGTTCTATATAAAAACCATCTTTTGTCTTCGTTAACCTTTTTTTCGAGAAAACCAATCCACTATCCAAATTTTCCCACTTTATTTTCTCTCCCCATCCTACCAGAAAATGAATAGCTTAAAAATATACCCATATATCATTTCATAGTATAATTTAATGCAAGAAAATCTATTTATTCACACCATTGTGCAATTTGGTGGATTTTTCCTCTTTTTCGATAACAATCTTCATACTTCGAACAACTAAAACAAGAGATAAAAGTCAAACCATGTTTTCCAACCATAAACATGAAGAAAGAATGTTAGATAAGTATAACACTAACTCTCATCTGCTTCTCCATAGTAATATTTCACGTGAGGATAAGCTGTTCCTTCATTCCATACTTCGTCCATGACACGACCACTTGGTTCTAAGAACAAAATAATTAATTTTGATTTAAAAAATAAAAAGAAAAGAAAGTTTCACAAAACCTACCGACAAACAATATTCTTGGAATATAAGCACCGTCGATTATAAATTTACTGTCTTTCGGTTCTTCATCATCCTATAAATTGAATTAAGTGCACTAAATAATGAATTTGGGAGTTTTAAAGAGTGAGAGTTGCAATACTTTTACAAAGTAGAGTAGCAATGTCTGTCGATTTTTCACGATACAATACTAGAAAAAATATTATGACAATACCTCAGTGTTGACCATGACAAAATGTTTGCTTAGATTCAGTATTTCATCAGATGCAGCAAACTTTGGTTTTAATTCTATGAAGAAAAAACAACACAAGTATAACAACAATTATTAGATTTTTTCTATTTTGTTAGTCTTCTTGTTCAAGGTGATGTTACGTTAACTTACGTTTACAAGAACCACACCAAGTTTTATGAATGATAAGCATCATTGGTCTGCCACTATTTGTAAATCATATGAAGAAATACCATTGTGCTACTTCAGTCTTCAAGATAAATTATTCAACTACGTTTTTAATCGCACCTTTTTCTAGATTCCTCTACGCCGTCTTTAAATGTGAACCAGTTAAATTTTTCACCAAGTCCTGCGATTATATGTCGAAAAAGTCAGTAAAGACTGTCAAAGTTAAATTGATAAGAAAAGTTACTTAAGATCTTGATGATTGATAAGATTTATTTTTACCAAAAATGTGTTCTTAAATAAATTCCTAAAACTTAGCAAAGATAGTCAACTTGTTGAAAAGAAGTGTTTACGATATTTTATAAAATTATAAGACACTGATCAATCTTGGGTAAAAAGAAGAGACAATTTGTGGCACCTAATACCTCATCCTAAATTATAATAAAGAACAAGATACACTTACCTCTGTGAAGATTGTTGGAACTAAATCCTACTTTCATGACTTCCTTCATACTGCGTACAACTAATAAAATTCATAACATTCAAATATGTAAAATAAATTGATGTAACCAAACATCTTGGTCAAGCAATATTTTCTAAAAGAACTTCATACTGTTTTTTGGTTCTCCATAATAGTATTTGGTGTCGGGGAAGGATGTTCCTTTGTTCCATATATGATCCATCACTTTACCACTAGGTTCTGAAACACAGTAAGCGTGAACTTACAGGAACAAGATAAGAGAAAATTTATCATCCTTTGTCTAAAGTATATTCCATCTAATTGTTGCTGTCATGATTTTATTCATCACAAGTGTTCAACATACCAACGAAATAAATTCTAGGAATATATGCACCATCAACAGCATATGCTTTATCTTTTGGTTCTTCATCATCCTTAATGAAAGAAAGAGCCAAAACACCAAATCACTGCATGCAAAACAAAGAATTCTCTCTCATAACCATTGATATACCTCTGTGTTGACCATAACAAAGTTTTTACTCAGTTCTTCGATTTCTTTTGATGCAGCAAACTGTGGTTTTAAAACTGTAAAAATGGAAAAATTTACACTCCTTATTGTTGCCTTCCTATTTATAACTTCTTCAGTTGTGTTTAAATATAATAATACTTACTTTTGCACGAACTGCACCAGGATTTGTGAATTAAAACCATAATTGGCTTTCCGCTGCAAAATTATGAACATATCAAGTTTGTCAAATATGTTACTTTTGTTTATAAATTTGATAATTTGTCGAGGTTTTTATAGTTTTTCTCACCATCTTCAGCTTTGCTGTAAAAATACTGGTATTTTTCTCGCTTTTCATTCATTATGTTTTTAAGAATTTTTCCATTTTTACCTATAAAAGACAAAGATTTACAATGACCATACAAGCTACCATTCTGAAAACTACATTTCCCTTTTGGTAAGATTTTCCCATATTTATATGCGTAGTAAATACCATAAAATAAAATTCTCGGTACATATTTGCCATCAATATCGTACTCTTCTTTTTGGCTTTCTGTTTCATCCTAATTAAATAATATTACATGTATAAATGCAAATCTTTGCGATAAAAGTACATATCTTTATCACAACTTTCAACGTTGTATTCAAACAAAAACTTCTTCAAGAATAAAATACAATGAAATTATTGTATTATTGTATTAAGGATCCCCTACTACATCAATCTGATGACATTTCTTTTATATCATTTCACATGATTTTTAGTCAACTCATATTTTTCCAGAGATACAATACTTTACAAACTTATATACAAGACAATAAAATAATATAATACATACATTGATGTTGATCATCACAAACTCACGACTGAGTTCTTCAATTTCGTCTGATGACAAAAACTGCTCTTTTAAACCTGTAAAAATCATCAGTAAAGCCTCTATAAAACTACCTACGATAACCAATGACGTAGCTAGCTTGCAAGTTTGGTTGTGCTATGTAAATATTTCAGTGTTACTGTCTTTAAAACTCTAGATTTGCTAAAGAAACAATTGATGCCAGTGATCTGACATTTTAGAACAGCCAAAATAGCCGACTATAGTTACGCCTTATATGGTAACATTGATGGTGTATGCAATAAATAGTTTGAGCAAACATTTGGAATTCAGCAGGAGTTGAATTTTGATTTTATATACAAATAACCTACCTACGCAAGCTTTACACCAACTTTTATGTATGATCAACATTTTGGGTTTTTTACTAGATGTGAAGAACCATGAAATTTTTCAAAACATATGAGCGTTCTATTTTAATTAAATAAGAGCTCCATACAAATCTAAAACCTCCTTCAAATTTACCATTTCACAAAAAACCCGCAGGAAAACTTAACTGGATTGTTTAGTAATTACACTGCATGACGACTTAAGTAATTTAAAATTTTGTTTAAAGATAGCAAACTGGATTTTCTTCCTTTGCGGGCCTTGCAGCATTCAAAGTTTGAGTGTAAAAATTGTTAATTTGATAACGTACCTAATATGCATCACAGTTTCATCAAGTGACTTCCAGTCGATATTGCTTCCAAATCCTGAAGAGAATAATTGTAAAATATATAAACACGGTCATATACATGATGCTTCAAACAAATATTCTTCAATATTGAAACTTTACACACATACCTTTGCTAAGAATTTCTCCAGTCACTTGTGTGATCGTTAGAATGTTAATAAACACTAGAAAAACCTGAGTATTGCTAAATTTCATTTTAAAATAATTTTAGACGCAGAAGACAACGCACATCCAATTTGCTACAGAGAAATATCTATACTTTTTATAATAGAAGGAAATCTGTTGAAGTCAACCAAAACAAAGGTTTTGCGTTGAATAAGTAAATAGATCATGTTGCTGGTGGCTTTTTTATTTGAAATTTTCATTTCTTAAGAAACACAAAAAACATAAAAAGAGCGCGTGGCATTTATTGTTAACATAGGCCACAAGTTGTTGAAATTAAAAAAGCCTTTTGTATGTATACAAACCAATGGCGAAGCAAACTCGATAATTGGAATGCACATATTGTTACTTGCATGTTCTGCCGTAAGCTGTCGTATTCCCTTGCTCTACTTTTAAAAATCAATATGAAAGCTTGATATTTTCTGGAATCATACTAAACGTCGAAAGCTCTAAAAAATTCGTATGCCATGTCTAATTATCAAAACGTTTTTATGTTGAAGTTGAATTATCTTTAATCAAACAACACTTATCAGTCATCACACCAATCTACAAACACATTTTCCTAATGCAACATTCAATTGGAATCTTTTGTCTCATAGTTATCCAACACTAATTCCAGAACATCACTCATAGTCATGTTTTCGTCACTGGTAATATAATTTGATAAAGATTTAAGATCTTTTGAATTTTTTCATAAGTTTTTACTGTGTCAATAATTTGAAAGTGTTTAAAAGTAGGCTGAATATTACAAAGAAACAATGTGCTAGTCTTGATGACACAGTTGGTTTTTGCTATTATCGTTTTTAAAAAAATCCAAAATATCATCTTCACAGAAGTTATTGTTTTCCATTATCAGAATCCTCTCTTATTACTTTGGAAAAGGTTGAAGAAGTTTGTCAGAGACTTGCTGCAATATTTCGCCAATGAAAATTCTCTATAGTTTGTCGTGTATGAATTATCGAATCCAAGTTATTTCCATCGTTTAAAAGGAAATATAACTTATTCATTGTCACAATTATGAGTTCGTTAATTGTTTGAGTGGGTGAGAGATTGCAGCATCAAAAGAACTTCTTTAACTAAACATTAGCTAAATATCTTTTATAATAAGTATCCCGAAGTTCCACATACTTCCCTTTATAGTAAAAGTGTAGGCAGATGACATAATGTTTTTTTCTCTCAGTGAATTTCCTTTTCAACTTGACAAGTGTTATACCGTTTTTGTTAATTTGCATTGACGCCGTCGGCTCCGTCGTAAAAATAATAATTTTGAGTTGTCTTTTCTTTTTGATCTCAAGGTGGTTAAGCAGTCCACAGTGTAAAATTAAATGCAATTCGCTGAAAGGAATACGACTTCAAATAATGAAAGGGTTCACATCTATAAAGCTTTAAGGCCGTCTGGAACTTTTTTATAATATTGTTCCAAAAATATAGTGGAAGTTGCAATATTCAGAGCTATCAAAAATTGAGTGAAATATTTGATCGTAAACAACCAAACTCAATTCCCAAAAAGGCGCTTTTTTCAAGTTTTTGATGACTTTTGACAAGGTTGCAATACAGTGGTTTTGCAAATAAGATTTGAAAATTCGTGAAACATCTTGAACAGAACCATACAACTTTAATAAAAAAATTTATGTCCTTCTAAATTACATTATTAAAGAAACTATTATTTAGTATCCCACTTTTTTTAACTTCTTGCCATTAACAATTTTCCAAGTAAACAACTTCGGACCTCCAGCTACAATTTTCGTTTTGACCAGGAAAAACTCATTTTATAAAATATTATTAAAAAACGTCTGACAAAAAAATGAATTATACTTGCTACATCGAACCATTATACCAGATATGTTGCATGCTTCTACCCGTGTCAGTATAGTTACTTTTCCAACATTACGTACCTTAATCAAGCATAAGTATCTTTACAAGTAATGTTCAAAGCTCACTTCATTACGTTGCTGTGTGCATCTGTCAGCTTAAGAACTTTAGTCCTCGAACCTTATCGACGATTATTTTTTTGTCATCTAACGAGCATGAAGATGTATGCACCCACTTAATGCAAGAATTTCACTAAATTCTTACAGACTACAGGCACCTCAGTTGTGCTTTTTCTTGTTGTAATATGTATTGTATATGTATATAAGATGTATGCACCCACTTAATGCATGAATTTCACTAAAGTCTTACAGCCTACAGGCATCTCAGTTGTGCTTTCTCTTGTTGTAATATGTATTGAAACTACATAAGTATATGTAAGTATACATATACTTATGTAGTTTCAGTAAGAAATCAAATAACAAGTCTCTGGTTTATATTTGCTAAGTGAGGATGTATTTACGATTTTTATGGATGTCATTTATAAAATTCAATTGAAGTATTAATATATTAATTGATTGTATTAATATACATAAGTTTAATTGTCTTTACATCTCTAAGATTACATATTTATTTAGCAACTAAAAATTATTTGACACAGCGTTTAATAGCGTACTTAGCTAAATCACGAGAACAATGAGCTAAAAAGGTGAATAGAGAGGTGTTGAATGTTCACTAAACATTCACACAATATACAAAACTGCATAATTCAAATTAACCTTAATACAATGTCTTTCAACGCATATTTTAAAAATTGAGGATCTCCCTCAGATGTTCTATACCCTCTTTCAAGGTCAAATTTTTCCAACGCGAAGGGATTTCTGGTTCTTCATATTATAATAATTTGCAAGTTCTTTCGAGAAATTTACCATAAACCACTGCCAATACTTAGACTGATCAAAAAAAGGATCTGGAGGAATTTTCCAGGACGCGTAAGTTTCGTTTACTAACTGATAATCTTTATAGGGTTGGGGTTTCCAATTTGTGTCCATGTTTTGAAATGTTTCATTTCCAGCTACAAGAAATGTATAAATATCGTAAACCAAAATCACATTGTCGATACTGCGATAACCAGCCAAACACAAAGGACGGTGCATTTTTGTCGCGTGTTTTAATCATCGTCTGAATGTTGTGAATGCTCCATAGTCTTATCACACAAAGCTTTACAAAAGGGACAAACTGCCTGATCCCCAAACAGTGACATAAAAAGTCTTTTGTAGGGTGCTGACTGCCAATTACTAATACTTTCACTATCTAGTTCAGCATCAGTAAGTTCTTGTACAAAGTTTTCGACCAACTCGCGAACTTTTTTGTCAAATAAATCAGTTTCTTTTAAATCTTCATCCATTGTAGCGACACCAAACATTTCATTCGTGATGGCAAGAGAAGAACACTGTTTCACAAACTTTTTAATCCAATTCGTTACTTTCCAAGTCTTGCTTCCTTGTTCCATTTCATCTCTAGCTTGCTTATTTGCGTCTTCAATGGCAGAAAAAATATCCGACTTCAGCATCTCTCCTTCATATTTTAACAGAGATCGCACCAGTTTCGATTCTTTGTGCAAGCAAAAGTCTTCCACGTATTCCTTTAATTTATTTTCCAAAAATTGAATAGGATTCTTCAAATAAGGAACAAACAATTCAAAACTAGGGTTTTCTCCAAGTTGAATCAAAACACTGGCATGAACGTGACCCTTGCTTAGAAACATGCTCTTTGTCGAAAGCTTAGTATAAACTGCTGCTACAATACCCTTGTTAAGTTCTGACGTTATAGGGTCACGAAGCACATCAACCAATGACGTGGCAGCCAAAACTTCTTTTTCCATCTCTTTGCAAAGGTTGATAAAATACTTTTCCAGCCTTGGTCTTAATGTTTTTTCAAGATTCCGTCGCTCTTCAACACAAATCTCAACATAACGCTTTTCCATTTTATCAAAAATAGGAAAGGCACAGGCAAATGTGTATAACAGTATGTCACATACTAATGGTTTTTTAAACTTCATGATTTGTTTCTCTGTTTCTTTATCAATAGTAGAAATGATTTCATCATACATTGTTATAAGATCATTATTAGTAAATCTAACAGCAATGTTGGAAACTCTCTCTGCAAACTGCTTTCCTTTAGAGATAACTTTATTTTTGATATCATATGCCCTTGACACAGCATCGTGTATGAACCAATGATACATGTTTTGGACCACTTTCGAACCCCACCCTCCAATAAATGCAAGCATATTTCTATCAATTACAGGATCAGCATTAGAAAAAGCAGAAATTCTATATCTTTTTGGTTTTAGTTTCGTTGACATGTCAGCATTACGATCAGAATTTTTTGTTAGAAGAACATAAACCATATATTCATTGACATCACGCTTTACTTCCTCACAACGGGGAACTTCGGCAATCCATTGTTTCCATTCTTTTTGAAATGTTGCTTTACATTCTTCTTCGTCATTTGTTTTTTGAGTTGACACCAAGTTTTTTGCTCTGTCCAGAAGTTGTTTTTCATAATATTTTTTCATTTCTTCAACATCTTGTTGTTGCTGCAGATGGTGGAAGGTTGCCTCACAATTTTCTATAACAGACGCTTCCTGATTTCCTTTGTATCTTTTAATTTTATCCATCACGTCTTTTTTCCATCGTTCAAGGGTAGATTTACCTTTGCTTTCAAACAACGTCTGCATTTCTTTCTCCATTTTCGTCTTGAGTTCTTCTGCCTCTGTAAATATACGTTTTTTACTTTTCATCCAACATCTCTTTCGCTCTTCTCGTGTAGTGCATCTTTTCAAATCTTTTTCAATACTTCTTTCAAGTTCAGCCATTCCATTGACCATAAGTTTTACTAATTCTTTAAAAAGTTTTTTGCCTAACGATGCGTAAACTCTGATTTCAATCACATTTCGAAAACTGAAAATGAAGTTTTCCTTTAGCATTGCTTGCCATAGATCTTTAACTCGTTTACGGAATGAAGAAACAGTTAGCTTGACCACTTCTTTTGAGGACATTAGCTGAATTATATTTTCCTTTACTTTTTGCAAGTTTCTACCATAATTTGGGTTTATCGGAGCCATGGGAGGACTTCCTTTCAATAGACTTGGTATGTAAAATACGTCTTTATTTTCATCAAATGCAATGATGTCATCTAACTTTTGAAACTGATCTTCACAATTTTCTTGTATTGCTGCAAGCCTTGCCATATGGTCTAGATTTTGTTTTAGATTTTGCCGATCCATCATTAACTTATCTGCAGCGTCATTAGCAGCAACATTTTGATGGACGATCTTGCATGATTTCTTGTCTTTCACAAGTTTCATTTTTAAGAAAGCATGAGCAGCCATCCCAAAAAACTCTTTCATTTCATTATAGTTTTCACCAAAGATATTGACAATCGTGACATCAGCCACACCAACAGCAAAAGCTGCCAATTTATTATCGTGTTCTCTCACTTTTGGGTCAGCCATTCCTTTTAGACCTTCAGTATCAATGATCAACAAATAATCAAAATTTGAATCATGTTTAAGTTGATCACTAAGTGGAACAAGACTAACAAAAGCACCACGAGTACATCTTCCTGCACTTACAGGAAATTCTAAACCAAACATTGTATTTAACATTGTTGATTTACCGGAACTTTGAATACCTAACACAGAAATGACGAAAATGCTAGCGTTATTTGTTTGCATTTCTAATTCTTCATAAACAGCATCAAACCATTTCATTGGTATGTAAACTGAATCACCATCCAGCAATTCTAAAGGCTCTCCGGAAAGAAGAATTTTTGTTGCAGCACCAACATAATCATTCACTACAATATCAGCAAGCTGATAAAGTTGGGCAACCTCTCTAATGATATGCTCCAAACCAAATGAAGACTTTAATATCAATTCTTCCAGTTCATTTAAATACTTTTCTTCCTCGGTTTGTGAATCTGGCTTATCATTGTGCGTATTTTTGGTAGGTTCTTTTACAGAAAGTAATGCCCGACGATATTTTTGATGTAAATATGTCATCACAGATAGAGAAGCTTTGTCTAATAAATACTTCAAATGATGCAAATTTCTATTCAGTTCCCGTTCATTCATTATAGTTATGGAATTAAGAAAGTTAATAACATCTTTGTTCATATTATTGAAAGATTCAGTCTGAGCCTTTTTTTCATTTTCCAGTTCTTTGTGTAATTCATTGACAACGTCGTCTTGTTTAATAGTGGGACGAAATTTTGGACTATGTATCTGTTTTTCTAAATCTGCTAAAATTGGTACATGACCTTGTAGCTTAAACAGATTTTTTGCATTTTGAATCCCATCAGAAATCCAAGTTTCCACAGTTTTTTCCAATTTGGCATAAGCTGGGTCGTCATCAAAGTAAACACCATTTTCCTTTGAGTGGCATTTGAGATTTGCTAAAGATTTCAGCTTACTTTTTTTGGCCTCTTTTATATTGCTTTGTATGACCTGGCGAATATAATTGAAAAATTCATATTCATTTGATTTAGATGCTTTTGTACATGAAGACAATTTTGTACGATGATCCTTCTCTAAATCTTTGTAGTACGTTTTTACTTCTTTTTCCCTTTTTTCGTTAAAAATCAGCAGTGTTTTACCTTCAGACATTATAGCTTCATCCAAAAAATTTTTCATTTGTTCGTCAGGCATTTTTGAAGGCAATAAAATACACAAAATGTTTGATATCTCTCGAAGTACATTAACTTGCTTCTTGAAACTCGGAGCATCACCGCGTAAATTGGTAAAACAAATTTCATTTTGCAAAGAGTTCTTCTTGTTTCCACCAGGAAGATACCACACAAGTTCAACTAAGCCTTCCACGACTTTCCTTTCCACATCACCACCTTTCATGTTTTTATGAAAAAAGAAATCATGATCACCATTACCATCACTAATAATCTTGTTCATTAGGGACGATTTGGACATGGTCACATTACCCAGCCGGATAAAAGACACTACCGGAAACGGATGTTCAGTTGCGTAAACAACTTTAGCAGAATCTTCGGAAGTGGCATCTTTCCAAGATTTTGTTATTTTTTCCAACGCCGAAAGCAAGACAGTTGGGTTTTTTGCTGCATTATCAGGATCAGGTAAAATGAAAGGCACGCTAAGCTGACATTCGCTAAGTTTAACAGCAATATATTGTCGCAAGAAATCGTCTGAACTATGGAAAAGTCCTATCAAAGCATCCATAGGGTTAATTGCTTCTACAGCTTCACTTTCGTTATCACTATAACTATCATCGGAATCATCATCATCTTCCGAACTCTTACTTTTGACTTTATCTGATTCAATCTCATCTTCATCCGTGTCATCGCTATCACTTACATCAGTACCATTATTTGATTTTGTAATAACTTTACTTTTTTTTAATGATTCCAGTTTAAATTCACGTGCTTGGTGATTAGCCATCATTAACATTTTAAGAATATAACTGGGAATTTGGTCATGAGAAGTCAGTTCGTCGTCAGTAAACGTTGCAACAGTACGTGCATGTTTTAATGTAAGTTTTGTTTTAAGACCTAAACGTTCGCATAGTTGAGATAATGTCTTTTGTTTTGCTTTATGAGAGGTCTTTTCAGTTTTATTGGGAGTTACACCAAATTCGAAATCCTGACGAAATTCTTTTGGGCCTAATTGAAAAAAAACACATAGAATGACCTCCAAAAATTTATTTGTTATATTTATAATTTTTGTACTACACAGCACACGCCTTACAAATAAAGACTTGGATTAATTTTACCCATAGTTTAGGTATACCTGTGCTTTTGTGTGTTCAAAATCAACCAAAAATTTTAAATAGCTCAAAGCAAGGCGATACTCCATATTGCGACAGGAAAGCAAAACTTTATGCTACAGTTTAACACTGTATCAAAGAACCCAAACCATCAAAATATAAATATGATCTATCTAAGACAAACAAAGGCATTTGGGAAAACAATTTCACGGAGAGATAGGCCAAACTAAATATCGCAAGCTACTGATCGTGAAAAAAGGAATTTGGCTTCAACAAGTTTACATCATTGTATGTCCATATTTTAACCCCATGTGCTCCAATTGCTGTTTAGCTTTGTCATTTTTGCGCGCAACCTTTCTCCAAGGTTCAAATCTTTTCGGCCCACAAATTTTTTTTGCAAAAATTTTCAATCCAGCTTAATGCGATGGATATTTGCAGCCGCAGCTACAACTAAATATAGTGCGCCTTGATATGCTACCCTCAAATGATCTCAAATGCAATCCGATAGCTATGTTGTGAGACCAGCATAAATCATCTTATATCTTATGCCTTATTACAAATGTATACATACCTTTCACACAATGGACGCTATTATTTGAGGTGTTTTCCTTTTCCTTCTGGACGATGTTATCTTTGACGTCTTCAACGTTCTTGTTTTTCTCCTTTTTCTCTTTTATGCCAATATCAGCCAAACTGTTTTCCTCCGTAGTTTGCTTCGAGTCTCTCTCAACTACAGACGAAAAAGATTTATCTGTTACATAATATTATCAGCTTTGTCAGTAACGTAGCTAGAAAAAAATGGTTCGTCCTACTCTAGAAAAAACGATTAGTAAGAATAGTATAGCTGTAAATTAAGTTCAAAAATTAATAATTTGGTACTTTTCTTAATGCGAATATAATCAGTACGACGATAACAAAAACAATGTCTTAGTCTGTTTAGAAGAATAAACGAAAAACAGAAGGTAATTCTCGATTGAGAACATGAGACTAGTCATAACGCAATTAGCTCTACAACAGCTCAAGCATATCCATGCCAATGACAATCTTGCAGTGATCGAAGCAGTCCCTTGGAACCACTGAAGTTGTTTATCGTGTTAACGCGACGATTGTATATAATGCAGGAACAACAGCTGGAGAATATCCATGCCACTGACAATCTTGCAGTAATTGAAGCAGTCCCTACGAACCACTGAAGTTGTTTATCGTGTTAAGGCGTCGATTGTATATAATGCAGGAACAACAGCTGGAGAATATCCATGCCAATGACAATCTTGCAGTGATTGAAGCAGTCCCTACGAACCACTGAAGTTGTTTATCGTGTTAAGGCGTCAATTGTGTATAATGCAGGAACAACAGCTCGAGCATATCCATGCCAATGACAATCTTGCAGTGATTGAAGCAGTCCTTAGAACCACTGAAGTTGTTTATCGTGTTAAGGCGACGATTGTATATAATGCAGGAACAACAGCTCGAGCATATCCATGCCAATGACAATCTTGCAGTGGTTGAAGCAGTCCCTTGGAACCACTGAAGTTGTTTATCGTGTTAAGGCGTCGATTGTATATAATGCAGGAACAACAGCTGGAGAATATCCATGCCAATGACAATCTTGCAGTGATTGAAGCAGTCCCTACGAACCACTGATGTTGTTTATCGTGTTAAGGCATCGATTGTATATAAGCAGGAACAACAGCTGGAGAATATCCATGCCAATGACAATCTTGCAGTGATTGAAGCAGTTCCTTGGAACCACTGAAGTTGTTTATTGTGCTAAGGCGTCGATTGTATATAATGCAGGAACAACAGCTGGAGAATATCCATGCCAATGACAATCTTGCAGTGATTGAAGCAGTTCCTTGGAACCACTGAAGTTGTTTATCGTGCTAAGGCGTCGATTGTATATAATGCAGGAACAACAGCTGGAGAATATCCATGCCAATGACAATCTTGCAGTGATTGAAGCAGTCCCTACGAACCACTGATGTTGTTTATCGTGTTAAGGCATCGATTGTATATAAGCAGGAACAACAGCTGGAGAATATCCATGCCAATGACAATCTTGCAGTGATTGAAGCAGTTCCTTGGAACCACTGAAGTTGTTTATCGTGCTAAGGCGCCGATTGTATATAATGCAGGAACAACAGCTCGAGCATATCCATGCCAATGACAATCTTGTAGTGGTTGAAGCAGTCCCTTGGAACCACTGAAGTTGTTTATCGTGTTAAGGCGTCGATTGTATATAATGCAGGAACAACAGCTGGAGAATATCCATGCCAATGACAATCTTGCAGTGATTGAAGCAGTCCCTACGAACCACTGAAGTTGTTTATCGTGTTAAGGCGTCGATTGTATATAATGCAGGAACAACAGCTCGAGCATATCCATGCCAATGACAATCTTGCAGTGATTGAAGCAGTCCCTTAGAACCACTGAAGTTGTTTATCGTGTTAAGGCGACGATTGTATAAAATGCAGGAACAACAACCAGATGTAGTGTTACAAATCGCATTACTCACAGAAATTGTCTTGGATAGCACAAAATCGAATACCAACTTCAAAAGATTGCAAGAAAAGACATCTGCCATAATTTTTAGTGACTAGCATTTCTCAAGGATGCGGCAAAAATTAAAGCCATTTCCGATAAAAGCCATTTTCAGGGAAATCAAAAGTCTTCTAAATTTTACCGTTAACTAAGTTTTTTAAAATATGAAGACGTTTATGCAATACCATTTAAATGGCTTTATTTGCAGTCAAATTCTCCCAAGATATTTTTGATATCTGCTTCGACCTAATGCTGAGAATGACGAAAAAAGTTAAAATCATTTCTTTAGATCATGAGAACTATTATTCTTCCAGAACGTAGTGTTTTTCCAGAAAATTGAGAGAAAAACAGCTAGTGTACATCGCCAACGAGTCCAACTTTAAAATATCCTGCATGTTAGAATAAAAACGACTCCTTCGAAGAGTTTACTACTGAATCAGCTCTTGAAAATGGTTGTCGACTGAAGAGAAACAGCATTTACAGGAATAAATTTAGAAATCAACAAGTCCTTGCTGTTCTCGAAAAATTTAGCCGAAATGCAGAGACGTTTGACCGTGGAGTCCCAAGAAAAAACTGTGGCATAATGACCTCTTCGTGTCGTTTAGCAATTGGTAGGGTATGTCCCTTGAGTGATAATGACTGGATACGACTTACATTACTCCCTTTGTTTACTCAATAATACTGACAGGAAAAACAGCGCTTGTATAATATATTTCATAACCTCCGGTCGAAATATATATCAGTCTTAGTGTCATGCAGACCCTTTCATCTCACCGTGAATTCATCTGAGAGGTAAGCTATCGGGTCTAGTCTCCAGCTTATGAAAGTTAGGAGTTAGTAAGTTGATCTCAAGGTGAAGAAACCGGTTTTACATTGATCAAACAAGGGATTAATGATGTTTGATCTAGCATCCAGTCGTTGCTACCCGAACAGAAAAAACTCAAGGAAGTCATAATCTGGGTGGCTATTTCACTTGCCTGAAACACTATCACGAATATGTCTCACTTTATGCAACAAGTTAAACGACCCTGAGCAAGTTGAATGAGTTAAGGAGAATGTGCCCCTCTTATATGATTCATGTATGAACCGATGTAGTGTTGCACACGTTCAGGAACACAGTTAATGAGGAGCTTGTTGTCAAAAGAGATTGAATTGCTAAAAAAGCCCCTTTCAGTTCAAGAAAATTGATACGAAAACGTTTCTTTATAGTATTTTCATTTGGTTTGTTGGCATCGAAAAGACCCATGCATATGCAGCCTTGCGTTGATACATCCGTGAAGTATAATCTTTCTTGTACGTATTTCGGGGTACATAAAAGTTGCAGTTCTTTCAACTTATTTAATCGTAAAAAGTTGCTAAAGCAGTAATTAGACTCACCATCAATGTCCTTTTCTTTTTCCAAAAGAACGTTCTTCAGATTTTCGTGACCTATAAACAATTTTTGGAAATTTGAGTCTCACGATAAAATATCCTATATTTTCTCGTTCATAAAAAATGAAAGCGTACCCGTTACATGATCAATGCTATCTTTTGAGGTGTTTACGTTTCCCACTTTGACGATATTATCTGCGACGTTTTCCTCGTTTTTCTTTTCTTTGTCAAATTCATTCAAATCATTTTTCTCCGTGGTTTGGTTAGATTCTTTCTGAACTAGAAACAAAAAATTTTTTCTCACTTTATAAGCCTTTCGTGAAACTGTTACAAACTAATGGATGTACAACAGGGCCTGGGAACTGTTGTCAAAACATGGATGCCAAAAAAAAATTGGCATGAAAATTTCCACTTGAAAAATTATATTTATTACTCGCTCCCTCCTGATTTTTGAATGTCGTTTCAATACAAAATATAACCAGGAAAAACAACCTCCGAAAACTAAATCATGAAGATATGCTCTAGCGTTATAAGTAATGCACTCATTTATACAAAGATAATCTGCGGTAAAGAAATTTTGTAATTCAAATTTCGTAAAATATTCGCAAGGGCAATAACGGTGAGCACAGACGGATCTTATGGGATGTAGAAAAATTTGTTACTTTTTAAGTTCCCTCGGCTCGTTGATCCACGATTAATCAGAGATTCTCCACTACTTAAAAGTGAGCCAGGGTGTTTCTTGAAAATTTCATTTTGTGTATGATTAACTTTTCTCGTTTCAAGCGGATTTCCCATTCGTTGTGGAGGTAAAGTAGGCACATCAACCACATCTAGCTCCTCCTCTTCATCGTCACGTTCTGCTAATAATATCGATTTATCCATGATGCATTCCTTGATTGCATCGTAATCGAATTTCTGAATGCGATCCTGGTGTCTGATAAGCAATGGTTCGTAGGTGTTCATAAATTTCACAACATCAAAACGATCATTTAGTTTATTTACAATGTTTTTGTAATGCTTTGCACCATTATCAAAGCCATCAGCAACAACAATCTCGATGTCTATGTCCTTTGGTATTGCAAGACAAAATTTTAACAGCACGTCACTGTTTACTGTAGTGGCAATAACGGTGAGATAAGGACTTGGTTTCATTGAGCTATATGTAAAAAAAGACAAATAAATCCGGGCATGAGACAGATCAACAAAGTTATTCATGGTGGTCCTGAAGAAAATAGGACCTGCATAAATAATTATTTATGCATTAAAATGAAATCTTCATAAAAAATAGCTATATTTGTTCCTCCAGGTTAATTTAGCAACACGCTAGTTTGTCCATGTTCGTTGTAGAAAAGAGTATAATGTTTTGGTGGCTGTTAAAACTCAATTAACGTCGCTTTAATTTCAAAAATTTTTTACTTAGTCAGTGTGTGACGGATTGAAAGTACTTTTAACATGTTTCGCTTTAAGGAATAACAAACAAATCATGAAATCCCCGAGGTGCAGAACTGTCAAGCTCAATAAACTGCTTGTGAATGCTAATTACATCATTGTGCATAATAATTTCAGCGAATACAAAATTATTTTATGTGGGTTTCGTTTTCTTTGGGGGGGGACACGCACCTTGTACGTCATTCAAAGCACCGTCATTCAAAGCAACATAAATAACATGTTTAAAGTTTCAAATTCAAAACAGAAAATAGTACGTAAAGAGTTATTATACTACAGTGAACGACAGATATAATTTAATTAGTCACAATGAATGCAAATTTATCTTTGTGATACATTGACTGTTTAGCGTCCGCGCATTTTATTTTTGTCAATTATTTCTTAATATATGTTTATTTATGATTATATTTTGCCATCACAACAATAGCAACTAGACCTTATCAATAATAGAAAAGAGTTCAAGCTTTTAAACTCTAATTTAATAAGGGAACATAGTGAAAGATTTTTGAGTGTGACGATGCAGTCAGACACATTGATAAAACGCTTAACACAGTATGATTATCTTTTCAAACACGGCCGCCATAAAATCAAACCTGGAGGAGGAAGACTAGAATTTATAGAATTTACTGAGCTCTTTTGCTCCAAGCTACGCTGAAGTACAAAGGGTGGAATCAAAAACTAATCTTAGGAAAGTAGCGCCATGCTTTAGTTTCTAATTCATTAAAAACAAACCTTTCTATTTCGTTATCTTCATCTTGGAGTATCCTTGACTCTCTGATAGCGTGGAGCGTAAGAACATCTCCATAACGGATGCTAGCGCTGTGTTCACCACCATCATAACCACGGATAACTTTCACGACTTGTGGAAGTGAAAAAACTTTAACAAAATCTTGTAAGGAGTATGAATCTTCTGTACATTGTAATCTCCTTTGTTCCTTCGGTATTTCGTATCCACCAGAGTCAACCGTACGATATTTTGGACATCTAACGTGATCATCTTCCTAAAATATGCATGGGAAAAAACACTAAACTCAAATAAAAATGATACTGCGGGCTCTGTCTGCCATGTAGACGACAAAAAAAGCAAAACCCTTATACAGTTAATGAATTTCATAGAAAAAGCAAACAAACGAAATGAAATATTAAGCTATTTACCAGATGAGAGCCAGTACGGAAAAATAGTTTCAAAACGTCTTAAACCCTATTCATTTTTTTTATTTTTATAATAAAGAAATTCGCGTTGTAAAATGACCGATATAGCTTGATGTTGAGACCAAAATTGCATTGTTTTCCACCTATTTCACCTCCTCTGGATAGTAAAATTCACTCTCGCTGTGATAGCTACCATCTGAATACACTTCGTATTCTCTTGGGCAATTTACATTGCTTTTAATATAATTTTAAAAATGTAAAATTCACTTTGTAAACTAATATACATTGAAAAAAAATATCACTTTTGGACCACAGTCGAGATGTCGTAAAAAGTTGCTCGCTGCTTCAGCAAACCAGACTGCAAGGAAATCTAAAAGTGCAATCTCACATGCATTATTAAAAAAGGTAATTAATATCAACTTTCACTTTCAATACCTACCCTCCACCTGCCCTGTGGGGGCGAGGTGCAAACTAGTATAAATTTAACTACGAGCTAAGATTTGTAAAGTGACACAGATTATCAAAAGTCTAAACCCAAGTGTCTGAAGCATATCACACTGAATTTAATTAAGTGCAAAAGTCTAACCCCAAGTGTCCGCAATATATCAAACTGAGTTTAGTTCAGTGGATGTGTAAACAAACTCTCTGCTCTCCAATACAACTTGTAGACAAAAAAGCTTAGTGATAAGCCAGTATGAGCAGCATGCGATGTATGTTCCCTGTTCTAAGTCCAAGCACGCCTTTCTAAGATATTGACCTGGACTACTACGAAATTTCATCACAACAACGTATACTATAATAGCGAAAGAGAAAATACAAAAAAAGACGCGTTTGCTAAAAGCTCGAATGTTGTGCACGGTCTTAAAAGGCCGGTGATGACACCTTTGTATCATTTAAATGTCACCTTTTGATTTAAAAAATGTCACTGTTTGTGTGTGTGGAAGGGGAAGCAGTGGCGGGTGGTTATAATCCTGAAGAACCATTTTCTCATGACTGTTTTTAAACTTTTTATAAACAAAACTCGCGAGGCATTATAGAGGTATAGAAAACGCAAGTGAAATGCGTAATAATTGGATCAAGTAAAATTTAACACAAGTTGGAAACTTGGAATATACTATAACTAATGAGTACGAATTGAAAATACTTACGTTCGAACGTATTTTGCTTAAATATTCCGACCCTTTAAATATCCGTGTTGGATTTGAGCCTGTGAAATGGAAAAATATTTAAATGTAGAAAAAAACTACAACGCAGACTTTGGATTGTCGGTCTAAATGAAGCGAGCAATGTGTATAGAAACTGAACTATATGATTTGATTTACAGCATTTGAAATTTAAGCCGCAGAGAAAGTTGCACTAGAGGAACGTGAGCATTGTGGATGGATATTAAGAGTGCTCAATCTAAAAAGGAAAATCTCTACGTTATTACTATATTTAAGCAGGCCAAAGAGTTAAGAAAGTTTGTGTCCTGATATTTGTAGTCATTATCATTAATGTATAACAACGTAAAAGGCATTCATTTGACGACGCATGTTAGTAAAAAGGATGACTCCCAACACTCCCCTCCTTGACGACCCTATACAAAGAATTCAAACGACTCCGTCTCGTTTTCATTCCGAATGTTGTTTACCGATTTCACACAGTTGTTATATTTTGTCATCAATGAAAAATGCTGACCGAAAAAAAGAACGTAAATAAACGATCTGAGCTGTTTTTTAAGATGCCTTCATTGCTTTAATATCCGCTTAGTAAGTATCTAAAAAACGACCAATCGCACGTTAACTTACAATTACCTTTATTTTGTATCACCTGATGATCGATGCAAACGATCATAAACATAGTGTCCAAGAATATGGATTATACAGAAGGGTCACTCGTGTCGGAGTCTTTGATGTTTTGTCCTCGCTTATGTTGTGCCGTGCATATCGGCAGCCATTATTCCAGCAAGATATTTAGAGCTTTTCACTTGTTTACAACCACTAAAATGACACGACGTCATTTCTTATATTGAAATATTTTCGATTTCATTGTGAAGAACGTCACATATCGACGTCATGTAATTGGAGTCGTTAGAAACAAATGAAAAATCTTCAGTATTTTGCTCGAATGATGGCGGATGTAAGGACGCAGAGCACACTTGAGTGAGACTTCTGTATAGTTATTATTCTGTGATAATGTAGTGAAAATTCCATTTTAGGACATGATAATTTTTTAAAAAAGTGCTAATAACGGCTTTCGCTTTGGTATTAAGCACTTTTTCTCTGCAGATAATAATACAAATTATACAAATTACAGTCGAATAAGGATTCAAGAGAAAATATTGCTGTGTACTCATATTTATGTCAATGACGATAGTATTCATTTATAACGCTTGAGTATTTCATCAAACAAGCAATACCTTGTAAAACTTTCTCTAAAAGATCCAAACGACCTATACTGATTAAGGCGCCTGCCAATTTTTTTATAGTAGCATCTTTTCCTTTTTCCTTTTTCCAATGCAACAGCATTTGAAATGCCTGAACATTTGAACGAAATGATTTCAGTTCAGACTCAGTTGGTAATTGTCGAGTGGCATGATGTTCATAACAATTTTCTTCATCTGTTAATTCACCAGGTAAACTATCTAAAAAGTGATAAAAATAGATTAGTGCGGACGATTTATCTACCAAAAAGAAACAAGTCTTGCATATTGGGTCTTGGCTAAGAAAGCTGCAACAGTTTCGCTCTACAAAGCATTTATGAAAATTTTTTCTTTCACATTTAGTCAAAGTGTATAAGTGTTCTTGAATCTAGTTCTCATTTCTTGCATACTTTGTCAAATAAGTAAATTTACTTATTGTGAGCCACCTTAAGGAATTATGGCTTTTGCAAAATACTGATATAAGTGATTGCCATTAAAATTTCAGCATACACCTAAAACATATTTTCGTGGAAATTGTTTGCTTTCAATGGATCTCAAGTGATTACCCTCCCTCAGTCGCGCACCTGCCACCGATTATATCTATTAAGTTATAAAGAATTCAAACATCTTTTTGCCTTATGACGTTCGATATTATGGTTTATTGAAGCATGAATAGTTATATATCTTTGCATATTGTAAATTACTTTTGTCAGATGGAAAGCCACAGTTGCTATTTTTGGGTTGTATAAAGAACTTCCCATCTCTTAGATCTAATATCTCCAATGCTTTATCCAATTTTAAGCATATATAGGTTCTCTTGCAGCCTATGATATCATCATCATCATCATAATCATAATCATCACTTTCATCGTCATCATTATCGTAATCGTCTTCGTCATCATTTATTTCGCCCACGGCATAAGCAAATGGCTGCCAAACATTTTCTCGATCTTTTAAATAAACAAGACTTCCCGAGTCACCATCCTTGAGAAAAGAGCCATCACTTTTCACTTTAACAGCATTTTTGAAAATCGGTTCCTTAGAAGTTTTACCAAAATATAAATAACTCCGTTCACTTATGAAGCCCTTGGTGTGATTACTTGTACGAACTTCGACAAAACCCTGGCCATTTCGTAATCTTTCATAAAGCTCTTTGTTCATTTCTTTTAATCTTAACGCAAGATTCTCCATATCATCTCCACCGAGACGCTCAAAATCTTCTTTCTTTCCAACTTGAATAAACGTGGAATCGGTCTCATCATTAAACACACTAACCGTATTGCAGGGAAAGGTACCCAGTTGTTTCTCCTCTTCACAGTTGGGCGATTGGTAGAAATATTTGCTACTATCATTGTTATTTCTGGCATCAACAGTATTAATTATTGTCGAAACATCCCTTTCCACATCTTCCACTTGGTGACCGACACAACCAATATGTGTACAGGTCAAAGCGAAATAGTTTTCATTTTTACGACAGAACATTGTCAACTCACAGCTAATAACTCGAAACGTATTTAATAAACGAAGATGACCATAATATGTTAACTTTAATGGTTTCGATGCTGAACTTCGTAATTCGATGAATCTTGAAGCTTCCCATCCAAATTTAGAATCGATCTTTTTTTTTATATTGTCTTCCAACTTTTTTTCCTTTTTATCAACTGTAATAAATAAATGTTCATAAGGTATCTCTTGGTTTGGAACAGCTATTCCAGCAGGTCCGTTAATCCGCACGAGACTAAATAGGGCAAAATAAATAAATATAAGAAAGAGAAACTGATTATTTGTCCGTGTTACATAACATGTTGTCACTCTTCCTTAAAATTTTGAAGAGAAAGAAAAGTTTTGGAGCACTCCAGCAAGGAGAGGATATACTTAAAAACCACACATGACTTGTAATGAAGAGTGGGATCTGTATTCTTTATTGATAAATCTAAATTTAACATAGACCTTTCAAAAGGGAAAAAACTTTTTATAGATACCAACGATAAACATTAACTAGCCTAATAATTCTTCATCTTTCAAAAATAATTCTTAAACACGGTTGTGTTGGTGCTGTGTATGTTAAATGTGATTGAATAATTTTTTGTCTCGTGACTTACAACAAATGCAATGTCCCCTCCCCCCACACACACGGAGACATATGAAAAATGTTTTTCCGCTCAATTTATTATCATAACAAATAAAACAGCTATGGAGCTAAAAACTAAAAAACATTCTTGAGCTATTAAACAACAAAACTCAACTATTAATAGAAAGAAAGCATTTAGAAAACATTCGAAGAAAAATGCTGTGGTCACCTTTACAGCATTTTACTATTGTTGCCAGCTCATTTTGATCTCCCCCTAAAGACGTTGATTAAATTGAAAAGCTGTCGAAAATTTGAAATTTAGTATCTTTGTTCCTATATAACAAAAAATTTAATGCGAGAGCCCTCTAGATTTAATGAGTTTTTTTTTTAATCGAGTCTTAAACAATGTTTTCTTCGACTTCATCTAAGGAAATATTGACACCCTTGGAAAACAAAATTCCCTTTTGTCCAATCACAATCAAGATTGCACTGTCAGTATTTACATATCAAGTGAATGCTGTCTTAATTGTGAATACTGGCTTAATTTCTGTTGCCTTAAAAGGCAATAGAAAATTCTTGATGTTTTGCCACGTGAAAAATATTGAATACTATCTGTAGATAACGTAATGGTTCATGAGATGTTCATGAATGGTTCATGGGTTCGAATCCCGTTGAGTCACCTGAATTTTTCAGGTTCTTGGGACAATTGCTTAAATTGTCCAGCAAAGTGCGAAGATCATATCTTCATTTAGGTTCATGAGAAAATTGTAAACAAAAGTGGCAGAATCTCGCTTAAGATTTTTAGAACTGTTTTCGCTTGAACTATTGAAAATAAATTCGTAAAAATACACGGGGTGTGTTACACTGTCAGTCAGGAAAGTTGTCATCGAGTGCTAACGGGAAAAGACGAAATGGAACAGAAAAAATTATTGTCAAAGCACAGAAAACTTTATGAAAGCTTCTATATTCATTAATGTATAATAAAACAACTATTGAATTCGATTTTTGCATGATATCAAGAAATATTCTGACCTTGGTCAATGCTATCCGCCCGAGCTTTGCTTCCGTAGGTAATATTGACCTCTGTTTGAATAATTCTTGATATCATGCTCAACCTCATCCAATAATTGTGAGCTAATTGTTTGTTAAGATCAAATGCCTAAACAATATGAGGAACTAAATCTCCACCTCGCAAAAGTTGCTATGAATGAAACTGCATCATTTTTCCTTAGTTATGGAAGATAACAAAATATAAAAATTTTACCGTTGGAGGGTATTGACAATTTCATCTCGAATGTTGTAATCGTCGTTAAGGAACTTTTCTTTAAAAACTTCATTATTAGTCGTCACATTTTCAGGTTCTAGAAGAATATGGAATGTTGTCTAAAACGATCTTAAGGTAGAAATTGTTTCGGAAGCAAAATGTTGAGAAAGTTGCAAACTAAAAGACACAGTAACTTTAACTGAAAGAATATGTTCGTGACTTTTTCTTTCGCACGAGTTCTACTTTCATCGTTTGCCTTTGAATCAATGGCATAGGAAACCCCATATTTTTTATCCTGCTATACGTAAGTAAATTGTACATCATTTGTTTTATTTGTTTCTTTAGAAATTTTTGTTCTTGCCGTGAGTGAACACATACGCATAGCATGACCAAATTTGACGGCTGAGGGCTTTAAGCATGGAATGCATATAATCTTGTGTTATCTGAGTTATTTCTTGACTTTACCAATGGCTAATGATTTTTCCAAAATTCATTTTTATGTCACACAAAACCCACAATGCGTTCTCCATAGCAATAATAGAATTTCATAAATCATTATATTAATGAACGTAAAGATGTCATTGAAAATTGTAATTACGTAAATTTCAGTATGAATAACAGTATTGCAGGGGCAGAAATTCACTTCAAGAGACGAAGGAGCAAAGCGTCGTAAATTGCCGACCTTTTTTTTTGCAGGAGTGTGCCAAAATTTTTGCATGTTTGCAACAGTGAAAGCAACATATTTTCAATAAGATTAGATCAAAAATACTCTTCTGTGTTTTTGTAACTCAATCAAATTAATCGCCATTCATTATTTTATGAAGAAGAAAATAAACTAACTGGCTTTTTCACACAAGCTGTTATCTGAATGTTGGGTTGAAAAGCACTTTATGATGAAAAATTAAGTTGGAATGATTTCAGACAACCATTGTCAAAATTTGCTTAGCCCCAGGTGAATAGAAAAAAATTTCCGTTCGGCACAGCTAGTTTTGACAAGTTCAGAAAAGACTATACCTGTTGTATGTGTTTGGCTGTCCATATTTGTGTTTTTATTTTCATCTATAAAATAGATAAAATTACATGCTTTTTACTATTGCAACATAAATCATAAATTCTAAACTTAATGTCCATGATTCAACCGAATAATTGATCATGAAACCTAACAATTACAATGTTTATCATGTATACACCTTGATTGAGGGAGAAAAAAATATTACTGAAATAATGTTTTTGATATTATTTCTTATTTTCAGAAAAATTTCAAGACATTTTTCCGAGTCCTTATAATGGCACAAAATGATAATTATACAGAAGGATCACTGAGGTGTGCAACGAGTTCTCACGTGCGCCATATTATTCCATCTGATAAAAGATTTTTTTAACCATTTAAGTGACATGATGTCATTTCTCAGTAATGAAATCGAGAATGATAAGCCCGGCACAACATGCACATAGACAAAAATATGAAATGTTCACACTATAGTGATCTTATCTTTGTCTATAATAGATGAATTTCCCAATGAATCCTGTAACTTTTATTGCTTCTTAAAACTGTCTACATGAGCTTTCAATTTACGTGGATCTCACAATTCACCTAATCAATCCACTGACATAGCAGGGGGTTCTCAAAAAAGAAGACTCAGTATATATTAACTTTGACAAGGAAAGAGGTGGCCCACAATTAATTTATAATACATTGATCAAACCATATATTATCGCAAATTAGAAATTAGTTATAAATTATTATACAAAGTAAATTATTTTGTTTCATATTAAAACTAAACAAAAAAACTTTGATAATAAATATCCCTACATATTACCTTCCAGCTGGCGTGAGCATCCCTGATCAGTTTTTTCGCATTTGTCTAAAATAAGAAGGGAAAGATTAAATTCATAGTAAAAAAAACACTTCTACAATGAACAACGTTAATTAAAATTAGCAATCATTTATCAATCATTTATCTGACATCATGTCATTAATGCTTAGTTTAAAGTTCAAATCACAATGTTTAATATTTAACAATAAAATAAACGGATACAAATGTTAAAGTTTTAAGATTCCTTTAATTTATGACGACTTCTTTGAATTTATTGAACAATTACTGTTACAATCTGAGTATCGTGCCAGCTTTTTGTAATATCAACAACATCCAGTAAATAACTTTTCTCGGTCCAAAAAAGAAAACTCGCTGAAAGTGTAATTAGGCCTTATAAATAATGGAAATAGTTTTGTACACAGGACTGTCAATGTATGCGTTTCCTAGTTGTACGACTTATAGAATATGTTTTTTATACATTTTAAGTGAGCGTAAAAGCTGTACAAAGAATTGATCAACGATATTAGCCATTAATAATCAAAAATATTGGTATTGTGGTATTATACAGAATGATTCTGTTTTACATTTGTATTCATGCTTGCGCGTTTTTGATAAACCAATGTATATTTATAATAAACCAAGTGAGTTATAATGATTTGAGAAACATATTTCAAGAGGCAAGTATCCTTGACGTATTTCTATTCGCAGTTAATTTTAGATGGCAAACTGTTTAGCTATATAATTTATCAATGTGATGACTGTATTAGAAAGCGAATCCAAACAGTTCTGTGTAGTGGCGATATATATTTGTTTATTTTCGGAACGATCTTTGTTTCATTATTGGTGAAACTCACTGCAAGCGAAAAAATTTGACAGCTTTTCCTAGCTCATTGTTCAAAAATTCATTATACCTACATCAAAATGCTAATGTTGGTGTTAAGCAGAATCCTTAAGCGAAGTGACACATATTCTAAAGTATACTTTAAAATAGAAACTATCACAGTTAAATAAACGAGGATGCGAAACCGATATATAAGATAAATATTTGCTATGTTTATTAATTTACTCTTCACAAATTGAAAATAAGTGCTTCACACTTTATAAATAGATAAATTATTTTTTCTGAAAATTTGGCACTAAAAGTTTCTTTGAGCGAAGGAAAAAAGCCATTAAAACATTCTCCACATTTCTTTACAATTTCTATACAATTAGACAACAAAAGCAATGCTACCTTGTCGACGGCCAAAGGCATTTAAATTTTCAACTAACATATTCGCGGTGGCATTTTTTCCTTTTGTTTTTTTGCACTTCAAAAGCATTTCCAATGGCAATTTATTATTTACAGAGCATATCTTGTGCAAATTTTTTTCAGGTATGCCCAGCATTTTAGCAAGCTCCAGCCATTGAGGATATATCATTTCAGCAATTTCCCAGAGATCACTATCTTCGGGAACATTAATCACTACTGTAGCATCGTGACTTCCTAAATGTACAACAAGGTAGTAATGTTAATAGTTAACCATTCATAATGCTACTAATATATGTGATTACTTTCAATGTCGCTGATATCCCTTTAATTGTAAATATAACATTTCGACATGCCTCACGATTTCAAAATTTACTAAACATACTGGTGACCCTTACTACACCTTGCGCAGAAAGTTTTGTTGACTATCTTAAAATTAACCTGATTACATGAGGCAAACTAGCTTCCAGGTGGCAATGTCGCTGTGATATGCCAACGAACATCAATTCTGTTGATATATCTACAAAACTCTAATTAATTGACGGACATCATTCCCTAAATAGCAGAGCCTATTTGCAGGATAACGTTTGAATGGTTTCTGGGGATTTCTACGTACCAAGGTTCCAGAGGATTCTGGGAAGGTTCATTCGGCTTATACAGACATTCTGATTCGTCGTCTTTGCTACATTTCTTCAATAAAACGCGTAGTGTGTGCACAAATAATTTGGAAACATTCAGCTCAGTGGTGGAGAGGGATCAAGAGAGTTAAGTTAAAATTCAATTCTTTGAAGCGAGTTACCTCATTTACAAAGTTCACCTTTTATACATGGACTGGCCCAGCGCGTTAAACGAGCTATCCCTGCTCTCATGTAATTACGTGTTTATTTAATGTATTTGGGGTCTTAATTAATACGTTTCAATAATCTCTTCAAAATGACCGCCCGCACGCGCGCGAGTATGTAATAAATGACAGACAAGGAGAGTTCTAAAGACTTGAGATAGACAAAATAAAGGCAAACGGGCTTGAAAAACCATGTTAGTAAATTGGGGGCATAGACCAAAACAACAAAACAAGAAAAAAACAAGAATAACTGCTGTTTTCATGATCGATTATAAAAAACCTTCGATGATTTAATAAATAAAGCCAAATCAATACACTTACCGGATAAAGTATATTCAGGTGGTTCATCTTCTTGTTGCTCCTCTAAGAGCTCTTGCTGTCGGTCTTCGCGTCGTTCTTCCTGTACGTTTTCCTGTTCATTATTTCGAGGTTCTTCTTGTCTTATCTCTGTTACCTCTTTATTATACATAATTTAAAAGACAAAAAAATGTTCAAGTTATTATCTATAGCAATCTATGTCCAAATCTATAGCAATCTATGTCCAAATCTATAGCAATCTATGTCCAAATCTATAGAAATCTATGTCCAAATCTATAGCAATCTATGTTGTTAATAGAAACAATGAGGTCGCTATTCTTCCCAAAACTTTCAAGGATATGGACGATACGATTTGTGCCCAGGAGCCCAAAATACCTCAATGTGGCCCTGACCTGGGACTGACTTTTCAAGCCCAGTATTGCACACAGTTTTAGGAACATTGCCCTAATTAGTAAGGGTAGGGTACGTTACTGCATTAGTGTAAATGCATTTACTAGTTTCCATGACAGCTGCTTATAATAGAGCCGACTTTGGCAGCTAGCAAATATTAGTTCTTTTTAATATAAATGTAAACAGTTGACTTGATATTGCTAAATAGTGACAGTCATACAATCAAGAATTGTTAAAAATTTAAAGTACTTAAAAGCATTTTGAAATTTTGGCAGATGTTAAAATTTGGTTCTTGAGTTCTCTGTGGAATGAAAAAAGGATTGAAGCTGAACTTGACGACTTTAATTTTTCAACATTCAAAAATAATGTTATTTATGCCAAACTGGCTACGTTGATGAAATAACTTTTTTAAAACTTCAATGGACATAGTTACAAGCAACTAAATAGCTTTGCATGAGAATATTTAGGCCAGACATTTAGGAGCATTTTGGCCTAGGCTGGTTGCCTTGTAAACTGCTCTAATTCATAGGTCAGTTCTAGGCTAGTACTATAAACAAAGATTAAGAGTATATTCTGAATTGCTTGATTTTTGCAATGTATTGTGATGACTTACCAGATGGCTCTGATTTCATAACTGCTGTGATTGAAGTGTCTGTATGCGAATAATTGGTTTCTAAAGAAATATTAAAATATGTTAACAATCAAACACAAAGAAATAGAGTGGAAACAAATTCATTTAAGTAAAGCATAACCATCCAGTACCATCAGTTTTACTTCATGTCTATAAACTAGGGGGACATAATCCCAAAAAGAAATGATATAAAAATGTCATGTAGACAAATAAAATAATATTTAAGCTAGTAGCGGATGCAGGGTTAGGCAAAAAAAATTGTATCCACTAATATTAAATTTAAAATACCTTTATATAAAATTCATATTGGTTATGAATTTCTAAAGAATAAATATTACCGAATAAATAAGTTGAAGTAATTTATTTTGCCTATAGCTGAATCCGCCCTGGTTTGAGCTGAAAGTTAGATTTGCTAAAGGTGAATATCTGTTCAAAATTCATGAGTCCTAGGCAGTTGCATAGCAGTCAGTTATTTTAAATGAGCGATCTTTTAGAGATAACAAAAAAGGTTTTGGTTTCTCCCCTTAAATATCTATAACTCAAACCTTTCTTCACACTCGAGACTAAATCTGTCTTCAGTTTAGAAATACCTTTCCATTCCAAGTTCACTTCCATGGGATCACGCTCACTGCTCTCTTTGATTATGTAAATTATCCTTTCACTTGAAAGCAAAGCCACCTTTCCATTTGCATGATGAACAAGACGAAACAAACCATCAAATAATTCTGTACAATATCCTGTATTCATCAGCATTACAGACCATTTTGTTTTAATTTGTTTGGTTTCAATGGAAAAAGTTTCAATAACAAGCTGTGATTTGTCCTCTTTAAAATAAAAACCTTTGATAGTGTTGTCAAAGGGAGTGTAAATGACTCGAGTGTATGCATTGATTCCTTTAACCTGTGGATGAAATTTCATTTTTTTAATCAGAGTTTTATCCAACTTAAAAATGGCGAGTTGATATTTTCGGCCATATGCATTTGTCAAAATTGCTATATTTTCAAAGGATGAAATGGACAAACTTTTCACTTCATCAACAACCGGTTTATCTTTAACTTTTGGTACAAAAGACTTGATAAGTTCACCTTTACTGTCACACACATATATATTGATTTCATTGCGTTTGCGTTTTGAGCTTTTAACTGTAGCAAGGATCACTTGGTCATTGGGCGTGGCAGCTAGAAAAATCTTACTAAATTTTTTATCCTTAAGAAAATGCAAAGAACAATTTTGAACAATTCTGTCTTCCAAACAAAGTTTCAACACATAATTGCCATTTGGATGGTCTTTACGATACAAAAGTAGATATACCATGCCATTTTTATCAACGTTCATGCATTTTACTTGTCTATTTTCAACATTAAGACGTTCTTTACACCATGTTTCAAACTTTTCACTCTTGCTGTCAAGCTTTTGCAATTCATTTCCATCGAAAACAAGTAATTTCCCTTCTCTGTTTACAATCATTTTCTTGTTAAAGAAATCAATATTCTTACGAAGGTCAGTTGTGTACCAAGGTAGTGACGTGACAGTAATTTCCTTGATGTTTTTGAAATAGAAAGGATGAATCAACTGCTTGCCATATTGAATCAAGGGCCATTCCATAACATACATTCTCTTGTTAGTGTGCTTAAATATGAAATCGGCCAAATTGACGTTAATACGTATTACACTGTCAAGGATTTCGTCTCCTAAGTTATTTTGAGATTCGGCCATTACTTTCGCGACAACCGATGAGTTTAATTCTTTCAGGAATGGCAACAAATCTCTTGTCGCTGACGCACAGTTATCCAAGTGTTGAAGAATAGTGCTTGCTATGTGAATCTTGCTTGCTGTTATTTTATCTTCGATGCTTAAAGACGCATCCTCAAATGCTTTTTTCGCCTTCTCTCCAGCTAGCTCAAACAACGGTTTAGATTGAGATAACGATGTTGTTGTTTGCGGTGTTGACGACGATGGTTGCTTTGTAGCACACCCTTCCAAATCTTTTAGCTTTACAACTCCGTCATGAAAGAAAAAAAAACTGTGGCGAAGATTTTCTGACGAATTTTCGCGTAGTGTTTTCAATTTGTCCTTGAATGCATCATAAAAATATGTTCCATTTTTGCCTTCCCAAACATCCAGAACTATGCTCAAAGCGGATTTTATTCTTGCTTCCATCACCATTAGAGACTGAAAGTTGTGCTCAAAGAAAATAATGTATCCTTTACAAAGGATAATAATGTACCAATGTTTTTTCTTCTACAGCATATTCTAGACAGTCTTCATTGCAATCATTAGTAGATAGCAAGCCAGTCTATAATGTGTTTAAGTATTCATTGTTAGAATAAAATAAAAACACAACAAAATTCTTTTGACATGTTTAAGTAAGTTCGTACAGCATTTTTCATCACTTTACCCCACCACTGATGTAAACATTAACCAATTTGGCTGCTAATTTACTCAAAACTAATCAAATGTTCACATTTTGTCTTGCATAAAACAAAAATAAACATTCAAAAACATCTTCAAAACAACAAAATACTTTAAAATATTCATATGAAAGAACGGAAAACAATAAGATTTTGTGAAATTTTAATTAGATCAGTTGATGACTTTGCACCACTCGGCCACAGTATTGAAACAGACAGTAGGTTCATTTTACTGTGTAACCTGCCGTATAATTAATTAGATTACTGGCTGCAGCTAGCCACCTAGCTCACGGCTCCTGTTGGTCAGAAAAAGTAATTTACAGGCTACCACTATATTAATCACATGCGTAATAAGACATGTGCTACACAAAAAATTTCTACAGAATGGGACTACTGTTTGTTTCTATATTGTGGCACGGCTATTATTTTCAGTAACTCTTAAAATTGGTGCATTATCCTGTGCACAATGATTATAAAGGATGCACATAAAAATGGTCACCTTTGAAATCTGCTGACAGTAAGAATTTGCCTGGTTCAGCAGTAATTGATTCCCAAAGCGTAAACGCAATTCAACTGAGTTTCTTGCCTGAGATTGTTGTAGCTGCAATATGTGAATTTTATTGTATACCATTGCATTTACGTCTCCATCGTGATAAATTGCTGTTGGATCATGCTACTTCTGAATGTTGACTGATATCAAAGATGACCAGATTTATACACTCAGAATAACTTGTTTGATCTGTTAGGAATTTTTGAAATACTAAAATTTGTGTTTGCTTCCCCCAAATTGTTATCGTTTCTGCCAAGTCAAGGAAAATCCACAATGGGGAAACCCCCCAAACCGGCGTAAGAATGGAAAAATAGATAGAGAAACTTATATCACGAGTCTTTATGAACGTTGGATGGCCAGTACGGATGTTTTAAGCAAGGCAGCCATATTGGCCGGGGATATGGAAGCCCCTAAAGTATTTTAAAGGGTTTAAACTTCATTTATTTCATATAAAGGTTTAAATTTCGTTTAAATTTTATAACTACTGTGAAAATTGCAAAAGAATAGTGTTAAATTATTTTTTCTTTAACTGTTCTTGTTGTCAGTCATCTTAGGTCAAGATGCTCGTTGGCTCTAGTCTAAGTCTCTAAAGTAATTAGTATTAGTCTGCCTTTGTTACCAACTTTTTCAAAAACTTATCGTTGGCTGCATTTTGTACGATAGAGTACATAATCTCTTGTCTATTATTATCATTTTTTCTAGATTTATTAGCAAATATTGTAAGAAATCAATATTGAAACGAATAATCTTACATAAAATGTATCCCTTGCTCTAAAATATAAAATCGATTTAACTACGGTGTCTTTGCAGATATCGCTTCACACAAAAGAATATTCTATTAAAAGACAACTGATTATAAATATGAAATTTTCTAGTATTTCCAAGCTGTTTTAACAGAACAAAAGGTAAAATAAAGGCATAGAATGTAAGTAAAATTCAAATGATTAGCCATTGTTTCAAGTTTTCCTGAGCGATCAAAACTGTGAATACGTTAATGCTGATCAAAACCACACTCCACTAGAACAAAACTTTGAAATGTATATTCAACTTCACTGGTCGACTTCAAACAACCTCCCATTAATTAAATGTGTGTGGAAAATCTGTCAACTAAAATGATTTTGTTCACATTGGTAAACCCAGTGTGTTCTATTGTTTGCGCTTGGAAGTTTTAAAGTATTAAAATTTGAGTTTGTTTTCGAAAAATTTAGTGGGAAATCATTTGTGAACGTTGTGTGGAGATAACAAAAACATGGCAGCCATATTGGTCGGGGAGGTGCAAAGCCATGGGGATTTATGTACGAAGATACTCAAAAGCTGAGCTACTCAGACCGTGTCTGGTCTTCAGCTTATGAAAGTTGGGAATTAGTAAGTTGATCTCAAGGTGAAGTAATCGGTTTTACATTGATCAAACAAGGGATTAATGATGTTTGATCAAGCATCCAGTCTCTGCTACCCGAACAGAAAGAACTCAAGGAAGTCATAATCTGGGCGACTGTTTCACTTGCCTGAAACACTATCACAAACATGTCTCAGTTGATACACCAAGTTAAACGATCCTGAGCACGTTGAATAAGTTAAGGAGAATGTGCCCCTCTTATATGATTCATGTATGAACCGTTTTTACCGGTTTGACGAGAGACGTTGGCGATTTTACGTCATTAGAATGTGAAACATACAGCCAAGCCTAATTATAAATTGTTCTATGACATCATGTTTATTCACTTTTTTTGTAAATTACTTTTCTTTCAGAACTTAGATTTAAGCTTATTTTGAAATCATAGCAGCTTTCCTCCTACTCTTTTTAATGCATTCAGATGAATTTTTGATAATAGAAAGCACATGCAGATTTTCATTGAAGACAATGTTAAGAAATGTAAAATGAAACACAAACTTTAATCGTATTAACAAAATTGACTATAATTCAAAAGTCGCTTATAGCATTAGGAATATGAGTTTAATTTGAGATAAAAACATTGAATATCGATTTGTCATGCATGTTTAGTTTATGTTCATAGCGATGCTTCAGTAAACTTGTAATGTCAGAAATGCAGTTTCGAAATCTCGTTTGCATTTTTTAAATTACACTTGTTTTAGAATTTGGACTTTAAAACTTCAGTCAAAGTGACTGCATACTTCATCTTTTCATTTATCACTGACACATACCCGATAAAAAGTGAAAGATAAAATAGATGCAACACAACTACATGAATAGCAGGTGAAAAATTGCGATTAAATTTCATACCTTAATTCAGTATCAATTTCTTTTGATCCATGTGAGTTTCGTTGCATAAGCGCATTCGGATAACAAACAAAAATAAAGCAAAGTAAGACTTTCCTTCAAAAAACTGTTTCATGAACATTAATGACATCCACGTAGAGCATCTCAGTTATATAACTAAGTATACATCACTGACTAACAACAATTAACATTTAAATAAAAATACATAACTAAGAATCTCATGCAGAGTGCATGATAACATTGGGGCTAGCCAAATGTTGAAAAACGAGTGCATTGATACAAAAAATCGAGACGTTTTTATCTTTTACATGGTTTTTGCATAAAGCCTATCTTTTTAATGCTCATAGATATCAGCAACATATTCTCTCATAGACAATCGAGCGATGTTCGTTGTATGATACAAAAGAATATTTTATGAGTGCTATTGTGAGCGCCAAACAACATGAGCGGGCGACATTGTTTATGAGTCTCAAGAGAATGGCGGTGAGTCAAACTTTAATATATCATAATCCTCGTCTCAAATACCAAAGTCTTTGTCAAGGAAATTGTCGACGAAGAAATTGTCATCATTCACTTTAATAGTTGCACCAATTGTAGAAACAAAATATTCCATAACCTTTATTGCACAATCGATGCCTGAAGCTAAATTTAAAAACAGTTACAAAATTTTCGCTGGTCTTCAATGTATGATGTCTTTATAAAAGCCGCGATTTTATGATTTTATGTATAGAGTGTTTTTACAATATCCTTCTACGTGTGGTCTTTCATCAGGTCTTGAACCCGTTTACATGTACGCTGTCATCGAGTGTGTTCAGCGAGCACTACACCTTTCAGATACTAGAGCGTCTTTAAAAATTGTATTAAAACATTTTCTTCCGTTCCTTTTAAGAAAAATCCACGAATGCTTATATACACATGTTTGCAACAAATGTTTTCCACCAAAACATTGCGATGAGAGGAATATATAAGGCAAAGGTTTATTTTTTCGAAGATTTCATGTCGAAACTTCGCAATCGCATTACATGCCTATGATACTTTCAAGTAGATGAAAGAAGATGAATAAAGTAGGAACAATGTCATTCATTGCCTTGTGGTGAACCATGGCGACGATGCGCATGTCCTTAGTTAATTTTTCGTTTTAATGGCGTCCTGATTATTTGATTAAACAATTGAACTAATTGAAATTTTTTCTCCAACCGCTTACTGCAATGCCTTCTATCAAACCAAATTGTTTTTGCTAACTTTTGCCTTGCCCTTGCTTACGTTTTTACTCTGGTTTCTATAAATTTGTAAGAACCTCGCTCTTTTACCATAACTTCCATTAGAGTACGCTGTTTTTGCTGACTTTTTCTTTGCACATTCTTATTTTTTTACTCTGTAAAAACTAATATTTTAGTATTGACATTTGCAACGTTCTGAAACCGTATGACAGAACAATTGTAAAATCATGAATGTGTATTTTATATTCCATATACTACTTATGTTTAAAGACGTTATTGTCAGTTACAACATAAATTAACTCACGCTTGGACTATAGCAAATATACTGTACTCTTTCCATTACATTACTTCTGGAGAGTACACAGAAATTTAGACCGTTGATTAACATTGTTATCATTTAATTTACAATGAGATATATTTCATTTTTATGTGCTAAATCACGAAGCTATTACTCCAGTTATAAGTGGACATTATACATTCGCTGAATGAAAGCATTTAACATCTGAAAATAATTCATATTTTGAACTTTGTCGTCTTACACAGTTTCAGTGGCGACCTTTTTAAATAACGACTGCTATGAAATGGGGTCGTTGAAAATGTCTACTTCTATCGAATGACGACTTTTCAAAAAGTCGTCTCCAATGATAAGGGGCTTTTCTAATAGAAATGACGACTTTTTGAATACAGATGTTTACATTCGATTGCTACATTCGATTACATTGACTTCATTGATTACGTTCGACAATGGAACTACAACTTTTAAATATGTCATATCCTGTGAAATGATAACTTTATTAAATGTCATCTCCAATGGAATGAGAACTTTCTGAAATGCGGAGTCTTTTTCTTCAGAGAAACTAGAGTAAATTACTGGGTAAATAAGTGAAAATCCGATTTGAGAAAATCTCAGTTTGAGAAAACCTTGTGCTTTCATAATAAGTGGTTGGCGCCGTGTATGATGATGAAAATAATAATATGATGATAAGAGAAGAGCAATAGAATTTTTAAATTAAATCTTGAGTAAAAAAAAGAGGGAAAGAAACAAAACTTTTCTCGTTCATGCTTAATTTGCTCGTTTGAGCCAGGCATTAGTTATGCGTGTTATGGGTTCAAAGCATTAAAATATTGTAACCTTATGTGTTTAGCGAATGTTTATCATGAATACTTGAAGGACCGAACATTTGCGGCTGAGTTAATGTAGCTACAAATTGTTGCTGTACGTTTGGTGAACAACGAGCAACATAAAGTCATCTATCAATTTTTGCATCATGTTTCTGATGTAATCAGACCAACAGATAAGAAGGTCAAATAAGACGTACCTTACCATGGATTTAAAATACACATTAATTTGTGTTTGGCGAAGTTTATGGTGTAAGAAAGTAAAATAATGGTGATCGAATTTGCTCGCTGTTTTGTTTGTAAAATGTATAGTAGAGTTAAGGTACCTCTTTACATTGAAAGTCTTATGTACAAGAAATACAACTGCATCAAAAATTTTGGCTGCATGACGTGCCATAGTCTGCAGGTGAGATTTGATCTGGAACAGTAGCTCACTTAAGGTCGAGAGAATACCACTTGAGCCAAGGCTACATGACGGCAACCGGCTCAGGAACTACTATTAAACCTTTTTCTTCATAAATATTAGAAAAAACAAACGTTTTACGCAAAAACATCTAATGGATCTTGTACCCAAAGAAAACGATCCTCCGTACCCGTTAATGGCCTTCATGGTAAAGAGTTACTCACATGAAAAAATAAAAGAAGCGACTCAGAATTTATTCCAGCTTTTTTGTAGCAATTATTATACGACGCATTGGATGTCGTAACGAAATAACTCTATGGTTTTTGCTTGAAGTGTCTCTTAAAGCATCTTTTGTTAATGCTGCAGCGATGTCACTTCATCTTTTGACGTATCAATACTCATCCTATTATATTTTGATCGTCGTTTGTAAAAATAACAATGTTAAGCAAGTTTCTCTACGATTTTTCTCCTGTCCTTTAGCAAGATGAAGTTCTGTTGTTAAGTCTAGACTGGGATTCGAACATAAGATTGCCTGATCAAAGACAATGGTCAACAACTGTGCCATTCCAACTCCACTTGTGTCAAGCAATTTTTAAATAAACATAATGATTTTAAAATCGTGCGTAGTATTGCTAATGTTTAACTTTTTGTTTTTTTTCTGTCTCCATTTATGTCTACCTTTATATGTCTACCTCTATGTCCACCTTTATATCTACCGTTATGTTTACCTTTATGTCTATCTTTATGTCTACCTTTATGTCTAGCTTTATGTCTACCTTTATGTCTAGCTTTATGTCTAGCTTTATGTCTAGCTTTATGTACACCTTTATGTCCACCTTTATGTCTATCTTTATGTCTACCTTTAAGTCTACCTTTATGTTTACCTTTATGTCTATCTTTATGTCTACCTTTATGTCTACCTTTATGTTTACCTTTAGGTCATCCGACAAGATCAAAGAAAGCCGCCTAGTCAAATTACATAGATTTGAAAAAGAGTTGGAAACAAGAATAAAAATACGAAAATATATGGATAATTGTACTTGATAACACAAATGGCTGTTCACACGACTATAAATATCTAAACGAATATAAATGTCAATACAATTATCGGTCCGTCTGAAAAAGCAACCGTAAAGAACTGTACGGCTTGTTCATTAAAGTTCGTCTCGTTGCAATTTCATCTTGAATTTGTCCAGTGCTTTTTCCATCGACTGAATAACTAGAATTCGCAACAAAAAAATCAGCACTCAAAAAAAGTGAAGCGAATTTTTTTGCAAAACAACACTGAGAAGGCGCAAGAGCTGAATTATTTTGAAATCATACTTTCTTGAAATTTGTGGGAAAAAATTAAAATGACATTTTCGTTTTAAATAAGAAAAATGCTTTGTTAAATCGTTCAACATGGCGGCCGTGACGTAACTTCCACACCAAGAATTTTACTAAGGATGGAATTTAAAAGATGTAAAATCAATAAAAGAACTCACGTGTTACGGCATCCCAATAGTAATATTTATTTTCCTTATACATGCTTTCCGTGTTGTAAATGTCTGTTCTGATTTCACCAGATGGATCTATTTGTTGAAAATTTCGAAAATTTTGTTAAAGTACGCACAAATCCTTACCAAAGTGTCAATTTTGTAATGTATATATAGTCACAGAGAAAATAAACTTTTAGAATTTTGCAGTGATATTTTTTATAGGAAATAAAGACAACAAAATTGATTGGCGTGCGCTGATTGGTTTATTGTTGTGTTTTCATTGGCTTTTGCAAAGGAATCCAAAATCAGATTATTACATAAACCAATGAAAATTTTCAAAACAATCATGAATTCATGTTAAAGGCAAAATTTAAATATTTGTTTCAAATTTATTACTTTATTAAAGAAATAAAAAATGTTTTTCTTGTTTGCGCAGACTTATGAAAACCTAGGAAACGTTTGTGAGAACTCTTCAGCACGTGTAACGCCGACCTTAGATATTTGGTTTGCACTGATCAGCTGTCAAGTTCTCCCAAAGGTCTTTACCAAACATCTTTTCATCTTTTCTTAATTGAAGTGTCAAAATCGAGAGGATTTGAGATAACCTACCGATGAAAAATATCCGTGGTATGTATGATCCATCGATATCAAACTTCTCGTCGATGTATTCTTCTTCGCCCTTTTCAATAAAATAAATAAAATTCATGCCACAACTTACATCTACCATCTTCAATGGAATCATGACAGAAAATATTTAACTGAAAAAAAAAGGAACTGAATCACTCTTGAAGGATAAAATTACCTCTACATTGACCATGAAGAATTTTTCACTCAATTCTGCAAACTTTTCTGATGAGGACAATTTCTTTTTCAATGCTTTGCAAAAGAAGATAAAACATATTGTTTACAAAAACCAAGAGTTAAAAATCTAAGAAAGTTGAATGTAGGTGAATATATCATTTTTAGAGTGGTCTGACAATTTCTAAGCATCCATATCAGTGAAGTAGCTTGCTGCAAATTTAAATCT